TTTTTTTTATAAAAATAATATACTTTCAAAACAATTTATCTAAATTATTTTATTATGTATTCAATATAATATATCATTTGGTAAACGATAATACTATAATTTTATTATTTCAATTAATATGTTGAAATAATGATTTACAAAAGACAATTGATAAAAATAAGCTTAAGATTTTATTAAAAAATCTCATTTTAGTCGTAAGTGTAAATAAGAAATATTCCAGTTTATCTAACAATATTATTTTGTTCTGGTTAAATACCAGTTTTTATTTATATTAAAGTTAAGCTATTTTTTAACTTCAGAAATTATAACTCTTGTAAATTCCATGTGTCTGATATTTTTTCAAAACAACTCAGAATTTTTCCTTTGAAAATTTTTAATCAATATTTCTCAGCGAAATAAGTAAATTTAAATTACAACTAAAATGTTTCTCTATGGCAAAAAAAAAAATAAGTTTACTGAGTCATCTGAATAATTTCTAATATTGACAGATTGGATTGCTATGAGTAACAATAAATATTGTTATCAACCAGAAATTTAATAATATTTGTATATATGTTTAATATGTGTAATAACATTTAAGAAAATAATAATTACAAATTATGTAATTACTTTTATTTTGTTCTTTCAATTTTATATGTCTACAATTAATGAAGAACATATTAAGAGTCAATAATGAATATTGAATACACACCCTATAATAACTCTTACCATAAATATACAAGAATTATTAAAAATAGGATTAATACTATTAATAATGTTTATTATACAAACAATTTTAAAACTATCAGTCCTAAGTCATAAAATATCGTGAAGAATAAGACACTTAAATTTTCTGTTGTTCATATCCAAAATGTTCCAATTTACTATTATTAAGTTAAATAACCACTTAATTACTACGTAATTACTATGTAATTAGTAATTAGTAATTACTATGTAATTAGTTACAAGAAAACATTTTATTATATAATATACTTTGCCATTATTAATTTGAAAATATACCATGTAATAAGAATTTAAGTAATTATACTCACTTACTAAACCTATCGAAGTCTTCTAGCTTCTCTTTCAGACTCGAGCAAAGTAAGGATATCGCCCTCACGAACTGGTCCTTTTACATTTCGGATGATCTGTCTGTTCTGTTCACCAATGAATTCAACTTTAACCTGTGTACACTGGCCTTGTGATCCAGTACGACCCAATACTTTTAATACACGAGATAGAACAACTGGTTTGTCCATATTGATTCTTCAAGTTTATTTTAACTTGTAATACTAAGAAAATAATTCAACAGCCAAGAGTGTTTTACACGTGGTTTAAATAACGAGCAGGTTATTTTCCTAATGGCATAAAGAAAAAGAATAATGTTTGCTGATGTTCACGATAAGAGAAAAAACCAACACTTAAATGATAATATTCATCAGTATGACCATAGTCACCATAATACAGGGCTACCGCATTCAAACAATTTTAAATTAACAATTTATTATCTTTATCACGGTCTACATTAAAAATCTCTGAATTTTTTTTTATCTGTAATTGTAATAGACATTATTTCTAATCGTATTTTTTAACATTAACATGTAATTTGTCAGTTTTCATGACAACTCAAATTAAAAATCCAATATTTGAATGATTGTGTAGCGTTATTAGATCCAAGTGTACTTTTTCGTATAATTAATTGCAGGCTATGCTATTACAAATAAACGTTTCATCTTATTGAAAATCAGTATAAGGGTTTCTATAAAAATACTATATGATTTAAATTAATAAAGAGGTAATCATTTATACATTAAATATTTAAAAAGTCATAATTTGATAGATTGATATAATATCAAAACTATTCATTTAATTTCTATTTTATATTTTACATAGAAATGATAGTTATAAACAAAAATGTTAAATTTCAATACTAAATCTGATTAATTTTGAATTGTAGATGGTCATTAAACCAATGTTTACTAATACTTCTATTAAAATTTTGGTTTATCTAATATTAAAAATATTAATTACTTGGTTATAATTTTTCAATTATTAAATTTGTCATTTAATCATTGAAAAATTTAACCAAAAATGTTACGAGTACCTATTTTTAACTAAAAATTTAGACTTGTCCCAATATTTAATAGTTTTTAACATAATATCAATAATATTACATTATAGTGTTGTATATGTTAAGTGTATACATACATATAAATTATTTATATTTAAATTATAAATACTGTTGATTTGTTTTATGTATATTTGCGTAAGACTTGTTAAAAACCTAAATTATAGTTTTTATAATTAAAAAAATAGGTGATATTTTGAGCCTTAAAAATAGTTAAAGTTTGCTTTTACCTTTTATATCAGTGTTTCCCAACCAGTGGTCCACGAGTCAGTTATAAGGGTTCCGCGGTCCCATAGATTTTTTCTTCGATTTTACACAAAAATCACATTAAGTAAATTATTTTGTATAGTAAAGTAATAAAAATTAACATTTTTTGATAAATGTTGTGTATTCTTGTTAATGAGCAAAAAAAAGTCTTCCTAGTTTTCGTAAAATTGAGGGGGTCTGCAACCTATAAAATATTGCCGAAGTGGTCCGTGGTGGTAAAAAGGTTGGAAAACACTGTTTTACATTCAAAAGTAGCCAAGTAATTTTAAATAGTTTAAAAAAAAATAACATTTTCTAATTTAAAAATCCAATAAGTCCATAGTTATTACATAAAAAGTTTACAACGCAAATAATAATAATTTTTTAGAGTATTTATAGTAATAATTTCTTTTGTTATGACATTACTTTTATACTTTTTTGTATTTGGGCTTGGTTCATAGAAACATCTATTATCTTTACCAGAATAACAATGTTGTGCTAATGATGATACAGTGAGTGCTAACCTTTGAGAGCTAATTTATACATATTTTTACATGTATAAAAAATCCTATGAAAAAAATTATACTGAGGCACCAAAGTCAAGATTTATTTTAAGGTTAATAAATATTTAACGTCTTTATAGTTGAGACAATTCAAATTTTATTCATATATAGTATTATAGATCTTATAAAAGACAATTAAAGTAGCTTGTATAACTATACCTTAGATATTTTTTAAGTTATTGTAGCTACAAATTATCATTTACACAGAGTATTCACTAAGTAAGGAAATAGGTCAGTTGTTACAAACAATGAGAAAAATTGAATACTGTTTCCTTAATTACTGAACATCCAATATAGAATATTAGGTAGTTTTATATTTTTTAAACACTTATAATTTATATAAGAAAAACGAACACCAATAATATAAGACAATTTTGTGACTAAAAGATAATAGTTGATATCAATTCGTTTTACAATAAAATGATTTTAAAATGAATGTCTCTGGTTAATCAATAAAATTTCAAATCTGAATTAACAGTTAATTTTTAATCAAAATAAAAAAACTTAACATAATGAAAAATAAAACAAGATATTAAAATATATATTTTGTATTTCTATTTCATAACTTCTCTTGTTTTAATTATTCTAAATATGAACTTGGTAACAATTGACCATTATATATTTTTTAATGAATAAATTTTTTAAAATCTCAAAAACATCTGTATTGCAATAATATAATTTTGGACTTAAAAGCGTTGAATATATATATAACCAAATTGGTTATTATAAAAGGGTATATCTAGCAGATAATTAATGAGATCAAAAAAAAAATATATACTTTGAGCCTATTAATAAAAACACTAGCAATGATGGACAGGATTCATTATCTTGTAGTAAGTAATATAATAGAATATATTAATGTTGGGCTGGTGGGGGAGGTGGAGGTATTGGCTGAGGTGTTTGTTGTTGCTGGGGCAAAGCTTTTAAAATGGCTTGAACTTCCTCTGCAACAGCTGCTAAAACCATTTGAAATTGTGCTTTTGTAGCTACAGCTCCAGATCTTTGATCTCGAATGTGTTCTAGTGTGGCTGCAATATCAATCTCCTTAGCACCCTTTGCCATACGATTCAATACCATATCCAAAAGGCAATAGGATCCAGTGCGACTNGTTATAATTTTTCAATTATTAAATTTGTCATTTAATCATTGAAAAATTTAACCAAAAATGTTACGAGTACCTATTTTTAACTAAAAATTTAGACTTGTCCCAATATTTAATAGTTTTTAACATAATATCAATAATATTACATTATAGTGTTGTATATGTTAAGTGTATACATACATATAAATTATTTATATTTAAATTATAAATACTGTTGATTTGTTTTATGTATATTTGCGTAAGACTTGTTAAAAACCTAAATTATAGTTTTTATAATTAAAAAAATAGGTGATATTTTGAGCCTTAAAAATAGTTAAAGTTCGCTTTTACCTTTTACATCAGTGTTTCCCAACCAGTGGTCCACGAGTCAGTCATAAGGGTTCCGCAGTCCCATAGATTTTTTCTTCGATTTTACACAAAAATCACATTAAGTAAATTATTTTGTATAGTAAAGTAATAAAAATTAACATTTTTTGATAAATGTTGTGTATTCTTGTTAATGAGCAAAAAAAAGTCTTCCTAGTTTTCGTAAAATTGAGGGGGTCTGCAACCTATAAAATATTGCCGAAGTGGTCCGTGGTGGTAAAAAGGTTGGAAAACACTGTTTTACATTCAAAAGTAGCCAAGTAATTTTAAATAGTTTAAAAAAAAATAACATTTTCTAATTTAAAAATCCAATAAGTCCATAGTTATTACATATAAAGTTTACAACGCAAATAATAATAATTTTTTAGAGTATTTATAGTAATAATTTCTTTTGTTATGACATTACTTTTATACTTTTTTGTATTTGGGCTTGGTTCATAGAAACATCTATTATCTTTACCAGAATAACAATGTTGTGCTAATGATGATACAGTGAGTGCTAACCTTTGAGAGCTAATTTATACATATTTTTACATGTATAAAAAATCCTATGAAAAAAATTATACTGAGGCACCAAAGTCAAGATTTATTTTAAGGTTAATAAATATTTAACGTCTTTATAGTTGAGACAATTCAAATTTTATTCATATATAGTATTATAGATCTTATAAAAGACAATTAAAGTAGCTTGTATAACTATACCTTAGATATTTTTTAAGTTATTGTAGCTACAAATTATCATTTACACAGAGTATTCACTAAGTAAGGAAATAGGTCAGTTGTTACAAACAATGAGAAAAATTGAATACTGTTTCCTTAATTACTGAACATCCAATATAGAATATTAGGTAGTTTTATATTTTTTAAACACTTATAATTTATATAAGAAAAACGAACACCAATAATATAAGACAATTTTGTGACTAAAAGATAATAGTTGATATCAATTCGTTTTACAATAAAATGATTTTAAAATGAATGTCTCTGGTTAATCAATAAAATTTCAAATCTGAATTAACAGTTAATTTTTAATCAAAATAAAAAAACTTAACATAATGAAAAATAAAACAAGATATTAAAATATATATTTTGTATTTCTATTTCATAACTTCTCTTGTTTTAATTATTCTAAATATGAACTTGGTAACAATTGACCATTATATATTTTTTAATGAATAAATTTTTTAAAATCTCAAAAACATCTGTATTGCAATAATATAATTTTGGACTTAAAAGCGTTGAATATATATATAACCAAATTGGTTATTATAAAAGGGTATATCTAGCAGATAATTAATGAGATCAAAAAAAAATATATACTTTGAGCCTATTAATAAAAACACTAGCAATGATGGACAGGATTCATTATCTTGTAGTAAGTAATATAATAGAATATATTAATGTTGGGCTGGTGGGGGAGGTGGAGGTATTGGCTGAGGTGTTTGTTGTTGCTGGGGCAAAGCTTTTAAAATGGCTTGAACTTCCTCTGCAACAGCTGCTAAAACCATTTGAAATTGTGCTTTTGTAGCTACAGCTCCAGATCTTTGATCTCGAATGTGTTCTAGTGTGGCTGCAATATCAATCTCCTTAGCACCCTTTGCCATACGATTCAATACCATATCCAAAAGGCAATAGGATCCAGTGCGACTTACACCATCACTATTAAAAATAAAGTTTTATAAACTAATTTATATGAATATTGCTTCATATTTTTAATTTTATTACCTGCAATGAACAACTATTGGACATGATCTACCTCTGAATGACTTATTTACTTTTCTGAAAATTATATCTGTCAATAATTCACATACATTAAATTAAATTTAATCATATTTTTATTGATACCTTCGGAATTCTAATAAAGCCTTAGTAGTATTTGGAACTCCTCCATCAGGCCATGTTAAGAAATGGAATTGAGTGACTGTTCTAGTTTCACCAGTCTTTAGGTTCTTTAAATAGAAACTTCTTACCAAATAATCATCGCACCAAATGTGTTCACTGACTAAATGCACCTAAATGTAGAAATAGACAAAATAGTGTTTTAAATTATAAATTGTTGTAGTATTCTTAATAATTTTTTTTTATATTATAAATAATCAAGTAATCAGAGTTAAAATGTAAATTATCTAATCATATTGTGATATTAGTCTATTTACATATAAACTATTTTTACCTCATATATGTGATACAGTTCAGATCCTTCTTCAGGCCAATAACGATGACACAATGTTACATCATTTTCCACTAGTCTAGTTAACATGACAATAACGACACAACCTTGCTCCCATACCATTTGCCAGAATTCAGCTGAAGTTTCAGGAAGAGGGCCTTGAGTTGCTATGTAAGCTGGATTTCGAGGATCATGATCCGTCTAATTATAATAAGATTTTTAAAAATTAATAAAATTTTCCATTTTTTTATATGAATAAAAATTTATATCTCACTATCGTGGATGCATTGATGTAATCTGAATTATTCATGTTAGCATACTCATTTATTACAACTCTGGCATGATCATAAGGAATTGCATTAATATAACGATTCTTTTTAGCGTTCTCAGGCTAGGAAAATTTTTTTTTATTAAAATAGAGGTTTAAAAACATTTTATTTTCTACCTTTCTTCCAATAGTTATAGCACATGGTTCTGCTTCATATGCACATAAGGCTGCCCATTCACTATCTAATCTGTTTTTATTGTTCAGGTGATCTTCCATATAGGCCTATAAAATTAAAAAATATTAAAATATAGCTAGAATAAATTTTTAGGTTTTCTTATTGATGTTTTTAGATTACCAAAACCATATGCCCAGTTGAAATGTCCATATTAGATAGAACTGGTTCTTCACCCCTTAAAAATGTTAAATGTTGTGTTTTAAAATATTTTTATTGATTTTTTTTTTAATATAATTACCATGATGAAGTACTCGATCTAGATGATGGACTATTATCAGGATCTTTAGATAAACTAGCTATTCTTTGTGAGGCTACACTTGGTTCTTCTTTTTTGTTAGACATTCTTGCACGGCATAACTCCTTGAAAGTAATTATTTTTATATTAATTATTTTTGTGTATTAATACTTAAATATGTAATTTACCTGATAATCTTTCGTAACTTCTTGAGCACTTTCTATCAATCCTTCAAATTTATCCTTAATTTTTGTATGTCTTTTCATTAAAATTAATCCTAAAGCTGATACTGCAGCAGCACACATGATGGCTACTGAAATGAATATCCATTCGAAATTTTTACTCTCTTCATAAGTTGATTTCATCATGACTGAAGGTAATTTTGTCTATAAAATTTTACATATAATATTATAATGTATTACTGTGTGAAATCATTTAAGTAAGAATGAAAATTATATAAAATAAGTGTATTAATTCTTGCCTTATCTCCAATACCCACTGATATTATAGTGAAACCTGACTTTTGATAAAACTTTTCTTTTGCACTCTCTATTTTTTTTATTATATCTGAAGTATTAAATCCAGAACTTGGAAGTAGTTTAAACGTTATTTCATCCCCGTTAACACTAAAACAAATAAAATTTTAGTTATAATTTTCAACACAGCTTATTAATATTAATATATATTTTATAACTCACTGAATGTTAATAAAAGACTTAAAATTAACCATTATAATTTTAGCCAATGTTTCAAGTAAGTGATGAGCACGTTTTTCACTTTTAATTCTGGAAAGTATTAGTGCAATTTAATAAGTAAAATAATACATGAATTATTGATTAAATTATTTACAATTCTTTTATTTGAATGTAAACGTATGATGTATCTACAATATCATAGTGATCATCATCTATTAATTTCGGTTTGTTTTCTTTCTGGTTAATCGAATTAATCTTATCAGGTGCTATTTTACTATAATAAACAGTTTTAAAATCATTCTGAGTTGATTTCACAAGTTCTCTATTTTCTTTAGGTTTATCATCGTCGTCAAATCCGGATTTTCTAATTGTTCCTAATAAAGTAGAAGCGTCTAAAAAAATTATGCTTGTTATTATCATGCATAATTACACAGAAATGTATTAAAAAATATACCTACCTACTGTTTTTGTAATATCTTCTCCCTGGCTAAGATCATCTGAATCATTGTTCTAAAACAAAACGTATTTATTTCTTGGTTAATACATACTAAATGAAGCTTACATTTTTTTTAATACGAATTTAGTGTTGTTTCTCAAATTAAACAAGCAATATAACCTACTATAAATGCATAGTTGTTTGTTTTAAAGAAAGGGCCCGGCTTTTTGACATCTAGCCTTTCCGGTCTTTTGAAACCCCATCCTAAATCAGGGTTGTAACTTTTAAGGAAATCGTTGAGAAATTCATCGTCTTCTATTTCGTTGGCTCCTAAAATTAACAATCCTAAATAGTAGTTTCATGAAATCTTTATTTATACATTTCAAAAGAATACAAACCTTTTCTAGGTAGAAATACTAAACCACCCTCTGTGTATGCTTTATCCGAACCATCAACATCTTTAGCTGCTAAATCCATTCGGCGTAATTCATTCCATTCGTTGATCATTTTATCCTTAACCTTACCTGATCTGAAACCATTTGGCATGTTGTAATTTTGACGGAATCTTACTTGACCATACTTTTCATCTATTACTTCATTTTCATATGGATTTCCGTCTATTTTATGATATAATGTAATTAGTTCATATCTTTAAATCATTCATGTTTAATGAATTACCAGGCATCCAAGGCAAGTATAAAGGAGTTCCTTGAAGTTTATTTCTGATAGATTTCGGTCGAACACGAATGTTGGCAATATCATCATAGTCATCGCCTTAAAAGTAATACAACTCAATTAAGATTAATTGTTTTTATTTAAAGTTGATATCGTTAATGAACGTTAACTTGTAATTATCATACCTGTATCTACATAAAACTGTCCTTCATAGTTTTGCGCAACATTCATTGGCTCCATGTAGAAGTCTGGTTGTGATGGGACATCGATGATTTCTTCATCGTCAAACTACAAGTGAAAAAGAGTTCTAAAAGATTTTCACTGTAAAAACAAACGCCAAATGTCTTACCCGTGTATTATCATTGATTTTAGAATATTGATCACATGCTGAAATGTCAACAGACGTTCGGAATTTTATAGACTTTAATCTATATTGAAGTATGCATTGCGTATAGGGATGTGTCCAAGTATAGCCATTACGGTATAAAAACAACATATCATCTCTTAACACCATAAGATTATCGACCAACAGTTTATACCTATTACAGAAAATAGAATTAATATACTGCAACAATAAGTTGAATTGATTAACCCTTACATGTACTCTTGATCACCGTAACTCCATTTTGAAACGCACTGTCCAAATGCATGATCTAATTCCGAAAAAAAAATGTAGATTAGTAAAATGACAATAAATTAAATATATTTAATTAAAAAAAGCCTATATTTATTTTTCAAGATTAAAATTTTATCCGTTGAAAGTATTTATAAGTTTTTTGCAATAAATATTTAAATATTTGCCTGTTCAGGCGTTGATATTAAAAATAATTAAAAAATGTTTTTTCATATGAATTCAAGTAAATCTTACCGTCAAAACACCATTCTTGCTTTGTGCAAACATTCCGATTAAACAAGCAGCCTATAAAATTAAAAAATTTTTAATTATTTTGATAAGAACATTTATTTTTATAAATATTTAAAAAACATTTTTCGAACGTTAATTTTAATTAGTTTTAAGATTTTATATCAATAAAAATATATTATTTTTTACTTATTAATGGTTTTTTTACTTGACGATAAAAATTTCTTAACCCAAGTAACATATCTAAATATTAACAAATATTATACGTGTACCACCCTATAAATATAGGGTATAAATATAGGGATAGGTATAATGGTGGTTAATTATTTATGGGAAATAAATTGATTATTATTATTACCATTGCCAACTATTTGAAGTTAGGTTTGTTTTAACGATTTGACAGAATTTTAAAGTTTTCGTATGGTCACCCATCTGGGAACCAATAGCAAACAAAGCAGATAAACATTAGCGTTAAGGCAGCGACTGAAAAATCTACTGCACCATACCACGCCACGGGCAATAAATTGGTAAACTGTATAAGTGTAATACAAAAAATATTTTTGTGTATTAATTTGTATTAATTTTCTGCATTTTTGGAAAACTAATTTTTCAACTGTAGATAAAGCACACTCGCCTCATGCCTATCCAAAACCTTTTAAATCGATACTTTATTTAATTTAATACATTACATTAAAGCTAAGTATTTTAAAGTTTTAATTATTATTTTTTAATTTTAAATACTTAAATGATCTCAGAATAATTTTTATTTAAAACCAGCAGATTAAGAATTTTGAAATAAATCCTCTGAACTATGATATATTACTGTTAGTTCTTTATTAAACGTAGACAGCAGCAAAAAGTAAAAATATATTTTTTCATTTCACATTGATAAATGTTTGATATGATCAAATTATTTTTTACAAAAGCTTGTAACAACTATATGGCTATCATAGCTTTGATCTTATTTAAAAATTAGAAAAGTATCATACTGTTAAGTAGTTATGCTACCTATACATTACCGCATGCTAAATTTTAATATAAATATTTCCCTTGCACAACTGAATTTAAATTACTTTGTTTGATATTCATACGTATAAAATAATAGTAATTGAATTATGTTTTAATTTAAAAATTACTTTCAAGTTTTATTAGATGTAATTTTTAGAATATTATGTAGAAAATAATAACTGTTGAATATATGAATCTGAACGTAACAACTGTATGAATTATAATAATTTATATTAAGGCTTATAAATACTCTACTTAAAAATTTTCATTTTGGCCTTGTGCTATACACGTAATCAACAGCTATGAAGATAACTTAGAAACAACCCCTTTTATAATAGCGCATTAAAAATTATTAAAACTAGACAATTTTATCCGGTTTCATCAAATATGTGTATTTTCCTTTTACATAAAATTTGGAGGAGTGGTTTCAAAATAATTGTTTTTACGTCACATAAATTATAAAAAAAAGAAGGTTCTTAAACATTAAAAATGAATTTAGTAAGAAAATTTTTGGTATTATGAGTGGTTGATGGACTAATAGCTAATGACTTGTTTTCAATTTAAGATTTGGTGCTTAAATTTCCACCTTCTATTTTAATGTTTGTTAAACAATAATTGTTAATTGTAATAAGTATTGTATAATAAAGGATATGAAAAAAACTTTTTTTGAAACAATGTATTGTTTGTTTTAAATAGCTTTTTTAGCTAACTCTCCAAAATTTTGTTTTAAACATACTTAAAATTAGATTTTATAGTAACATTTTCTATTATATACTAATATATGTTACAAGTTTATTAATACTATATATTAATAGCTAAAAAAAAAATGTTACAAGTTAAGGCGTAATAAATAAAGTATTTTTAGTAATTTTAAATCTCTATAAGATCCATTCTATTTAAAAGAAACAAGTGAAAACTGAAAAAGGTTTAAGAGTTGCTTTATATCAAATAAAAATCTTATGCTCGTTGAGTATTAATTAAATTTTGATTTAAAACTATATTTTTATATTAATGATAATAAGCACATCTTTAAATTTAAATAAATAAAAAAAAAAAATTACGTCAGAAAATCGGTTGAGGTATTTCTGTTAAATTTTTTCTGATAAATCGGCTGATTTTATCTGTTAGTTGACTTTGTAATCTTCTAAACTTTGCAATTTTTATTATTTTATCCGTTGATTTGTTTTTTATTAAAAATAAACATGTATTTATACAATTGGGCATGATTACATGATTCGATTCTCCCACGCTAGATCTCTACTTTCATCCCTAAGTATTCCCCACCGCCACCCACTGTAAATTTACCACCAAGTTGGTGGCATAGTGTTGCCTTAGCTAAACAGCTATACTAGTGACGGCGCGTATTGATCGAGGGAGGTTTACGTAACGGCTCCACCCGGTCGACAGCCGTGCGCCATCTGAATATTATGATATCCATATTGAAATTTAATTAAAAAGGAAAAAAACATAATCAACAGACTAGTGATCATATACATTTTCAATAAAAAGTTACATTTATTAACAATCAATTTCTATTTTACGACTGAGGAATGCAATTTTGAAAAAACCATCCAAATACATCGGATTGCTATAACATATGGCATTTTTTTAAATATTTGATCTTTTCTATATAGGCAATGACATTCTAATTAGTAATTTTCCTCGATTTGATTCTTAATCATTTTATTCCTAGACCGTGTTTATAGAAAACTTTCGATGAATTGACTCGACAAGTGACAAATCACATGTTTAAGTCGGTTTGTATGTTATATAAATTTCATGATAACAACTACACACATCACATTACTTCATTTTATGCCTTATAAGCCGCCAGGCTCTTCGTTTTAAAATAGCTTATTTAATTTTCAATTGAGTAATTTTTCTTTAATATTATCAATTAGCGATTTTAAATAATTCTATTTTTGATTCTTCTCAATACCGTGTATAATACCATTATAGTTTATGATTGGATCAAATAATTTAAACTTCCTTCATGATTCTATAATAATATTGCGAAGAAAGTTTATTTTGACTAATATTCTTTTTTTTATAACGTAACTTTTTTAATAACACTTTTATATTATTTATTATGTATCATTTTAGTAATTTTAAGGGAAATTATTATTCTTTTTGTTATATGTAAATATTTCATTAATAAAAATTACGTATACGTGCTCTTTTACAGTGATATATTTTAATTCTCAAAAATAGAAATTTTACTTTAACCTTAAAGCATTATGTACTCATTCCACATTGATGTAAAAGTTAAATTAAAGTTTTAGGAAGTAAATATATTACATTTGTACCAAAATCAAAACTTTCAGTATCTAAATTATCATTTAAGATTTTCGTTTAAAATAGTTCTGTCTTTGATTTCGTAAGATAAATATAATTATTACAAATAAATTCAATATTTCTCAGCTCATTAAGTTGTAAGAGTCTTTTTGATTTGAGAAACATGTCTCAAATCTTTAGACATTTTGAAAATAATTTAGTCACATTTGGCACAAGCCGAATGAATTGTTTATAGACTATTCTTCCTATGAGGCGACTATCCTGAATATGTATAGACTTTCAAAGATATACGACTAACTCAAAAAACTGATTATTATAAAAAATGTTCTGTATCTGTCTTTCGATTTGCCAATGTAAAATATCCAGATACTTTATACAATAATATTTAATTCCTACATAATTTTAAACTTTACATAACATTATTTAGTTCTATTAACTATATATATTTTTGTTTAAATAATAAATTCCTCAATTAAGTTATATATTAAAAACAAAATATGTTGATAAATCTCAACAACATATGTACTAATATTGCAAGCTATGTAAGACCCAATTCCTTTAGATTTTATGAAGTTTTTATTTGTGTACTTTTATGTATGTATGAGTTACAATCTACGTCATAATATAAAAGATACTGTTAGTCTCTTTTTTAATTTCAATTTTTTGAGATATATTCTTTTAGCAGAGTTCAATATATTTATCAAATAAAGAATTATTGAACGTATATAATACTTGAATATTGGTTGTATACGATAATTATCATCACACACTAAAATTTCTTTTTTATGATGGTATACCCCAATTTTTTTTTAAACCAAAGTTCAAGCAGAAAAATAAATGGATCAATAAGAATATAATTATGTTATTCGATTAGAATAATGTGTAACATGCGTCACTTTTCATAAAAAATGAAATACATATACGAATCATGCTTTAATTGTAAATATCCTACAACCGAATATAACTACTAAAATTAAGTACACAGCCAAGTTGTTTAACAATTTACCTGTATATTTCTGCCAAATTGGTGTCCATCCTATTTTTGAATTTTCGAAAGCATTAAAAGTAAACGAAAAAAACTATCAATTATTTATTGCATATTTTGATGATCTTAATGCCCTTATGATATATAAAACAATAGTAAGACGAGTATTCAAAAATGTGTTTTTATAAAACTATTGGTTTACTATAAAAAGTAACAATAAAGCGAACTAATTTTAAAAAAAAACCCAGCACAGTTGTGACGTGGCGTAATTGTATATGATATCTGACAGTGATTAAAATCACTATAATAAAAAACGCTTCGATGCAAATCTGTAGATAATGTTTAATTCTAACTAAATTAATGAATTATTACAAATGCAACATCAAATCTTATTTCCTTAATTATATCTTGATTAGTAGTTCTTAGATTTAAAAGTATAAAATATGTACCAAATTATAGGTAAATACCTAATATATCGATTAAAACAAATTGTTTCTATTCATTAATTTTTCAAAAAGTTATGGCAGTTTTAAGTAAAAAAAATTGAAATAATGTCGAAAATTACCGATTTTTAAATTTGTAATTTTTTTGGAGATTTCCCCCTTTTACGGGGAACGAGGGAAATTTTTTCAATTTTTGAGGGTAATGTTATGGACTAGATACGATTTGTGATTTTTTGACGTATTGTTGAAAGAAATCGATTCGGTCAGAGCTGAGAAAAAGTGATAACAGACACAAAAAAAAAAATACACATCATAGTAAAACCAATACCTTTTCAGCTTTGCATCGATGCTAAAAAACAATTGTGAGTGTCTTCGAATTTAAATAAATGTTAATACCTAAAAGTAAAAAATTACCAGAAGAACATTCATGACCAAATGTTGAAAAAATTTCTCTTAAAGTGAAAAATTTTCTTAGAGAGTAACTTTGAACTAGAAGTACATACCTTAAAAATTATTAAGGTACTAGTTATTTTTGTTGTCTAGGGCCATAGACCCTTAAGTTGTCAGTATGACAAATATTTCTGTTGTTAATTGACACTTAATTTTTTTTTTAACTTTATGTTTTCATATGATTATAATTTTAATGTCTTGACAAAAAATAAAAATAAATGAAATATGGATCACAATTGTGTTTCATAGTATTTCTTTAGAAATACAATTAAAATGAATATATAAATAATTTTCTCTTTAAGCCCTCAGGCACTATAATATAATATAACAAAATGCGTAAAAATTTATTTAAAAATGATGAATTTTTACAAAAATTGCAATGTCTAGATTAACAAAACTATAATTTTTTTGCAGTGGTTATAAAAAAAAATGTTTTTAAAAAATTTTTCTTTTATTATTTCTAATTTTACCTTCAAACTATAACTATTAAATAGTTTAATATTTTACAGCCATGATAATAGAAGAAAATTATTTAAAAAGAATAATTTAAAGACGTTCAGAATTTAGTTTTATAAATAATTCCTGTTAATAATTTGTTTTTAATTAATTAAAAACAAAATATATAAACAATAATTATTTTATGTTTTTGAAATATTTTTACCTTAATAATTAAGGTATTTTTTTGTCCCCAGTAATACAATACTATACAAAACTTCGTTTATCTTTAATGACGTCAACGTCATTTGCATATAAAATGATAATTGATCGTACAATTTCTACATCCTTTAATGTTAGTTTAATAATCTTGCCTCACCTCGATTTTGTGAAGTTGTAAATTATATCAAGTTTCTATTGTAATTTTTGTTTTTATAGGCTTATTTATTTTTAATTTTTTGAAGATACAATTATTGATATAAATATTATGAGCTTATTATTTACTATTAAACAGTTTATCTATCTAATTTCATGATTATGGTGAAATCGAATAATTTAAATATATTATGGTTCATATATTTTTTTTACATAACCAAATTATTAATTTTTTGTTCAAATTTTAGATATACAAATCTAAAACTTTCGGAATCCTATTTATTATTTTTAATTGACGCTGTCAATTTTTTGAAAATACTCAAAATTTAACTATGTACTAAAAATTGAAACTTACCAATATTTCGATCGCACTTGATTTCTGTGACTAGAAATATTGAGATTAAAGCCGCTCTTAGCAAAGAGCCAATCATGATCGTCTTAGTTGCTCAGCATTTAAATGACTAAACAAAATAAATAAAATATTAATTTTGAAAATAATTATTAAGGAAAACTTCAAATCAAATATTTGTATTGTAATGTACAATATTTAAACTAAAACATTTCGTTATATTTTCGGTACAGTATTTTTTTTTAACATTATTTAACAAAAACTGATATGTAAGAGTTTGGCCAATAATTTTATAAAAAAAGTAATCTATACTGTCTCATAGAAATCGTTGAGCACTTATAATTAATTTACTGAACATTTTAAATAAAAACATTTTTTAAAAATCAGTTTAAAATAATAATAGTTTAATTTGAGTATTAACGTCTGTGAAACTTATATATTTTCACATTACTGATCAAACTAGCGACAATGAATCTACTTAAGCAATGTTACGGATACTCTAAATTTGCAAACTAGATAGTGTTTTCACTACAAATACAGCAAATCATAATACTGTAACTTGTGTTTGTATGCAAAAAGATTTTACAGCTTTGCTTTAGTATTTCATTTAATTAACGAACAAACTTTACATTTAACCGTCAAATGTAACGTGAATTTAATGGGTCGGTATTTCATTAATGACTCTGAGATTAAATACATTAAATTTTAACCAAAATCGCTACTTCATTGTTTATACAAAACTGTAAGAGCTCATGAGATATTTAATTTTAGTTGAAAATTAATAGTTAATTTAGACTAGTTGAGATAATAAAAAGGCATGAATTAGGTTTTTATTTTAATGAGGGAGATAAAGGTATCTAAGCTAATTTTTACTATTAATATCAATTATAAAAGTATTATTATTATTATAATGAGTAACTTTAAAAGAATGTCCTGGTTTTATGGATTTTTTCTTTACGTGTTTTGACTAATGAATACGAAAAGTTACCATAATGAGCGTTTAATTAAATAGCTTAATATTCTTTCAAAGAAAATTAATGAACATTTTTGGATCACTTTAAATTTATTACAATATATAGCTATTTGATAAAATAGTAACTTTTTGAGAGGGGAGAGATTTATATTAACATAAGTTTTAGTAAAGTTATAAAAAAATCCTTGTAAAGATAAGCTAAAAAATCATTTTTTTAGGTTAAAATAAATTTAATTTATTGTTGTAGATAAAAAAAAAACTTCGTTGATTTTTTTATTTTAAAGTATTCTATAAATAATATTCATTTTAAACTTTAAAATATGTACTTGACTTTATTGTTACTGACGAACATACAATAGATTTTGTCCAAAATACTTTAATAACTTAATTGAAAAATAAAAAAATTGTTCTGTGCTATAAAATTGTTTTATATGAATCTACATGAGGTTAACAAAGGTTTCGATTTTGAGTAAGACCATTTGTTAGAAATACGGAAACTGAAGAAAAATATGTCGGCTGACTGGTAATCGAACTCAGATCTCGCTAAACAGGCGATAGTTTTCCCATTAAAATCCGGTGACAATACATAATTCCTAACTCCCGAATTTTTTAGTGGTTGATAGTACATAGATAATAAATACATTGAATGGGCATGCCTACTCCTATAACTAATGAGGTGTTTTGAGCTTATTTCTTCTTCTTATTTTTCTTTGTCTTTATCATAACGACTTGGGATTAGTTATCTTAAACTTCCACTTGACACGATCTTCCACATCATCAACGCACACATCAGACGCCCTCACATTGCATTTAATAAAATATCTCTATCTCTTTTTGGTCTTCCTCTAGCTCTTCTTTCCTTAATATTCATTTCCGTAACTGTTCTTATAGCTTCCAATTCCTTTCTCCTCATAACATGACCAAACCATCTTAGTCTATTTTTTCTCATGTTATTCACGATTGACGTTATATCTATACTCCCTCTTATATGTTCGTTCCTTATGTTATCTTCTCTAGTCACTCCATTCGTCCATCTAAACATTCTCATATCCGCACACTCCTTCTCTGCTCTATTCTTTTGTCAACCGTCCAACACTCTGAACCATACATCATAGCTGATCTCACTACAGTCTTATAGAACTTACTTTTTAGTCCCATTGGAATTTGAACAATAACCAGACGCCTCTCTCCACTTCACCTAGCAAGGATGGTATCACATCCTTGCTTATTGTCACTGAACTTATTAACACTGAATATAAAGTATACTTTCCAAAAATTGTAATTGTATATAAATTTTTACATTTATACACAATATTATATAAATATCTATTCTATTATATACTACAAAAAAAAAAAAATTATGTAAGAAATTAAAAATTCTTATTTGTTATAAACTGATGTTTTATTCATATATTTTTTATCTATAAGACACTTAATTGCTCAGAATTTATTGCAAATTTTTAACTTTTTTAAAGCAAAAAATTATTTTATTTCATAAAATCTACAATAACACGTGATAATATAAAATATGTATTATGTAATAATAAGTGGTATAAAAATTTTTTTTTATTATCCCATCAGTGTTAACCTCAAATTTAATTTCCTTAAATTGGAACCTCTATATTTAACTTGATAATATAATACATATATAGTGGTCAATAAAATCGACCACTCTGTAAACCTCCGTCAAAAGAAAAACGTTAATTTTAATAAATTGCAAAAATACAATCACCCAGTTTCAAATAAGGACAATTTGACAGAAATGGTAGACGACAATAAACGCATTGCTACGATTTCTCTTGAATTTAAAATTGAAATAAATTGATATCCACAATTCTCTATTTGCTTATTAATGTTATCTACTCAGATATTAGTCTTTTTCTTACGATTAAGCAATAAATGATGTTATTATTATAGTCTAAAGAAATTTGTTCAGTAAGAATTTGTCATTCAATTACACATAACGTATTAACAAATAAATAATTTTAATTTCATAAATAAGTAATTATAATTTTTAACTGAAAAATAATGCAATACGGAGTTGGGAAAATTTGAACTAAAACTCGTTAAATAAATAAACAAATATAATTTTAATCTTTGTTGGATGAAAAAAATCTAGCACGAGTTTTTTTTATCTGTATAACTCATTGGAAAAGTTTTTTTGTTTAAAACTATAATAAAATGTTCAAATGAAAATTAATATTTTATGAAATTATAACATAGTATAAATATTTTGAAAAAATACTAAATGCATGATCAATATGTAATTTTTTCTAGGTGTTCAAAAGCGAGAAGGAATAATGATTTTTTGGCACTTGTATGAAATTTATTTTGTTGTGGAACTTAGATTTTTAATTGTGTAAGTTTTTATTTATTCGCTTGCTTAAACACACTTGAAATATAGCAGATTCCGATGTAACTGTAAATTTGTAAATTTGTTTTGAACAATTCCAGAAAATACATGTTGCTATAAACATTATGTTTCAATTGGAAGGGTATTTTTTTAAATCAATAGAAAGTGATAATTTTTTATGTTCGTTGGCATTTTAGAAACATATTTACAAAGAAAAATTTTCAATTTAAATATATTGAATTTTTTTTTTTGGCATAGCGGTAAGTAGGGTTTTGAAATTAGTGGTGCTTAAATATTCTATCATCATCGCCATCTAATTGGGATGGGCTCTGCTTTAACGATATGACGGAATTTTGCATTGGTTATCGACTTGACAGAACCTCATTATGGTTGAGGTAATCAGTAGGAGTCAAGATGTTTGTCACTATTTATTAAGATGCTTAAATTTTAAGTTTGAAAATATTTTTCTCGCTTTGTCAAAATATTTTACTCACTAAATTCTATCTATTTATTAATATACAACAACATCAAATACGTATTGTTCTACGACAGTAATATTTCAACGATAATATTTGAAAATAAAAACCATATTACTACTACATTTAAAGTAAAAAACAACAGTATATACACTTACAATAATACAAAACAATATTTTAAAAACACAGTTGTATTTATATTTGTATAAAAAACTACTCAATTTTTCCTTAAAAGTTTTTTAAATAATGAGGAAATCTTTTAGGGGATGCTAATGATATTTTAGGAAATACTAAGTAATCAGATTACCACCCTATTTGCGCATATACTAATTGTTAAATTACACGTTCTAAATATAAAACATTTATTTTTATCTTTATTTAAAGTTGAGACTATTTTTCCTATTTGTTTTCATATTGCTATGATATACTGAAAATTTTGAGCTTTGTTTAAAAGGATTAAGTTGAAAAAATTCTGTTATTATCATTGTTTATACATTAATAAATATTTTGTTTTGTTGCATATTTAATTGCTTATAATTCTATGATGTTATTTAAATATTTACAATTTAGTAAAACACACGTATAAATCAAAATAAATAATATTTTATTAATACATACATTTTTTTTTTAAATGCAACAAATTTTCTTCCTTTTTATAAAATTATTCTAATTGCAAAATAAATATAAAGTTTCATAATATAGAAACAAAAATGTGAGAACGAATAACATCAAAATAAATAAAAAAAAAAACAATATGAATAAAATGTAAAAAATAATTTTTGATTAATGATATATGAATAGAGTAAAACTTTTTTATTTGTTTAGTTACAAAATCTATTTTCGAAAGTCGTTAGTCAAAATTGTTGTTTATTAGAGAAAGTATGCAAATTAAAAGGTATTAACGATTAAAATTGGAGTATGTGTAACACAACCTTATGAAAAAAAAACATTACACAAATTATGTGACGATAGAAAAATCTAGAAAACACAAATTAGATGGATTTACTGAATAAAATCAAATTAATCTTAAATAATGATTCCTATACCCCATTATATATGCTGCTAATTCCTTGTCACTTTTAGTATTGTCAAGTTATTCATTAGCATTATGAAGTATAAAGTATATAATTATTCATTTATATTTGAGTAGTGCGGTCGAATATATAGGAATTATAATGTTAGATTTACAATAAAAATAATGCATCAGTCTCTCCTTTGGTTTGAATGTGCAGAATGTTTTTTGTAAAATTCGTAATCTTAAGAACAATAAACTACCAACACATTAATTATTGTTGATTATCAGTGAATGAAAACAGGGGAAAATTGGTAGATCGGCAGATTTCACGATGAGCCGCTTAAACATTATGACAAGGGACCGCTTTAAACAAAAAATTGAATTTAGATATTTTTTTGAGTCGTTAAAAATATTACTTTCTAAGACGCACTAAAGGTGCTAGTTCGTCCCTGAATGGGAATATGTAACAATTGACTTATAAACTATAAGACATTATAGTGGATGAAGATAAAAAAAATACGATGATTGATTGAGAAAAGTATTTAATTGAAAGATACAAAAAAAAATTTCAATATTATTTTTATTTTTTGATTAATAAAATAAATAATTCAAAATACAATGGTAGAATTGCCTTGTATATATAAGGAAATGTTTTTGTTTTAGTAACAATATTTTAAAAGTAAAGACATGTGTCAAATCATTAGAATTTCTACTGTCACTGCAAAAATTATTTGTATGTTTCTTTTAGTAAACATGGTAATAATATTACTTCCAGATAGTAAACAAAAACTATCTTTAATTTATTGTAATTGAAATAATTATATTTTTCGATTTAAGTCCCTCAATATTTTAATTTATCACTACAGTATAATTTTAATTGCTCACCAATATTTGTGTCTGACAATAAATTATGTGTTCATAACAACTGAGAAGTTTCTTAAAAATTCAATATTTGAAATTTAAGTACGGAAGTTGTATTAAAATAAAATCTATTTCTAACGACATTACTTTAAACTTAATATTTACAAAATATACAATAAGTTTCCAAAAAAATCATTTTTAATTAATATAGAACTAAAAAAAATTGTTCCTTAATTATTAAGTAGTCAACTTTTTTGAGCAAAAGCTTTATTTGACTTAATATTTAAAACTGACTCACAAAAAGTAAACGGATAACGAAAAACAAAACTTACTGAGTTTTTCAAGACGTTAAATAAATAAATGTATGACTTTAGACTTATGGCTTACTAGTGAACTATTTAAATATTTATAATAACACTTATACACTCAATAAAAATATTCACACGTTAAAAAAACGAGTGAATAATATATTAAAGAGTCTTATGTTAGCATTTTTCAATTTAACACAAAAACACAGCTCACTTTTGAATTGTGAAAAGAATTTTAAGTAAAACGAGAGATTCGTGTTATGTAAAAATGTATTAAATGGACATTTCAAATACCAATTAATCAATCAAATAGATTTCCACTATACTATAATACAGTGCTATAAATATATTTATATTTTTTTATAAGTAAATAAAACACACATATATAGTATTATAATATTTTTGTTTGAAATCATTATCAGTTGTTTATTAATATACATTCGAAACGATTGATTATTATCTATCTTCGAAATGATCATTATATTTGCGTTGTATTAATTGAAAAACCAAATTGCTTTGTGTTAAAAACTTTTCTTTTCAGTACTGTTCATTCAGCTTGTCGAGCAGGAAAATTCCGAGGCAAATCTCCACACTTGAAAATTTTCTGCTTATACAAATATTAGGAGTCATTAAGCTCATAAAAAAATTACGATTACACAACTTTTTAATGATACTCAAAAAATGAAATTTTTTAAATTTTACAATTTTAAAGTGAGTATTAGGGTATCCTTTATTTTTAAAATTTTGGAAAATTTTCCGGCTCACCCCCTAAATTTGTGTGTATACATATAAAAAGCGGGTACAAAAAATATGAGCCCGAACAGATAAGTTTAACTCGTGCCTACTTGGGATTGAAAATCGTTCATTTTCTTTGCCTTACGCATAAACCTCAAAGACGTCAATTAAAAATAAAAAATAAATTTGTAATATCGTAATTTTATATTAGTATTACTACGCATAAAATGCAGACTAAATTTTACATTTGTATAGATTTTATCAATATCTTAAATATTGTTTGATATTTAATATTGTAGTACTAACAATTGTGTAAATAATAAATAAATATATATTAAATTAATCTAAAATATTAATATATATATATTGATTTATGTATAATTTTTTCAGCAAACCAAACAATCATACACAACACCCAATAAAAGCAAATTTATTATAAAAATTTTAAAAAATATAAGTAAAATTTATTCATAAATATAATATATTTCACTTTAAAAAATCGTTGACAATATAATATGAATGAGTTTAATGTATTCTAATTTAACATAACAAAAACTTTTTATACAAAAATCTTTACAGGTAATTACTAAAGTAATTTTGTTAATATTAAAATACATTAAAATCAGCAATAAACTTTATAAAAAGATACACCTAATAATATTAATACGGAAATATAATGATGAATTAAATTTTTGTTTTTTTACTGTTCACTGCATATATGTTTTCATTGTATAAGTGTTTTAAATTGTTACTTCAATGGTTGATTGATAAATTATGAAGCTGCCCTACAAATTTTATGCTGAATTTGATATTGTAAGATTTTAACGACACAAAAGCTCATAGAATTCAATTAAAAGATACCATAAAATTTCTTATTTAAAAAATATTATATATAAATTGTTTTGATACGTATGTATGTAACAGGAAAACGACGACAAAAAAAAAGAAGCAAAAACCGAATAATATGGTCGTTTTTATATGACGAATTTAAGAAATTCGATGCCAATTACCAAGAATTTTATTGTACATATGAAAACAATATTTTATCGTAGTATTGATAATTTATCAGGAAAAATAATATTCGTAGACAATGCAAAATATTATTTTTCCTTAGTTGTTATAGGATATTTCATAAACTCCTGGAAATACAATAAAGTGTAACTAATAAAAAATATGTAATATAATTAAAGAATATATTTTTTTTGAGTAAAAAAACTGTTTTAATTGAAAATTCTGGAAAAAAATGTTAAAAAGGAAAAAAAATCACTATATATGCTGAACTGTTTTAAATATCATTTATTTCATTTTTAAATAAAATAAATAAATAATAATATTATTAATGATAATACATTTTTTATTAATCCTGTCATATCATTGTAAGGGTAGAGTCAATCTTTAATATCTGCCATAGAAGATAAAAAAATGATGATTTTGATTGAAATTTTTGTTCAGTATGTTAAAAAAATTGACATTCCCATTATTTTTATAATTTTTTTTCTAATTTACCATTTTATTTTATTTTAATTTATTTAAATATGATCAAATAACGTATATCTCATGGATCTGACCACATATCTCTTATACATGGCGATTCTTTCAACTATAGTTATAATTACTGGAACGTCCACTTAAATTCAGTGTATAATTTGATATGAATGTAGATTATACTAATTTTATTTTTTATTTCTCATAAAAATAAATTGAATAACACATATACTTAAATTTAAGTTCAGTAATTGAACTTTTATCATATATCAAATCCTCTTATCAATACTTCTTAAATTTAATTATTTCAAAAAAATGAATAGAATATCTCATATTTTTAATTATTCTTTTCATATTACTCTTTATTTTTTTGTAACACATTACCGTATCTTCGGGAATTTATGAAATATCCTATAACAAATAATTATTTTTTATTTAAAGTTCATTATTTCTATGTGTAAAGTTTAAAAATTAAATAAGCAAGGGACAAGAATGATTTTAGAGAATAAGTGAACTTATAAATGAAACAACTTTTTAACATAGATGGTAAGATATTTCATTTCATTACAAGACTTTTATTACAAGTACATTATTTTGTCAGTGAGGGTAGGACGAAAAAACTATTGTTCTCTTTTAACTTTGATCTTAACTTATAAATAACTTCAGTGTAGTTAAAACTTTAGTATAGTATAAATAAACTTATTTGTTTTCTAGTGATAAAATTAAATGTAATAATTTTTCTTAAAATACAAAAAAAGCACTTTTTTTTATTATTAATAGTCTGACAATATTTCATTTCATCAGAAATGTATATTTTATTAAACTGATATATGTATGTAAATATACATATCAGTTTCACAAATAACAATCGTTTTGTGACCCATTTGATAAAAACCTACCTAACCAAAGGAAAAAACGTTATGTTATTAAAAAAAAAAAAAATACTTAAAATTACAGAAAGTTAATAATAATTGGACGTTATATTCATTTTATTAAATTTTCAATTGTTTAGTTGTGATAAATTACAGTTTTTTGTACATCCAGCATGTAGATAATGAGAAGTATCTCAAAATGTATTAATTCAATTGTAAAATTACTAGAATTCGATAACATAACCGTCAGACTAATTACGATGAGTTCTATTGTTCGAATTTCTTCGACCCTAATTTAAACACGAGATACCATATGGTAGACGGGTATCGCATAGTAGACATCGTCAAATGACGCCCTCAACAACTCTGACCCTAAGCGTTATAATGGGGCGATAAATGCTGCGTTATAATTTTTTAACGTGTACAAGTGTTAAAATGAAAAAAAATATGTGCGTTGTGTACATAGCAGCTCACCTGAAACATCATTCCAACCGTGACGTCGCTGTTTCGCTTATGGTATCGCAGTTACATGTTGCCCGAACAGCACGTGCGTACGGGCAAACGTTCGACTGAGTAATGTTATGTTGTCGTACCGCCACACACGTAGGCGTTACCACCAGAAGCGCCGGCAGTGAAGTCGGTAAAGCTTTACCCCGCCGCCCACCGTTGCGGTCCTTTCCGCTCCATCCGTCCCGCAACAATACAGCTCTTGTAGTCCTGCGTTCGCGTGTTTGGACCTTTGTCGGATGCGCGCGCAACCGGAGTGCGTGGGTTCCGGTTTTATTATCAATGAACTGAGTACGACAAGCGCCGTGGCCCGGTCCCGGCGTCCACAACGGCAGTGGTCCCTATCGATCCGCCACGGACACTTGTTGCCGCCATATTGGCCTTGCCTTAATAACACAAAACAGTACAACTGCTACGCCGACAGAGCGGAACATCCCCGCGGCTTTGTGGTAGGACATATTCCCTTAAACTGTTAACGTCGCAAAATCCTCCGTTCTCTTGAAAGGATTTGGGGGGTCCTCGTATTAAAGCGTTCGATTGTAAAGATAAGGAAAAACAAACAAAACGAGAATATCTCGAAGAAAGCGAAAATAGATACACTTGTGTTGGTTTAGTAAAATTCAACATGCTCTTCCCGTTCACGTTAAAATCCTCGTGGTGTCAGTAAGACTGCCAAAGGAAAAACACTAACTAAAGGTACACATACTACTGTGTATACATCATATTGTAACCTGCTCTATGGCATTTAGGTCGAATAAAATGACACAACTTCGAAAAATATTGCGTGTAACGGTGCCGTTTCGCATATTATATTTTTGACACGGCAGTTCAATGTGTTATTGTGCCATGTTAATAATTCCTGTGAAGCACACAGACCATTGAAACGTTATAAACCAAAAAAAAAAAAACAGCTACTAGTATGTCATGTTAAAGGTAAATTGAAGCACTAATTTTAACTTATCATGAAAAATGAATTACTCTTACGTTAATTTCTCATTGTAATATTATCTTCTAATATTAACCATACTATATTGAACTATCTGATAAAACAATTATTTTTAACTAGTCCGTTTTTAAAACCAAGTGGTACTTATCTAGAGGCAATTTAAAAATGTAACAATAAACCACAGGGTTTCGACGAATAAAGGTACTATCTATCATTATATCTCATTATGATACCCAATTTTCATCACAAATAACACACAGTTATTATAATATATACAATAAATCATCACATACGTTAGTGATGTGACAAACTTAAAATTTCAATAGCAAATTAAAACTAATAAAAAAATATCCGAGTACCAAATAAATATATAATTTTATAGGTTTTCCTAGTTTAACAAGTAAATCATATAAAAAAGCTTTTGCGATTTTCAAATTTAATGAAATAATCTTTTAGTTGTCAAACATTATGTCATTATATATAATTAATGTTCGGATTTTCATGCCAAAAACATAGGAAAAATGCCTTTGAATATGCGAAAATATGTATTTAATTTCTTTAAACAATTACATTACATAAAAATATATTAGTTAGAATAAATATTTACTACTACTATTTAGCAAACTATTACCTATAGTTAATTCATAATATTGTAAAAAAAAATAAAAAAACCTCAATTCCAATCATATTATAGTGCTGCTGTAAAAAGTATTTGATAAGGAAATATGATTAATGTAAGATTTTTTAATTATTTGATAGAAATATGTAAGTGACAAATTGCTGAGAAAAAAGTTCCAAGAAAGTTTTTTTTAACTTTATAACTAAATGTAAAACTAAAAACTGTAGCACAGTATGGACGTGAGATAGTTAGGACTAGTGTAAATGATATCTGACAGTGATTTTAATCACTGTCATAAGAACGCCTCGATGCAAATCTGTAGATAATGTTTAATTCTAACTAAATTAATGAATTATTACAAATGCAACATCAAATTTTATTTCCTTAATTATATCTTGATTAGTAGTTCTTAGATTTAAAAGTATAATTTATGAATAAATATTTAATATAGTAATTAACTATAATATGAAATTAATATTTAATAATTTAATATTGTAATTTTTACCGAGAAATAATAAAAAATGATTAAGTAGTATATTTTGTTACTTCTATAGCAAATATGTATAATAATTAAAAGTTAATGCAATATTTTATTTTTACTTCTGAATAAATACATTGGTCTACAAGGAACTTTCATCGCAATCAAAAATATATTTTTCTAAATCAACTTTTCGCACCGTTTAATCTGAAATAAGACTTTTTTTTTTCACTTCTAAGTTTTGATATCATTACTAATTATTAAATAAACCGAGAATTATAACACAAAAATAGCATATTTTTGAATACGATAGCCTTTTTTTTTTTCATCATGAAAAATTATACATATATATACAGGGTGATTTTTTTATCATAACCCACTCAATTACTTACAGAATAATAATAATTCAAAAATTTGTTTTTATTATTATCTTTAGTTACACATTATTCTTGAATTTTTAACTATGTAATACTTTTTAAGTTCATCCCTTATGCCTTGGAGGGGGGTCAACTTTGTTTTTTTAAATGGTAACACATATTTTTAATTTAATAAAATGTTTGAGTTTTTAATTTAATAGTAAATGGCATTTGAATTTTTAATATAACTTTATTAGCTTATTAGATATAAACATTTAAAGTTTCAAAATTTTGAGTTAATATACATGTATAATACACATGGGATTGTAAATACAGGTAGCTAATTGATTTTTTATGACATCAATATTAGCAGGTACACAGCATTGTTATTATCAATGATAGTAAGGTACATTGTTGTGAGTATAAATACACTAACTGACAATACAAAAAGTATATCTATTGATAGTCATAATTGATAATAAACAATCCGTGACTGTGATACTTGATCCAACTATGCCACGACCCCCCTGTGCTGGGTTTTGTTACTTGTACATATAACAAAAATATTTATTACATTATATTTATGTTTTAGGCAAATAACGCATAATTCAAAGTTTATAGAGTGAACATAAAAAATACTTATTTGTACTGCGAGTATTTAATTATTAAACTACTTTAAAATTCTGTGATAGTTTACCATTTTTCATGTCGATTTTAAAATATGTTAGAAGTCAAAGAAACAAAATTGTTTTTCGTAATTTATGAATGAAGACCTTGGTATAGTTTTACATTTCATTTAAGCTAAACGGAAATAAAGTACACTCATACTTAAATAATATATAATTATAAAATATAGCAGTATCATTAAAAACGTGTTAGGGAGGGGGAAATATAGTTGCCAGTGCTTTAGAGCGCCAGACATTTGAGGGACGCTAATAAAATATGAATACAATTTTTTTTGCATATTATGTATTTTGTTTAAAAATATATTAAATAGGGGCGCTAAATATATTATTGATCGAAGGCTCCAATGACAGTTATCACAGCTTCATAAAAAAAAAAATTAAAATTGGAGATAAAAAAAAAAGTTCTCCCAATACTTGTCATTGGTTAAAGCAAATGTAATAAATCAATGTTAAACAAAATACTTCAATAATTTCCCTGAAAAAGTATAGACAATAAATATTAATAATAGAAAATATCACATATAAAGTGCTAACAATAAATTTGTAGTTTTAATATTGTAGTTTTGAAATGGGGTAATATCGACTATGATTTTAATAAGATTCGCTTTATTTTTACTTTTATATAAAAGCTATACAATTGCTATCGTTGATATCTAAACTATTTACTGTATAAAAAAAGGAAGTCAAAAAGGGGACTCATGCCAATGTCCTCTTGAAAGAATTTATGCGTGTTGGTTTGGAAACGCTAATAATCAAAAGGAAAGCAAGTTGCAGTAATTTGGTGTGAATAAATTAACATATAGATTAGTATAAAATTAAACTTAAAAAAATCTAAAGTAACTGGGAGCCATCAAAACAAAAATATACGTTTTATGAAAAAATTAAAACATTGATAAGTTTACTAAAAACAGTTTTTTATTTTATGTACTCATATTTATTATTTATTTTTCAAATTAGTAGTTTAATATTTTTTTATATAATAAAAATTGATCATTTGGGGCTAATTATAATAAAAAAATAGTAGGGATAAAAAAATAATTAACTTCTCAAAAATCGTGAAATAAATATTAATAAATAAAATCTAACGGTCAATCACTCTGTGTAATCTAGTTCCATATTAGCAATGATATTATTTTATCGATTAATCTTAAATAAATCTATAAACGATTTGTTTTATTTTTGTGCACCTGGAATAATTATTTATAAAATTGTAAGAGACACATATTAAAAATAATTATCTGAGATTATCTACATATATATTTTTTTATGATATTTGTTTTATTTGGATGGTATTTTTTTTGTTGAAAAATTATAATATAACAAATCACAACATATAAAGTAGGTGCTATTAATGCCACCTAGTAAAAAAATAATTGACAAGTAGTGGTTAATGGTTTTACTCGTTTATTAGTGTAATAAAATAAATTAGCGCCTTCAAGGTTTTTCTCTAATGGTTTTCCTTTTAAATATCTTTGACACCCCTTCAATATCACGATAAGAAAACTAGCTTCGTATCATTTGTTTAAATATTCATATCTAAATAAATAAACTATAAAATCTCTAAAGGCAGCTAGAGGTCTAAAAAATATTTTGTCTATTTTTTCGCCAGTGTCCAAACTAATTTAACCTCATTGATAAAGCCTAGTAAAATATCCAGAGCGAAGAAGGAATTTTAGACTGAAAAATTCCATGTTATATATAGCTGTATAAATTTCTTTCGTTTCTGGAGTAGTTAAACTGAAACACACCTTGAAAATATCCTTTTATTAGTTTCATTTAGTGAAAATTACTTAAAATATGCTTTACAATAAATTGAATGCTTTTTGTTCATGTTAAATTTGAAATTAAATATTATAACATTAAAAATTTAATTATTTTCTACGAAGTACATCAGTTCTAGATTTATAATTGTCTTTCGTGAACTAATATAGTAGTAGTATTTTGTTTAGTATTATTTATTTCTTATTGTACAAATAATTAAATAACTTTTGGTCCATCCCTTATCTTTTTAAGCGTAGCAACTTTATTTTTTGATATGACAACATACATATTTAAGTAATAAAAACAATATACAAAGTGTTCAGTAAGTAAGAAACAATTATTATAAACTTCGAGAACAATAGAAACCCGTTTCCTTACGTATTGAACACTCCACTTGAAAGAAAATGATCCAATTAAGGAAAAGACTAGACAATATCAGTTTTTGAACCAGTGAAAGAAGTTATTAACACTTTAAATATTGACAAGAGGAAAGGCGCGAGATAAGTTATTTTTAACATCGCGCATTTTTCTGCTGTCCTACAACTGACCCAAATATAAACATATGTATAATTCCTGCAAAACAGGTTCAAAGGTTATTACTAATCAGTAATTTTCTTAATTAGACTATTTTCTAACTTTTTTGATTGTTCAATGTATCCCTATAAGGAATGGACCTACTATCAAATATTTAATTACTTATACATCCATTTATAAAAAACACAAAAAAAAATTCTCAAAATTATTCTTATCTTTAAAAATTTAAAGATTTTAATGGTCAAAGACAAATTAATCGCTCTCTATATTGAGAATGTTCAGTAAGTAATAAAATAGTCGAATTGTTACATATGATGAAAAACAAGAGAAACCTGTTTACTTTCTTACTGAAAACTATATTTATTTGGTCATGTCAATCATCGATAAGAATTGACAGTCATAACATCTAACTAATAAACTATTTTGATGATAATTACATTAGTTTTTTTTTAAATTGCATCATTAATATTTATTTTTAGGAAAATTAGTTGTATAATTGTTTTTTTAAGTTTTAATTAGGGCTCATTATTATGAACGTCTACTTGGAATATTAAATTGTGTCATTAAGCTAACTTCAGTTCCAAAAAACACAATATAATTTATGCTGTTAATAAAATATTATTAGTTTTTAATAAGTAAGTAACTGTAATATTCCTACATTAAAATGTGTTTTTCTTTTACATCCACTATATATTTTATTCACAAGAACTCGTTGATATAACTTGAGTTTATAAAGAAAATAAATTTAAAAACTTTTGTTGTTGCAGTATCATTAAACGTCGGAGTTCATAATTAATAAAATATATTTGGATAGATTTTATTTATATTGAACAACAATAGTCATTTAATGTACTTTAAAAAGTATACTGTAAGTTATAATGATCTTCTTTTTTCATATAATTCAACTACAAAATCGTTGTCCTAAAATTATTAAAATATACATGTGAAATGACTTATTTTAAAAAATGTAAAAAGATCTCTGTAATTACTTACCCGCTATAACCGATCTGATCCAAAAGAGATGAATTGGAACTGTTAATTTAGTATTAACAGATGGCGATTTATCTATACATGCTACCCCAAAACTAATTACACCCACAATCGTAAGCTTTCCATTACTCGGGTCTGTCCAAATTAGTGGTCCTCCTGAGTCTACTTGACATGAGTCCGTTTTGGGAAAGAATGTGCACATGTGATCGCGATCTGCTGCATATTTATAATGTGAAGTGCACCTGGAAATGGGCACCACCTTTAAGAAAGTTTTCTGCAGAGTATCGGATATAGGACCTCCAAAATTGATGGTACCCCAACCTGTTAAAAAAAAAAATTACCAAATAAAAGTATGAATTAAGCTGACTTTAATTTTCAAACGGTTTTAATTAATTAAGATTGATTTTTTACCCAAAACTTCAACGGTTTCTCCTACGAAATCTTTATCGATATATCTAAACGGTAAACATGCTGGCCCCACCTTTGATGAAAAAGGTATCACCTCATGAGTCTCCACAATTGCTAGATCATGAGTTCGAGATGACATGTTAAAGAATGGATGCATGTAAATTTCGGTCACAACCAACAATCTAGCAGAATCTGTGTCGTTTCCTGTCAACGAAATTAAAATCATGTGTTGTTTCTAATTTAATAAAACTAAAACACTAATTTTTTAGATATTGAAATTAAAAAAATTATAATGCATCTATAATTTGTGACACTTTTTTTTTTTATTAAACATTAGATAATACATTAATGTAATGGTTTGAATTACTGGATCAAATAGAAAATTTGTTTTTTTTTTTAATCTAATCATTCTTTCAAATTCTAACTAATCAAATACCAAAATATTAAATATGGTATTTATTTTTTTTAATGTTTAATATTTCATTATAAAAACTAGTGCGTATTACGAGTACGTGCGGATGAAGTGAAGCGTCTTTCAGAGTCATTCAACTGAAAGAATATTAGTTTTATATTGGAATACAATATAAAACATACACCAAAAATGTTTAATTTCAATTGATATTAATTTAATTTCTTATTAATTTTCTTATTCTATTGTCACGAAAGACATTATGATAACTGAAATAATGTAAGTTTTTGATGGGACGTTTAGCAGATATCGTGTAAAAATTGCATTTATTGAGTTTTTTTTTTTAATTAAATTATTTAACGAATTTTAAATAACATTACTTTAATTTTTGAAAATACAGTGCTAAATTATAATATAAAATATAATTTATTACTTTCTATTATAATTTTTTAATAGAAGTTTAAATAGATAATATTTATTTTTATTTACATTTTTAATAAAACATAGAAAAAATAGCTAATGCTGGAAAAGTTACTTAACGATGTCCGATTTTCTTTATAATGAAAGAGCTAGATAACGTTATTCTAGTAAAATTATTCGCGAAGATGAAAATAATTTTTTAGCACACCGTGACCCTTTAAAAATTTTATCAGAAACGCTTACAGCCGCCAGCGTTTTTCAAAATATAAATTTTTTACCAGATTACTCTGAAATCTGTTGATTTTTGATCGAGTTATGAGCTATTTTTTAAGTACGTACATAATTTTTAGGAAGATACGATTTTGGTTTGCGCGTGTATATTTTATTTAAATTGTATACACATAGTTAATTAAATATATAGCTATTACATTTATTTATATTATATATATATATTTAATTATTTAATTATACAAATAAATGTAATGCCTAAATGTATATATATATATACAGGGTGATTGACTAACTATGCCTCACGAATTTTCTTTAAAAATATTAGTATTATCGTATATGTAATTATTTTATTTGTTATAAATCTTTGTTGAGCTACTTGACAAGAAAAATGAAGATTCAATCTTCATCCCTCAACCCTTAAATCAATATCAACTTTAGTTTTTCAAATAGCAACCCAGTTTTTTTTTTTATTAATCTTGTTAATAAAAAAAAAAAAAAATCAATTTTAATAAATTCTAAGCGAGATATTACTATTTAAAGTTTAGGGGATTTAACAAATAAAACAGTAGTCGGGTAAATATAGTATCGTTATTATTTAGTGTACCGATAAGAAGTGGTAGCGCTTATCGATTTACGATCCATAACGTTCTCGTCTGTAATGATTTTTTCTTAATAAATCCTAAACTTTAGAGAGCCGTGGAGCGCTTAATATTTAATAAAATAAAATATTTTTTTTACAAAACATTTTTTTTTTATTAAACTAAATCTAATGGTATAAAAAAAAAATAGTGTTGCCATTTGAAAATATGAAGTTGACACTATTTTTAAGCAAAAGGGATGGTGTTAAAAATTTAAATTTTCTCGTGAAACATCTCATCAAAGATCCATAATGTTAAAAAAAAAAAAATTGTTTATAACTCTTATATTTTCAGAGATAATTCGTGAGGCATAGTTAGTCAATCACCCTGTATATATATATGGTGGGTCGGTGTGGCCGAATCGGTAACGCGGAGGTGCTTGACGCGCACTGACTCGGGTTCGAAACTCGGTCACGTGGCGGTTTCATTTACCGAACGAGAGATTAGTTCGATAATTGGAGCCGCCATTTCTCGCTCCGGTGACGTACTAACCACCTGTCCCGAAGTATAAATGGTTAAGAAACCTCCTCCTTTGGGTCAGGACGCTATGGCCCTTAATGGACTGGTAAAGCAGAAAAAAAAATTTTTTTTTATATAACATAATATAATAAATTACATTTAATCATTATTTTGTTTTCATAATTATTTATTATTGGCAATTTACTCATTTCATTATTAATAAAAAGAAATAGCAAATATAAATGAATAAATTAATAAGAATATATGATAAATATAAATAATAAATATTATCTATATTTATTTTTATTAATAAGAATAATAATTAATAAATTATATTTTATGTTATCATTTAGCTATAATTATCTATTTTTCTGATTATGTGAATATAAATAAATACTATAATAAATAGATTTATTTATTTTATTCATTATGTATACTTTTTTATTTTAATTAATGTAATTATAAAAATAAACATGTTTAATTAAATTATAATATAAAATATGTGTAGCAATTTAAAAGTGCATTAATATTTTTAATTTAACATGTATGCAATTTTTTATTTTTTTTTTTAATTCACATCAAGTGAATTAAAATACCAAATTATAAACTAATAAATTAGTGTTATTAAAAAGTAATATATTAATAAATAAATATTTTAATTTTAAAAATCAAGTTGTGTGAATTTAATACTCAAAATTTATATATTTATATTATTACAATAAATTTGAAAAAATTGTGAAAAGTAAACGTTTATCGAACGTACATGTTTATTATGAGGAGCTTATTAAGCAGTCGTATTGATGAAAACTCCATTTTAGTGTAATAGTATTAATATGCGTATCTATTAATAGATAAAACCCTTAATTGGCTAAGACAGAGTTTAAATAGAGTACGGTAAGAGTAAAAGTATCTTAGATTATCATTAACCATTCAGTAAATCAGACCAAAAACAACACTTCGTTAATGTTATCATAAGTTTAATGATCTAACTCGCAGAATGATGTATAGCAGTTACGATCATGAAATAATTCAGCTATATTATAATGACTCAATTTTGAAAATATTATATGAGGTTACAAAGAAAATATATATAGAGCGTCAGTAAGTAAAAAAATGAGTTTTTATTGTTTGTAACAATTGACCTGTTTTCTTACTTTTTGAACATTTTGTATAATTCGTTTTTAGTATTTTATTATAAATTCATAAAGTCTAGCGTTCTAGTGGCAATTTTTCAAAATTTGTATATGTGTGAGAAATGGGTTATTTTATATAGTTATTTAAAATACAGTATTGATTATTTTTTGTGTAATATATACTTTTTAAATATTTGAGTACGTTTCTACTGATGGGTGTTTTTTTCATTAAAATCAATATCATTGATTAATATTTCTTTATGTCCCATGACACCAAAGGTTAATTGATTAAAAACAAATTATAAATACAGTAACTTTGAAAAATCTGTTAATGAAATTAAAGTAACTAGTGTTTTTAGTTGATAATAAAATAATTATTACGGCAATTATTGAGTTCGTAATTTTTACTTATCACCACGTTTTCCCAGAGAATTATAACTGCCTTGCAGATCATATCGAAGATATACTCATCATAGAGGAATGTTTTTTTTACCTTTTGTAACATCGTGATCGCCAACCAAAAGACCTATTTGGTACGGATTTGCAAAATTTAAACAATGAGCAGCGGTCAATGCGTGATGTTTGCTAATGATTGTTGCACCACAAAATAAGTTGGCCGTCCGGCTATCTATTAATGAAGCCATTAATGGGAATTCATTGACGCCAGTTGTTCCTCCGTTGAGATCTTGATCTTGAGTTAGAGGCTGTAAAGAATAATATGAAAAAGTTTATTACAGTTTGGAAAACGTCTCTAAAAATAAAAGTGTAAAATGGGTTGATGAAGTAAGCTTTTTGAAACATGAAAATATCAAGTTATTTATGAAATATGAATCAACTAGTATACCAAAATAATATACTATTACATTTTTCATCTTTATTTTCACAAAATAAATAACAATGGGGACAATTTATATTTTTAAATATTTTTTCGGCTAGATTTTTAATTTCAGCTTTTATTTTGTTTATGTATATGGGCAAAAGAGTATTCATTTAAATGGCTATAACACATAGAAGTTACCAAATTAATTTTATTTTAATTAAAACATATGCTAATAATTTAATTAATGATGTTATTTTGAAATCGTGAGAAAATATTGTTTTTAAAATGTTATAATAATTTATAAAATATAGAGTTAACTTTAAAATCCATCAACAAGTTGACATATGTACAAATTATAATGCAGGTTTTTAATTAAATTTTTTTGGCTATTTTAAAACAAAACATCATGAAACGGTTGTTTAGTATTCTTAATCCCCAAAATAATTGTTTACGCGTTAAATTTAAAAATGAAACGTAACTCTAAATTTTCATTTTTATAACTTGTACAAAATATGTAAATCACAGAATATATGGTATGGTTTACAAATAAATGTGACAGTCGAACAAGCTGTAATATTCTTGTACCCGCATGATAGGGGCTAAAAATATTTTCATTACTATTCTATATAATGCGCCAAAGAATTTATAGGTTACCAACGCCTTATTTTGAAAAGGTTTTGCAGCAAATAGTAATATATATTCCTAAAATATTATCCTAATTATTTTATATTAATCCCGTAAAATAAACAGTTTTCAGGAGATCATTTTACATAAATAAATTATGAAATTGCTCTTAAGGAACAAAATATCTCTTCATAAAGTTTAATGAATATTTTAATTAATAATTAATAAATAATAGTTTTTTTTGGAAATTTAAATATAATATAAGCGTATTTAACTCCATATTTTTATTAGAAAACATTAGTTATTCTTTAATTAAATCAGAACTAACAATAGCAAAATGTTAGATTAATAAGTTTACACATAACAAAGTCTAACTTTGAACTTTCAAAATCTCTAAATTTATAAAAAAACTAATTGATAAAAACTGAGAATTTTATTCAAAACTTATTTTGGGTAATCTAATCAACATTCAGATGTGTAATTTTTAGTAAAAATCGTGTTGTATTTATTCATAAGTTTATTTGATTTCACTTGGCGGTTAAAATAAATTAAATCGTTTCTTAAAATATAAATACATGTTAAATGTATTAAGTAATGTCATTTATGATTGATCGTATTTTATTTCATTATACAAAATCCTAGCAAAATATAATCATGAGACTTTGAAAACTTGTAAAGCTTTAAATATAACTTTAAATGAAATTTTGAGTTATTCTATTTATTAAATTTACACAGAAAAACACTTTAAATTTCAAAGTGCGTGATCTTGTGATACTTGGCTAAAAATATTAATTAGAATGTTAGCTAATAGTTGTGTAATAAAAAAAAATTAAGCAGGTATTTTCGAATAAATATATACGATTGATAACAATAATTATTGATTTACATAAAGTTAAATGTATAGGTTTTAATCTTTTTTCTACGAGTATATTTCTGCAGCTGCATATTTTAATTTATTATACGGCCACAGATATGTTTTATTTAAATGATTTTCTGTATCTGATATCAGTTTAATGAGTATAGAATTAATCATTAAAACTTCGTAAATACAGTATCAACGATACTTTCCATCAACTCGAATAAATTTCATAATCATTATGAATAAAATAAATATAAATTAGTAATGTTAACCTTATTCCTTTTTCCACAATCACATGCTGATGAGTTAATTGCAACTTCCTTTTGAATCTGTTTGGTATGTTTGGAGATTCTAGCCGCCAAAGAGCATACAAATTTTCCACCTTTGCTATTAAATTTTGATCTAAATAAGATGCTTATTTTATTAGAACGACTAACGACTGTGAATGACTTTGGTCCACAGCGTCGAACACCGTCCACAAAACTTTCATCGCCCGTTCTGGATAATATCATGACGTCTGTGTCACAAAAAGGGCTCTGAATTTTTTTAATTAAAAAGAAAATTATACATAAGTTGAATTGTTAAGTATTAAATACTATTGATTATTAACATTTATAATGTATTTTCAATGAAATATTTTTTATCAACAATCTTACAAAAAAAATTTCTGCAATTTTCAAAACAGGATAACATAATTAATTATAAAGTGTATTAATGCATTTTATAATAAAAATTTTAATTGAAAAAATTCGTCGGATTAATTATTTTTCTTACTGTGTATTTAATTATTTTAATTAAGCATTTCAGATTAGAACTTTAAAAAGTTAAATAAATAGTATATACAAATTACCAAATCTTCGTAACTTATCATTTAAGTAAAGTTTGAAAATAAAACAAGTGTAAATTATGTGTTATACTTGATAAATTATTATGCTAACCATTATAATATAAAACAAACAATGTATTCAAATACTTATATATGAATTATGTTGTACACTTTAATATTATCTTATTAATATTTTCTTTAAATATGGTATTAATAATACTTCAATAAAGTAAACTGTTTCTTCTTTATGTTTACTAAAGAATTATCATAAAACTTAAATCCCTAGTTACATTTTATCACTAAGCTTAATATTTCATAAATTTATAATTGCAAACTTATATTATAAAATAATACGAGTTAGCCACAAACAATGACAAATTTACTGAGAAAGCGTAGTAGGTCTTAACTTCTTTGTATTTACTCAGTATTAATATTCTTATCGGTATTCAATGTGCCACAAATGGAATTCTGCGAGGTTCCAGAGATAAATAGGGTTCCTATTTATTTGTTTTTTATGTTATGTATATAAAATTAACTAATAATATTAATGATTTAATTTTTGATCGCTTTATCACATCACTCAAAATCTACAGTAATAAAAGATCACTTAATGGTATTAGGTAGTCCAACGCCTAAATAAGAGGGTATATCTTTAAAACTATTATTGTTTTCTCAAAAAAAAAAAAAAAAACTAAATGCGTCTTTAACAATAAAAATATAACTTATAGTTATACTTTACATTTGGTACATAAAACTCTTCACAGTTTAATACTAAACGAGCAGAGGTTGAAGTTGACTTCGCATACCATCTGCATTCTTGGCCTGGTGTGTAACGTTCCGGATAGCCTGGCGAGTACAAAAAGTATGAACCGTTGCCAGGCTCAATCACCTGAAAGAAATCACATCCGTTAAAGCGATACTCATTATTTTCATCTTGTAGTTTGACGTCCAACTGGGCTACTGTAAGTCCTACTATTAATATAACGCGATAAAATGCTAACATTACGTATGTTTGTTTTGGATGTAATGAGACAGAAAGCTCCTCGGCCAGAGACCAGCCGATAAATTGTCCAAGTAGCCTTGAACAATCACAGTTTGTTTTAACATTAACATAATAAATTTTAAATCGATAGCAACTAGGTCGTAATTCATTTTTAGAACTTGGAGAGTGTAGCGATAATAGTCAGTCATTTCCTCGTTCAAATTCTCATGCACCTATACGATAAATATATTTCCACAAGCCCCTTTTGTAGACACTGTTAGAATAATATTTTTTTTTTTGCATAATTATGCGAGTATATATGTTGATAACATAATCCATTATGATTGGTTTATAGAATAACGAGGAAAAAAAGTGTTTGAATTAAGCTTCGATATAATTCTAGATACTAACCGAAGAAAAATAAAAGTGTGGTTTAGTTAAATGTTTAATAGGAATAATTTAAAATTAGTACATAACACATTAGTCATTTAAATATTCCAGGTGAAAAGTAATTTTTATTTAAAATTTCACTGAACTATTATTAAAACAATCTTAATACTTATCCAAGAAAATATCATTCACTTTTATAATTAAAATTTGAAGCAAACATTTTTTACCTCATAATTTTAAACAAATCAATTTATAAAATGTCAAAAGATTTAGTATAATATTTAATAATGACTATATCTCACTTGGGTAGTCATTCTTTTTTTTTTAGTATCAATAATTTAATTTTTATTTACCTTTATGTGCATGTATTTTTCAATAATTTATAATTACACTGTTAAAAAAAATAAAAATGTAAATTGCAGGAGTTATGGGATTAATTCTTAATAATTCAGGTCATAGTATTTCGGGGTCACCGATTCCTATCATTTCTCTATCAACTCTCTCTCTTCATCTTATTCTTTTTAGTCGCCTTAATCCCAACTACTCAGAATCGGGCACCATTATCCTAAACTTCCACTTGACACGATCTTCCTCGTGATCTACGTAGACTTCTCTATTAACTCTAATTCATAAAATAATGCGTATTTTACATTTTTTAAAGTGTGCAAGCTTTTAAAGCTACATAGATTTTGTAATAACTGTCACAAATCAAAAAAAGTATGCTATATAAAATCTATAAAAATGAAAAATATAGTAAAATACTAAAAGTATAATTTTTTTTAACTTAAAATACATTTTACATTGACACTTCTTAAGTTTAAAACGCTATAACTTCTTGAAATATACACAAATTAAAAAAATATGGTACGGATTGATTCAAAATTAGATAAATTAAAATATAGTTACTAACATAAAAAACGGTAGCACAGTGGGGTCGAGGCACAGTATAGACGTGGCATAGATGAGATAAGTATAGATGATATCTGACAGTGATTAAAATCACTATCATAAGAAACGCTTCGATGCAAATCTGTAGATAGTGTTTCCTTTAGAGAAATTGGTGAAATATTTTAAAAGCAACATGAACTCTTATTTCTTTAATTATATCCTGATTAGTAGTTCTTTGATTTTAAAATATAATATATGAATAAATACTAATTATAGTTTTTAAATTTAGTATGAAATTGTGAGGCCAGCTATGATGTATGGTTAATAGTGTTGGGCGGTTGATAAGAAAGTAGAGCAGAGAATAAGTGTAGCAGAGATGAGAATGCTTAGTTGGATGAGTGGAGTGACTAGAGAAGATAGGATAAGGAACGAGCATATAAGAGGAAGTATAGGTGTTGCGTCAATCGTGGATAAGATGACAGAAAATAGACTTAGATTGTTTAGTCATGGTATGAGGAAAGAAGAATCGAAAGCTGTAAGAACAGTTATAGAAATGAATGTTGAAGGAAGAAGAGATAGAGGAAGACCAAAAAAGAGATGGAGGGATGCTATTGAATGCGATTTGAGGACAGCTGATGTGAGCGTAGAAGATGTGGGAGATCGTGTCAAGTGGAAGCTTAGGATAAGGGTGGCCGACCCCAAGTAGTTGGGATTAAGGCAAAGAAAAAGAAAAATATTACCAGAAATTCCGGTGGCAATTGACATAATATGATTGTTGTTTCGGAATGTACAATTTAGCGTTTAGTTGGGTTTAAATAATATAGCGTCAAATCAATTACCTACTCTATCGGTTGTATCTCAATATACACTACACTTTAATGATACAATAAATAAATAAACTCACACATACACACATATGCATTTATAACATTGTGTCTAATGTAAGTATAACATGATAAAAAGTAACCGTAAAATGAAAAAAATGGAATATAAATTTTATTACTCATATTAAATGTAATGTAACTCGAAAAATATTTGTTTAAATGAAAAAATATAAGATTATATTTTTATTTATAATTGTCTTTTAAACAACTTTTGTGCGAAACTTTTTTTTGTAAGTTAAATATTTTTTTTTGAGAAAATTAAGAAAGCTCATATTTTTGAACTTTTGCGAGGATTTAAAAAAAAAGCTCAATTCCAATCTTGAGGACTATTAGTATGTCATTATACATATTTTAATTCAACTTTTAAAAAAACAAAATTTTTTCCGCAATTTTTCCTTTGTTGACAGGCCTAGATGTCAATTTTAAACTTGTAATTGAGCTAAAAGTTATGGTAATATATTCAATTTATTTTACTATAAACTTTCATAAATCTTTATCAAAAATTTTTCATCAACTTTAAAGAACCAAAAAAATAGGTTAAAATTGAAAATTTGGACTGATTATTTTTAACATATTAAAAATCAAATCAGTAATAATTTGAAAACAAATTTTTTTTTCTTTTAATTATTATTTTATATATATAATTAGTAATAATATAAAAAATTAGAAGTGATAGAAATAGTCTACTTGCAGATTTGAAAACAACGCGAAAATTTGATTTAGAAAAGTATATTTTTGCTTCTGATGAAAGTTCCTTGTAGTCCAGTGCATTTTTTTATAGTAACAAACAGTTTTTATTGAAAATTATTGTATCAAGCCCTTTAAATTTTTATACACGTAAAAGTAAAGCAAAATATAACTTCTTTATTATTTTTATAATTTCTCCGTTTAAATTACAATATTAAATATCAATTTCATACTAAATTTAATAATTATAATTAGTATATATTCATATATTATATTTTAAAATCAAAGAACTACTAATCATGATATAATTAAAGAAATAAGAGTTGATGTTGCTTTTGGAATAATCCACCAATTGCCTAATTAAAACAAAAAAAAAAAAAGTTTGTTGGGAATTTTTTCTGCTATTCTGCAAAATTACTCCTTCGTTGACTAGAATGAATCATTAAATAGAAAATTTTATGAGAATTAAAACAATGTTATTTTTAAGATTAATATGCAGTCAGAAAGTTTTATAATTATTATTTATTGTAAATTTATCAGAAAAACTCATTATTTTTTGCATTTTTATCGTAATAGAACACTTAAATAGAAATCATAGTAATCATTTCTAAGTAATTTTTGATATTTAAAAAGATTCTACTATTGAAATATCCAGAACTGAATTAATTTTAATGATTTACTTTAACTAAAAAAAAAAAAGTTAATATTTTGAATCCCTCTTGTGGGCAGGTAAAGGGTTAGATTTATAAAAAAAACCAAATGATAGATAAAGACATGCATCTAAATAAAAAAAAATATACTGATTTGGTCATTTTTGATAAAGTTATAACAATTAACAAAGTTATAAGTTTTATACACTGGACTACAAGGAACTTCCATCAGAAACAAAAATATACTATTCTAAATCAACTTTTCGCGATGTTTTAAAATGTGCAATTAGACTTTTTCTATAACTTCTAAGTTTTAATATTATTAAAAAATAGTTTTTACATATAAAAAAAAATAATTAAGAACAAAAAAAATTGTTTTAAATTAATACTGATTTGATATAATATTTAATATTAATTTGATTATTAATAAGTTAAAAATAAGGAAAATGACATATTTAACCTATTTTGTTAATCGTTTAAAGTTGATTGTTGTAAATGTTTATAATAAAAAAAAAAAATTTATTTTACCATAACTTTTAGCTCAATTGGTAAGTTTGACATTGACATAATTAAATAGAAAATTTTATGACAATTAAAAAAATTGTATCGTTAAGATCAATATGCAGTCAGAAAGTTTTATAATTACTATTTATTGTAAATTTATCAGAAAAGCTCAATATTTTTTTGCATTTTTATGGTAATAGATAACTTAAATAGAAGTAATAGTAATAATTTCCTAGGAACTTTTGTTGTTTGTTGAAAAGATTCTATAATTGAAATATTGAGAACTTAATTAATTTTAATGATTTACTTTAACTAAATGTACCAATCAAAACAAAGTTGTTAAAAAGATTTACTCAATTGAGTGTATTATAAAATTTGATTATATTTGTAAAAATCAATTGTTAATTCAGGAGAAAAAACAATCATTTTTTTTAGAAATGATTTATATAGCAACATGTTACAAAAAAAAATTGTAATATTATAGTCTAGTAGTAGCACACACAAATAGAGTAAAAAAATTATTAAATTACAAAGTAAAATGATTTAATTTTGTAGTTGAAACCTATCATATCAAACTTCATTCGTTAATAAATATTTTGAAAACATTAGAAATTAATGATTTTAATTGTCTTTATGGAGACGATGTAATAACTAACTGTTTAATTGATAAATTAGAATTTTTTTTTCAATTTTTGAGAGTAATATCTTCAACTAGATACGAATTGTAGTAATTTGACGTATTGTTGAAAAAAGTAGGTCAAGTTAGAGCAGAGAAAATAAATGATAGTCACAAAAAAATATCTTCTCGGCTTTGCATCGAAGCGAAAACTTAAAATATAGTAAAATAATTTTAATACGAATAAGAAATTTCTTCTTGCAAGGGGCGACTAAAGTGATGGGATCCTTGATCTTTATTGAAGTTATTGAATCTAAATGTGATAAAAATCAAACGAGTTAAAATTTATACTAACTTAAAAAGAATTAAGAAAAAATGCAAAAAATTCATTGCCATATGCGGGTTGGAACCTCGTACCCCAAGCGTGTAAAACATAAATTTTACCAACTCGGCAACCGTACGTTGCTTCCGGCGGTTGAAAAATTGGCTATTTAAGCTAGTTCAAATTTCAAAGTTATTTTTCTCGACTTAAAAGAAACAAACATATTTAAATAAGTTTAACTATCTATACTATATCAATTTTAATTTATATAATATTTATGAAAATCTGTACTCCCCTTGTCAGGTATTTTAAAATAAAATAAAATACAAAACCCAGAATTTTAACACAAAAATAGCATATTTTTGCATACGGTAGTCATTTTTACCATGAAGACAAATCCAGAGGTCAAATTTTTTTTTTTCACATTAAAGTATATTACATAAGCTTTAATTTAAGATATATTTAAAAGTGTCAGTATTTCCGGAATACTTTCAAAAATTAAATTGAAAATATCGTAGTAACAATACGCATGTTTAAAGTTTTGACCCCCCTTGTTAAAGGGGTATGATCCGATTTACAAAAAAAGCGTGCCAGATGAAAGGGGTATATCAATATTTATTATAAAAAAATAATAATATAGATCCATACATTTTTCCAAAAGTTATATAAAATATAAATTAAATAATATAACATATAAAATCGAGATTTTTTTCACGGAAATCGTACGTTTTTCTTTAACTTTGATGTCCGTTTTCACCACGAAGACAAGTCCAGAGGTCAAATTTTTTTTTTTCAAATTAAAGTATATTACATAAGCTTTAATTTAAGATATATATAAAAGTGTCAGTCTTTCCGGAACATTTTCAAAAGTTAAGTTGAAAAAGTTCTACTTTCTATACGCATTTTAAAAGGTTTGCACCCCCCCTGTATAAAGGGAAATGGTCCGATTTTAAAAAAAAGTATGTCGAATGAAAGAAGTATATATAAAGTATTTATTGTTAAAAAATAGAATTGATTCATGCATTTTTTAAAAAGTTATAGCATCATAATGTTAAAAATTGTAAAATATAATATCAAGAATTTTTTCAAAAAAATAGCATATTTTTGCATACGGTAGTCATTTTCACCATGAAGACAAGTCCAGAGGTCAAATTTTTTTTTTTCAAATTAAAGTATATTACATTAGCTTTAATTTAAGGTATATATAAAATTGTCAGTCTTTCCGGAACATTTTCAAAAGTTAAGTTGAAAAAGTTAATTTTTTGTAAAAAAGTTACCATTTTGAAACCCCATCCTTTGGGCTGTTAAAGGGTCAAATGTTCACAAAAATATATAAAATGATAGGTAATTATCTAAGGTATCTATAAAAAAAAAAATTATATTGATTCGGTCATTTTTAAAAAAGTTATGGCAATTTTAAGTAAAAAAAATTGAAAAAATATCGAAAATTAGCGATTTTTAAATTTGTAATTTTTTGGGGGATTTCCCCCATTTACGGGGAACGAGGGAATTTTTTTCAATTTTTGAGGGTAATGTCTTCAACTAGATACGATTTGTGATCTTTTGACATATTGTTCATCAAAATCGGTCCAGCGAGAGCTGAGATTGAGCGTTCACAGACACAAAAAAAAAAATAAAAAAATAAAAAAAAAAACACATCATAGTAAAATTAATACCTTCTCAGCTTCGCATCGAAGCTAAAATAGCTGATAGAGAAATTCTGTGGTCATTTTCGAAATCGGCGAACTCTAAATACTTAAAATGATACCAGTACAACTGACAACATTTTTTCCGAGCATTGATATGTTTTTGGACATATTTATAATTAAATAATACAATTTATTTGACCAATTAATCACTTATAAATTCTTAATGAAGAAATACTTCTTATAAGTTATAATTCGATATTAATAATCATTATTGGAATTTTTATCACAGAATTTGTCAATAATTTAATATTAAATCATTGACAAATTATTTAAATTTTGTCTAAAACTTTGAATAAAATAACAGGCAGTATTGAAGAAGTAAAGTAATGATATAGCATGGCATGTGAGAAAAACATCTATTATGCATCTCATAATGTGTATAATTTGATGCACTACATAAGTAGAGCGGAAGGAAATATTTCAAAGTTAAGGTCTAGAAGAGAAAAAATGTACTTAAAATGCTAAGATTACAAAAGTTATGTTGAAAATGTAAATATTAGGTGATTTTATCAGCTGGTAATAGTCTATTTAATAGTAGCTTTAGATCAATAAAAAAAGTAAAACGATCATAACAAAAAATACAATAATTTTATTTCAAAAACATTAAAAAAATATATTTATACAAAAAAGGCAACACAATTTAAATAAAAAAAGGAAAGTTAAATAATATGTTCAATAATGGAGGATCAATTTATTTATTTAGTGTGTAATATTTCAAATGCTACAGCAGCATTGCTCATCAGCATTTCTAATCAAATTTTTTTTTTCAATATTGTAATTATTTTACGAGTAATGAAGTAATTTATGATAATCTGATCACCTGTATAAACATTTTTACTTCTTTAAATTCTTTTAAATTTATACTATTTTAATGTAAGTAGTATTAACTAAGTAATGCTGAGATACAGAAATTATTAAAATATAGTAAAACTTCAATATAATTTATTAAATAATTAAATGGTAAAAATAAAAGTTTGTTGGTGATCTAATATAAAGAAATATATCATCTTTAGACTTACATTTTTAGAAATTAAAAATTGTTTAAATTTTAATATTTGTTTTCAAATTTTTGATGCAGGTATCTTCTCAGAAAATATGTCTTCTATATGTTGGATAGATATTATCAGTTTTATAATAAAATTCACTCTGCTTATTCTGAAGCATTTTATATGATATAAATTGATGTTACTACACGTTATTTTTGGGGTTATAGGTAGCATAGTTCCCCCATTACATGGTCGAGATACATTTTATTTTTATTTGGAGAGAAATGTGAAAAATTGTCTTATGTATATCAACCCTAATTATGCCCCAATGACTGTTGTTATATTATTTGTGATGTTTTTACAATTGTAAATTTAAATTAATTTTGTCTTAAAAACTTATTTATAATTAATAAATTTTGTATTTAACATTCAAAATATTGCAATAGATGTATAGTTAAATTGTGATACAACCAAAGTTTAGTAAATATTTCGGGGTTTTAGAATTATTCTGATAAGGTAGGACCTATTTTCTTAAAAGGATATTATTTTTTTATCATTAACTTATCAAATAATTAAGAATTGTTTATTTTGGATGATAATTTTTGGTGAATCATTGAGAAATATCAATCAATTAGAAGGCGAACAGAAAAAAATACCTTAGCACACAAGTAACTTTTCAAATATGCATCAAAATTAAAATTTACTTCAAGTGTTACATATTACTGATCACTACTATTATCTAAAAGTAAGACTAAAATAAAAAATTTATAATATTTATTACTTTAATATAAAAATAAATATTTCAGGTGTATAATAACTTTAAATTATTTACGCACACCTGAATAAAATGGTTAACCTGAACTGGTACTAAACTTAAAGGCATCTATCTGTATTTATCAAAATTATTGAACAAATATAAAATAAATCGTTCACAATTAAGAGAAATATAATAGATAAGTCAAAGTTTATTAATGAATAATGATAGAGAAACATAACAAGAACCATAGTGAAACACAATGTATGAGTATATCAGAAAATTTTCTAATGTTTATAACTTTTTAATTTTCTTGACAAACATTTTTTTAGAAATAACTCAATTGGACCCTAAAATGCATTTTTACCTTCAGAAAATAATTAAGTTATTAGTGTTATTCAAATAAACAATAATTTTTGTTAATTATATAATTAATAAATACATTACTGTTTATAATAATTAGTATTCATTAATAACATACACAAAAATGAAATGTTATGTTGACATTTGAGTTTCCCTTTTAACTTCAGTAGTTTTTTGTCTAAAAAAATTAAATATAACAAAATTTATTTTCAAGTATTTTTGTGTTTTTAATAAATAAATAAATCACACCAACATTTTAAATAAACCACAATTAAATATTTAAAGGTTTATTTAGCATTTTAAATGGCGGTACTTAATAAATGGCTAATTAAGAAAAATATGAATATTAAATTAAGTACATATATAATGTTTAATATTATAAAGAACACAAATAAAATATTAGACAAGTGTAATATAACTATTTATCATCAATAAAATTGCTATAGATAAACTAGAGAATAAGGTATTTTAAATTTTAACTTATATACTATTTTATATAACTTTTAAAGTAAGGGTACATTCAGTATTGCATCTAAGCAGGGAACCACATCGGGATAGTGTCTCTCTACCTTCTCTCTCATCAGAAAATAAAAATAAGGTACTTTTTTCCAATGTAAGTAAGCCTGGGACTTGTTTCTAACACATCTTGCACAACCGGTTTTCACAACAATAGGTACATACAATAGGTAAATACAATAGTTAAAATTACATGTTAGAAATACTTGATTCTTTAAACAAAAAAAAATGTCTTTTTCTATTTATCACTTATTCATCAAATTTAAAAATTTGTTGAATTTTTTTTTATATTAAATGGTACCATGGCCATTCTCGCCAGGGAATATGAGAATAGAACTACTCCCATGTTAAAAATAAATATATAGTGAATATGAATTTCAGGAAAGTTAGTAAAAAAATGTTTTACGCATAATACTTTCTAAAATAAAAATATAACAATATCTCTAAATGGAACTTACTTAGAGTTTCCTTTTGTTCCAGGTCCCCAATATGGTGCAGGATTTTGTTGGTATCTGACTAAACCTTGCAAAGATTTTGGTACAATATTATATGTCTTATCAAAAATTATTTCAACTGTAGGACTTTTAGTTAAAATTGTTCTGGCAGCTACTGAATCATGTAGTCTTTTTTCAGAAACTGGATGTGTTAAAACCCAGGTTCTTATGACATCCCAAACAATAGTTTGAGGAGCATTTGTTTTTATGCTGTTAGGTGCACAGTGAGATGATGAAACACGATAACCTGCATTTACTAATGCTGAGCTAAAAATAACAGTAATAATATGTAAAAAATTTATAAGAGTCATTTAAAATAAAATGCATGTTAATTGTTATTAAATACTGCCATGGAAAGAAACATAAATCATTCTTAAACAGAATATAAAAAAAAAATACATTCCAGCATATAATTTCATGTTTTATATATATATATTGGTACTCAGATCAGGAAAGTAAAAATGTTATTGTTGTTTCACTTATGTTACTGACATATAATTTTACTTATATAAATATCTACTACTTACAAAAAATATCTTAATGGCATTGCTTCACAATGGACAGTATTAGTCAATGATGGTACAGTATAATATAATGGTATGTCAAGTAATTCTTCTTGCATCATAGTTAACATTCCTCTCATTCTTTTTATAGTGTTAAATTTTTTTTCAGCATTTTCATCTCTAATGAAATCACATAATTTATTCAAGAATTCAGTGTTGTATAAAGGTCCTGTCCAAATTGGACCACCAATCTATAATAAATATATTCCTATAATATATTTCTCTATAAACATAAATTTAGAATTTACTAACCATATGAGTGAATCCGCAATGTTCACATTTTTTATCAACAGGAGGACCAGAATTCAGTGTAAACTTAACATTTTTAGAATCAGATTTAGCTGAACCTAATGGAAATAAAGTTGTAGTATTACAACCTCTACACTTAAACACTGATGAAATTTTGCTACAAATAATAATTTTATATAAATGAATAATATCAGTAAAATAACATTTTAGTTTCTTGTTTAAAATTTTTTCATTGTATATTATTATAAATGTTAGTAATATTATATAGCTCAGTCGTACAAGAATCAAACCTTGATATCTGTGTACTAAGGCAAAACAAATTCTGGACTGAGCTATAAAATTTAAAAATTATAAATTTCAAATAGTTAGTAATACTAACCTAGACATTGTTTTGCACATAAAAGGACTTGTTTTCACAACCACAAAAACTCTAATATAAAAGTCAGCACTTATAGATAATAATGGTTCCATGTAGCGACCATAACGAGTACAAACATTTGTTATTGTATGTAATACAATTCTAAGAGCCTGAAAACAAAAATGAACCTAATACTTAACATTTTTAAATAATATTTAAGGTACTACTAATTTTAGTAATTATGAAAGTTCTAGATTAATAATAATATTTTTATTTATATCAAATTAAAAAATATAGAAAAAAAGGTACTAAAAAATAACTTTAAATTAAAAAATATCCTACATAAGACATATTATTATTAGTGATGTAAGTATTTTCATGGCTACTGAATATTAAAAATAAGTTGTAAAGTCAAAAAAAAGTTATTCCCATCTCTTTGAAACATAGTTGCACAATAATATTTTTATATTGACAATTGTAAGATACTTAAAAAATATTAAATAATAGGATTTCTTGCCAAAATGTTCACTAAAACTGAAAAATGAAATCATACCATTTCATGACAGGCAGGGGATTTCAATGATATAGAACCATATTTAGCATAACATGATTCTGGTGTATTACCAGCCAAAACAGCCATGTCAGTACATGTCACTAATAATAAACCATTGTCGGCTAAACAACAAATTGCTGAATCCAAAAGATTAGTTGGGCATCCATAAGGGTCCAAATCAACAACATTAAACTTTGAATCATGTTCAAACTGCCTTTTCCTCATTACATGTCTATTTTAACAACAAAAATATATTTTAAGTATATAGATGTATATATCTATAATCAATAGTTTATTTTATTTAAAGCAATTTATATAAATATTATTTAAGATGAGTCACTATAATTATTTATAGGTAAAAATAATATTATGTACTAAAAAAAATGATTCTCTCATTAACTAACGACAAGACCTTATTCATACAATTTAAAAAAGTATACTATTATGGTATTAATGAATACTTTATTAATATTTATATAAAATATAAATTTATAATTTTATTTATTAGAAATTAATTTTATTTCTAATAATAAAAAAAAAGATAAAATTTTTAATCATTTTTTTGTATTTTATAGTTGCGAGCACTTGACATTTAGTTCTCATAATAAATACACTCCATGTATGTATATAGAGAATTTTTCACAATGATTTGATTATTTAAATATCTTTAACAAATATAAACTTCATAATAAGTGAATTTTGTCAAATTTTATTTAAATTTTTCTTTAGACTATATATTTGCAAACATGAAATGTTAATTTTTTGTATGTATTAAAATGTTTAAACTAAAAATTAGTTCTAATTATATAATATAAACCATACCCAGCATCATAATGAGTTGATGTCACTAAGTTATTAACATTATTTTCTTTAATATTTTCATTCATTATATCTACAGCTGTTTTTGATATGTCATTAGCAAATATTTGCTTTATTCCAGGTACTTCAAGAGCATACCTTATTGCTCTTAAACCAGTTGCCGCCATTGCTTCTAAAACTTCTATACCAGTCTATAATAATGATTATTAGTAATTATATTTTTATAATATAATGTAATCTAATTTATATGATGAAACAAAGAAATTAGTTTTATGTTAATGGGTTTATACTTTTTATATGTGGGTTTTCTAGAAGCTAAGTTTCTAGACAAGTCTTATATTTTATTAAATTTCTTGTGTCTATCATGTAAAGCAAGACTTCATGAACATGGGTGGTATGGTGATTCTGTTAGGTGCAAAATGTCATTATAGTGTTAATTTCATGTAAGAAAGTCCTGAGAGATTTATTCTACCTCTTAGTAGATTTATATTCTTTTACTTAAATGAAAAAATTCATTGTCAGTATCCTTCTAAAACCCTTAAGAATTATAAATACATTGTAATGACTAGTAAACTTGTTACCAAGTGAAAACTATTTTGAAGATGTTTAATAGACACTCATAACAAGGTAAAGCATTAGAGCCTATCTATCACAAATTGTTTATATAAAAAAATATCACATTGATCCTTGATTGACTCTGCACTATCATTTAAACATTTTTTAAAGTCTAGAAGAAATCAAATTTAAAAATTTGAAACAGGGATGCCACTAGAAATATATTTTAAAATAGAGATAGTAGAGACCATTTACCAACATCTTAAGTATATTTAAATGATATAATTGGGAGAGATGGAATGAGAAAATTTCAGTTCAAATTCAATTATTTAATTATAAAAGAATTTGTCATACAAAAAATAAACAGTTAATTAATTTAATTTTCTAATTGATGAAAACTTACTTCATATTTCACCCCAACTTCTAATTTTATACGTTCTGTTTCAGATGTAATATTTTCATTTGGTGATCTGTGTCTTTTTCTGTTTTTTTGTTTTTCTTTAAAATGAATTTCAGAAAAAACTGATAATACGACAATACTAAAAAAATTACTTTAATAAATTTCATTATAACTACAATGAAGTGTTAATTTTAATAATTATTTTGTTTATTTTTATTGATACAATTCTAGTATGGTCACCTTTATTTTACATTAACTTTCACAGATTATAAATATAATACAATTTTTTTTATAGAATTTAAATGAGGTAATAACTTTATTTTGTTTTTTTAATATAGAATATTTTTATCCTTTACTTATAATAATCTTATATTGATTGTTGAAATTTTGTAACTTTTTAAATGCCATCTTTTTTGTAATTAAATTAAAAATTATATAGCAATGGTATAAATGGTACATAAATTTTCATTTCTATATCATTTTTATAGTAAACCTATGAGTGAATTGGATCAATTTTTCATTATTTAAAATTTTATTCATACACTTAAATATTTAATCCCATAAAAAAAGACTAATCTCAAAATTTACCTTAAATCTCTGTTAAACTCTTGTACTGGATTGTAAAAAACTTTACTAGTTCCAGGAACACGTATTTTTGCCTTTCCTTCAAGTATTTCTGTAAAGTCTAGTGAATTCTCCATTTCAATTAATTCATAAGTGTTATAAATTATTTATAAGGAGTGTCTTAGAATAAAAAATTGAGAAGTTGAACTTAAAAATTTGAATTTAAAATATTTTCCACACTTAACTGTTATAACTGATAAGGTTTTCATTAGTATACTATCTCTCAAATTATTATTTATTTTGTCTTACTCGTAAATAGAAGAAGTTAGAAGACTGCTCAACAAAAATAATGGGTAAAAGTTAAGTATGCCGAATACACGAAATATTACATTATCAATATTTTATACCGACATATAAAAACTGACTATAAAATATAGTTAATTTTTACATAATTTATGTATTATTGCAATATCTGTATCAATTTTAATCGTTGTCAAATAGTTCCCCTAGATTTCATGTATAGACATATAAATAATGTAATTATATGATTATGTTTTTAACAATAAATTATAGAAGTTATGGGAACTAGTGTGAATTGGTAAAAGTGGTATCACCATATAGTAAACGAACAAACAAACCTCATCTTTTATCATTTGTTAATTATGATAAGCCGTAGCTGTTTATGTTTTTTGTTGCAACGCGATGTACAATATGCGTAAAGTCTTAAGTAAATGATCTGTGACATATAATTATTGTTTTGTAATCATATATATATATGTATATTTATATATATTAATTTTTAACGTAACTTTTAAATTTGTAAGTAATTACAAATTTACTATTGTTGAAATTTTTTTAAGTCGGATATAATTGAAATAATTATAAAAGTGTTTATAATTTTATGGATGTTTCTTGTATGTTAATACAAATAATAATTTTTAGTAATGTTTCAATAAATTAATAAATTTTAGGTACATCAGTTTCAATATGGAAATAGACCCTGATCCTGAACTAAAATCAGATTTTACATCCTACTTGGAACATATATCCCAAAGAAAAGTATTTATACTGACTTTGTTATACAATATTACTAAATATTATTTAAACCTTTAAAACTTTGTTTCAAACATTTAAAAACCTGTTTTTTAAATGTTATATTTATATAATAATATTTTATCTTATTTTGTTATTCTTACATATAATGTGTAGTATTTTAATTTATAGAAAAGACCTAAAAATGTTGCATTGATTGAACATAATTACTCATCAACCGAGTATCATCAAGACAATTTATGCTCCACTATAAAAACATTATTCATACATAATAAATTTTTACAAAAGTTAGTTCATTTTACTATAAGTTTTCAGCTAATAATTATTATTTGATAATTTTATTTTATTTTTAATTTCATTGATACATTCTATTATTATAACAGTTTTAATCATTATATATTTCAATATTTTTTCAACTTAGTTTTCCTAATATTTATATTTTAATGATTTAGTGAAAATGTATCAGATGAAATTGATGTAGAAATTATTGACAATGAGGTAAAACTACTTACTTATCGACCAGAAATTGAATCTAAATCTATGGAACCATATCGGAATAATAAAATCCCTCGAGATCCTGAGGCTTGGGAAGATACTATTAACAAGTGAATATTTTAACAAATATCTATATTATTTTTAGTAATATCATAGTACCTATTTAAAATAAATCTTTTTAATTCTCATATTAATTATTAGTCTTGTTTATCTTAAATTAATAAAAGTTGTATTTTTTTAAAAAATTTTTGAAGATTGAGATGGACGAAAATGCAAAGAAATTTGTTTGAAAGGACTATGAATATTTTGTATGCAAATAGACTATCAAGATTAACATTTGAAGAAACAGCGCAAGAAGATGTACAGAAAATTATATCAACTGAAAAATCGGTAGCTGAAATGCATCATTTATTGACTAACTATACCTATTGGGATCCATCATTAACACAATGGTTGCATGGAATTTTTATTTCTCATTTACCTGATGATTATCTTGCTTCATACATTGATATTTTAGAAGTAATTATTTCTATTTACTTTTATTATATTACTTCTTAAAAGAAATAAAGATTTCTATTCAATATATATTTTTTTCAATGTCAATGCTACTCTATTTTAGAAATTAAAACAAATTGTTCCTACATTTATTAATGATATGATATCAACCAATACTCAAGGACGATCTAAAGAAGATATAAAGTATAAACCAATACATTTAGATGAACCTGTAGATCCTTTCAATTACATGTTAACTACTTATCCTCCAGTTAGTCAAGAATATATTAAATTAAATTAATTCAAACATTTATTTTTATTGTCATTTATTATTATTTATGTTTAGCTCAAATTACCCAAAGATCCTGTTATAATTTTAGTGCCTGAATTTCCTGGTTATTTAGTTCAACCAAATACTAGAAGTCATGATTGGATGAATGCTTTATCATATTTAGCTGAGTTAGTTGTAGCTTTAACTGCAAAAGGTAAACAGTTTTTAATTATTTGGTTTTAAAGATAAAATAATTTTTCATATTTTACACAGTTCCATGGGACTATGAGGATTATTCTCGTCAAGAAGAAATAGATATTGAAACTGGTTTAGATGCCATGGTAGATGCTACACGAAGTAAAATTGTTAGTCTGAGAGCTGAAGATCCTAATAGGCCTATCATTCTAGCTGGTGTTGGAGTTAGTGCAGCTATTGCCTGTCAAGTGAGTTATAAATGCTATACAATATTACTGTATAATTTTTCTTTTATATTTAGTATGATTATTTTTGACTAATGAGCTTAAATATCAATTCTATTAACTCAATTTCTAATTAGTTTTCAATAAATTGAATTTCAATAATATTAATTTAGTAATAGTATTATTAAATAACAATACCTTATACAAATGTCTTTTCAAATCACTGTAAAATAATAATGTATTATAGATATTTTTAAATTATATCATACATTTTACTTTTAGGTTGCTGTTCTTGAAAAGGTTGAAGGTATAGTATGTATTGGTTTTATTGTAAATTCATCTGAAGTAAAAAGAGGATACGAAGGTGATTGTATTCTTGGTCTAGAATATCCTACTGTATTTATAACTGGTCAATTAAGTATATTTTCTCCGTAAGTTATTACTTTATAATTAACATATGTTTATTTTATTTTGAGAAATTGTGAAAACATATGAAGTGTATAGGGAAAAAACGTTAGTAGTTCATTTCTAAAAAAATTTCAGTAGAATAAAATCGAAGTTATAAATTTCTATCTTTAAATAATAAAACAAAATTAGACTCTTATATTAATGAAATGAAAATTCACAAAATAAATTTCATTACTTAATACTAAGTTAATAAGGTATCAATACAAACTTCATAATGAATATTGAAAAAAATTAACTACTACTAATTATCACTTATACCCTGTACCCTTCATAAAAAACCTAGTTAAATTATTTTTTTATATTTTATTTATTATTAATTATAAATTATATTATTTATATTTTCTAATTCATTCTAGGGTATTGGATCTAGAAGAACTAAGGGTAAAATTAAAATGTAAAACAAGTCATATTTTAGTAGGCGGAGCTGATGATGACTTAATTGTGAATCATTCTACAAAAATGAGAGAGGCTATTACTCAAAAATTAGTTGATAGATGTATTTTGGTAAAATAATATATAAAACATATAATAAGAATTTTCTATACATTTTTTTTATTATTACTATAGGAAGAAGTTGGGAATTTTCTTAAAGAAGTTTTAGAACCAATGCCAAAAATAATTCGTAAACCTGAAGTTGAAAAAAATAATTTCAAGAAACCTTTATTATCAAAAAGAAAACTATACAGTAAGTGTTATTATTTTATTTAAACTAAAGAAATTTAGTAAATGCATTAATGAAATTAATATCACATTAGTAATTAGTTTCAATGAAATCTTATAACTTTAAATTTTCCATTCTAAAAAACAAAATTCATTTAATGTAATTTTTTCAATCAATGCTGTTTTAAGAAGTTTAGATGGGTAGTGAATAAAAAAAAAGCACAGAGGGTCGCGGCACAGTGATGACGTGGCATAGTTGGATCAAGTATAATAATATCTGACAGTGATTAATATCACTATCATAAAAAACGCTTTGATGCAAATCTTTAGATAGAGTTTAATTTTAAAAAATTGGTATATTATTCCAAAAGCTACATGATCTACTATTTCCTTATTTATATCCTGATTAAGATAAAGTATGTCGAATGAAAGATGTATATAAATACTACTTCTCATGAAAAAATTGTATTGATCCATATATATATTTTAAAAAGTTATAGCATTTTAAAGTAAAAAATGTAAAATATAAAATCGAGAATTTTCACACAAAAATATCATTTGGTAGCCATTTTTACCATGAAGACAAAATAAAGTATGAAATATTTTTTTTTCATAATAAAGTACATTACATTAGCTTTAATTTAAGATATATATATAAAAGTGTCATACTTTCCGGAACACTTTTAAAAGTTAAGTTGAAAAAGTTGTAATCTTAAATCCCCCCTGTGGGCAGGTTAAGTGTCAAATTTACAAAAAAAATATACCTAATGATAGGTAAAGACATCAAGCATCTATAAAAAAAAAATTATATTGATATGTTCATTTTTGAAAAAGTTACAGCAGTTTTTAGTAAAAAAAATTTCAAAAATGAGCGATTTTTAAATTTGTAATTTTTTTGGAGGTTTCCCCCATTTACGGGGAACGAGGGAAATTTTTTCAATTTTGAAGGGTAATGTCTTCGACTAGATACGATTTGTGATCTTTTGACGTATTGTTGAAAGAAATCGGTTCGGTGAGAGCTGAGAATAAGTGGTAAAAGGCACAAAAAAAAAAAACTTATCATAGTAAAACCAATACCTTCTCAACTTCGCATCGAAGCTAAAATACAATTGTATATAAATTCAAATGAGAACTGCTGTCTAAATTTTTAACATCAAATTAATTTACATTTAACCACTAAATCAATGTACCTTCTAAATACTAAATGATTTATTAGTTAAATCGGCAAATAAAAAGAGAAAATTTCAACTTCAAATATTGAAAATAAATAAAAAAAATGAATGAGGCTAGCTAAGTAATAAGAAAATACCTGCTTAATATAGCAAAGAATTTAAGGAACATAATAAGTTTTTCATTAAAACAGAATTATTTGGGTATAATATAGTTATTAAGTAGTAAATTAGTGGAATTCAGTGGAGGAAAAAAATTCTCTAGGATTGACCAGCAAAATTTAAGTAATTTCTACATGAGAAAAGACCATAAAAATTGGTACCCCTTGAATACTTAAAAAATTATAAATATTTCTGAAGCATTGTTTTCCTGATAGAATATATTATTGATAGATATTTATAACAAATACATTATTAGTTTTTAAAAGTATATTTTGAGTACTATTTTATTAATTAATTTTTATTAACAAGTATAGATATATTTTAAATAATATATTACTATATTTTTAGTTATGCTACATCTGAAAATACATAATTCTACAAATTTCTTATTAATGAATTTATGTTATAATAATAACTAGGTTTTGAAACATTATTATGATAGTACGAAATTGACATATAGACATCTTTATAGGTCCTACTACATTTATTTTTATCATTAAATTAATATCGACTGAATTAATGAAAAACAATGTTTCAAAATAAAACTATTATTTACATATATTTAATAAATAATGTATAAAAATAGATATCGAAACCCTATATATTTACATTTATATTTAACTAAAAATTTAATTTTTAATTATTTTTTAGTTCACCTATCTAAACTATTACTAAAAAATTTACTTTCCTTGTGTCAAAAATAAGACACACGTTTTATTTTTTTAGTTTATAACTTGTGCTGAAACTTAGAACTTAAAGAGTTTTAAAATTCTTTATAATACCTTAGATTCTAAGTATTTTTTTCAGTCTTAGTAATCGTAAGATTACATATTAATAGTCATATTAAATATTACATATTTATAGTAATAAAATCTTTAATAATTATTTAAAATATTTAAACAAAAATACATAAGTTTATATAAATTTCCACGAATATTTATTTTTATTTTTAAATTACCTATTTAATACAATTAAAAATTTATTTTACATTTATCTATATTTTATCATCAATTAAATACTATCTATATATAATGTTTACATTATTTTTTTTTATAATATTTAAGATTTTTAAGAAATGTATGTATTATCTATTCAAAGTTTGATTGTAGTTTTATTTTTTAAATTATTTTAATTTTAGGTCGTGGGCACAAAGGAAATCAAAAGTTGTTGTTAAAAATCAATGATCAGAGTTCTAAAAAAAATACTTTTAACCGTAAAATAAATATTCCATGTACCTCATTAAAAACAAATATATTAGAACATATGACTAAAGATGAAGAACTAATGCCTCCTCCTTCATCAACGGGCATTCAGGATCATTGTTTTAATTCTGAAAATTCTATTGTAGATAGCAACCGTAAGTTGATTTGTATTCCTAAAAGAAATATTTCATTTTTTTCCATAATTTTTAGAAACTGAAATGTCTATTCCAAAACTGGGTAATCAAAAATTTTCTACTTTGGCAGAGTTATTACAGGAACAAACCAATAGTAATATCAATGTTTCTCAAACAAATGGTAATTTTTTCGATGTTAATTTTTAATATTTTTTAATTTTTAAAAGAAAATAGAAGTAAATTAAAAATAGTATAAATGCAAGGAAATTTCAATCTTTAAAATGAGACGTGTTAGTATATGAAATAAATATTATACCTTTTATTATAAAATTCTTTAGTAATATCCTATTGTTTAATTTAAAAAAATGTAAAAAACTAATTGATTAGTTTAATATTATTAATTTCAAACTCTCCTAACATACTTGAGAGATATTTAAATAATAAAAACAATTTATTTAAAATACCAAATTTTTATTTGTTCATTTTTAGAATCATTAGAATCATCTTTGAACGGATCACCTTTATTAATAACTCAAGATTCTAAAGGCATAATGGTATGCAATTCAAATTTCCAGTTGCAACAAATTCAACCTACTACTGTAATGGAAATTACCGCAGATCAAATATTAGACATGCCTATAGTATTTGCTGATGAAAGTCTTGATGAAGCTAAAACAGCTGTGTCTAAGGAGAATTCATTAGTTGAAACAAGTAGTAATAATCAAAAAATGATTGTTAAAGAAGAACCTATGGATGATGATGAAGACTTGGAAGTAATGTGTTCAAGCCCAACATCTAGAACTGCTGCAATTCCTGAACGTTTAAATATTAAACAAGTAATAATAACAATTGAATTTTTTATTATAACTTATTTTTAAATTTCACAATATTATAATTTTTATTTTTTTAATTTAGGTAGCATATGATTCACCATCCAAAGTTAAATTAGTAGTAAATAAGGCACCAAGAACTCTAGTTCCGAGTGGTTACCAAACATTTTCTGTTCCCAGTCAAAAGTCTGGTAGTATACAATTTGTTAATAGGTTATCACCAATGCCATCCAAAGTTCGAAAAATTGAAAGTAATGCTACATCAAAAATAGCACCAAAAACTGTTTCCATTCGACATATTCAAGATGGTAAACTTAAAGTGGTTAAAACTAATAGTGGACAACATGTACAAATCAACAAAATGAAAACAATGGCAACAACACAAAAATTTAGAAAAATATTATAGAAAAATACAAACAAAATATTAATGTATTTATAACAATTATACTATGAAATTAGATACATTTAACATTAAACTATTCAATAGTTTAAGAAAATAATAAATATATATATATATATATATATATATTAATTATTAATGTACATTAAATTTTGATAAGTTACTTGTTTTTGGTAATTTGAATATTGGAATAACTTTGTGCATACACAATTCTTTTTTGCAATTTTTTTTTTTTAATCTTACCATTTGTATCCTATTCAGTACAAAAAATGGTTTCCTTAATGACTTAATAATATGCTGTATGCAACAATGCCACCATCGAGTTATTATAGATGTTTTATCATATGCTCTAATGAAGCGTGGGCATACTAATACTTTGTCTAGACATCTTTGTTTGAAAGAATGTGTAGGAACTAATATATGCATTTGTTCAACATTAATTGTTTTTCTGAAAAAAATTCTTAATTTGTGAAAATTACTCAAATATAATGGGTAACACCATTAATCAGGTGGTAACAAATGAAAATAACATTCAAATATTTAATAATAATTTTTTTTTGGTATTTTAATAATATTGTTTAAATATACATAGCATTTTGTTATACATTACCTTGGTTTATCACTATTGGACAGAGATACTAAGACCGGACTGACGACTTTTTGTTTGCGACTTTTTAAAGGTTTACCAAATAGACCCCTCTTTTCAGCCATACATATCAAATGGTTAGCGTCGAATGTCATAAGTTCCTATTTTTAGCACAACAATCACGTCTAATTTATTCTTTGAAAAGTAGAATTATGTTTTTGGGTATGTAGAATATCAAAATTATAGAATATCAGAGTTTATTCATTTGACTCCTATATAGTATACACAGTGATTCTTTTAACGCTAACAAAACATTTAAGTCGAATTTATGATAATTATAACTTTCACTTAAATTTCTGATCTAAGTAAAAAGAATCACTATGTATTTAAGAGTACTGATGAAATATAATCTAGATATCGAGACTTTGATATAATTATTTACTCTAGATTATATACGAATCAAACTGAATTTTTTTTTATTACACATAATTACAATAATGACTACATATCCTACTAGACATATTACTCTCCAGTGACACGTTTCTAATATTTTTCAATTAATTACGCCTTATTGGCTCGACCTAGCAAAGTCAACCGAAAGTCGATTGTTAAGTTATACACTATTAAAAAGAAAATTTTAACCTTGAAAATATTTGTTTTCTATTAATATTTTATTTTTGATATTTAACCACTGGGACGCCCTTTAAAACGAATTAAAATTATCTATTTGTGTAATTTGTTGAGGAAAAACAAACTTTTGTATGTTAAATTTTTTCAGTGTACATTAGTATCAATAAAAATTGACGTTGAAAAACATATTATGAATTATTTTTTAAATCAAACAATAATTTAAAATTTATTCTACACTTCTGATAATTTTAAGAAAAATTCATCATTATTAAAATTAACTTAATAATGTTAATAATAATATGGTCGTCATAAATTAAACATTTTACATACAATAAATTCAAATTTTTTTTTGAAAAGTGTAACGGCTTATACCGTGATGTTTTTGGTCTGTTTTCTTGGAGGATATACAAAACAAATTTTTTTACTACCCCTTCCAAAAAACATCATTCCATATATATATTTTCATTGTGGAGGAATTTTATCCCCCGTATTCCTATTGTGAGTACACTATGAGCTAATAAAATGATTACATGTAATCACTTTAGTTATATCAAACATATGTTTATTTTATTAAAATATCGATTATTGTGACTAAAGGTCTAACGAAAAATGATTTCTTTAAATTATATAATTAAAATGTCGTTTCCTAGCGCCATTAAATTATTAATAAATGTATATAAAATTAAAATACGAACAACTCTTTTAATGGCTGCTAGGTAAATACTACCAGTAACTTGGCTTTCTTCCATATTTTCGAGTTTCTTATCTGGGTAAAGCATCATTGTCTCAAATCGGTCCATGTCTGGTATCTAAGTTCAATGAATTATTAATATTATTATTTGTTTTTTTAATAAGACTTTACGTGGTCATTACTTAGTGAAAATTATTTCTCAAACCTGAATCGGTTGAAAAACAGCTGATCGCCATGGAGTTTCAATAGATGTATTGAACATTTCTTCAGGCTTTGTCATTGTAAAATTGTCTGAATTATGTTTCTCATAAGCCCATCCATTCATTTCTTCGACCACAGATTTAACCATACCACCATTTTCTAACTCTAGCCTAGAATGCGTCTCATAAACAATGATTTGCACCTAGTCATTTAAAAATTACTCAACAAAAATCTAAATCCTATAAAACCTGAATCGCTGAAATTGTATAAAAGATTAGACATATAAAATATTAAAAATTCCTTGGTGAAGTCCATGTATTTTGATAACTCCAATAAATATATTTTTAATGTGTGAAACAAAGCTGTTTTAAGCATGGCTACAAATTAACTCATAATAGAAGCCATTCATAGATATCGATTTCACCCAAAAACAATTATTCATACAATTAAATAAAATTTATCAAATCTCAACAGCACGTACATACTTGTGGTTTTGACATTGTCATCCTAAGAGTATCTCTTTGTTCTAACATACATGGTATATCTGATGAATCCTCGGTATAATCTAATGAGGTGACAGCTTTTAGTAAGGTCAAATCACCTCCCTTAGAACATACTAGTTGTACAGGGTCAGTAACCTGTAAAAATAAATATGTTGTATTTGTTATGTCCTATAAATTCTATCATTACAACCCAATAAATTTATTAATTTTACGTCGAGAATTGAATTGATTAATATAGACATTTTTTATTGTTGTTTTTAAATCCATCTATATTTTTTTTTTGTATAACCTTATTTTGCCAACCTTGTTTACGATAAATATAATAATCTAAAAACAGCTAAAATAAAAATTCTAAAATATTACTTATAATAGTCAATAATTTAAAGTATTTTTTTTTTTTTAATAAATACATTTTTTATTTAATTTATTAAAATTATTCTTAGGTACAAGATAAGCTGTTTATTTCTTACTCCAGTATTTGTATTAGGCGGAGTAGCTAATATTGAAACAATATCCAATAATAGATGATCTGAATTAGACAGCAAAAAATCTTCAGTTATTAATTTACAGTTTTGGACTCCTAACTTAACAAAATAACTGTAGTAATCCTTTTTTCTTTAAAACAAAAAAACATATCGTTAATTTTATTTAAAAATCAGTTAAACTTTCAAAACCTTTCAGCAGCTCCATAGACAATTAATGATTGGCTTCGCTTAAATAACAATGATGCTAAATACGCTACAGCATTTTGTATTGTAAAATGTGTTTGAGCTACATTACCACAAAGTTTATTTGCACTCATTGTCCTATCTAACATAGCTGGTCCAATACAGTACCTTCTTTCCTGTAAAATGTTAAACCAATTTATGGAATTCATTCAATATATTATGTACCAATAAAAAAACGTCAATGCAAACACATTTTTCTTTATATAAATTGATTTTACAAATAGTTTTTAACGTAATTTGTTAAATAATTATTTAAAAAATATATATGTTAACTTTTTGCTGGTGCTACTATCAGTAGAGCCCCAAATAAATTTGTTTTTTTAAAATCATTTGTTTGACTTTTTTCATAATAATTTTGTGGTCTATAGAGATTTAATTGCGACACTTCAATATATAAATCATTAACGAAATCATCATGATCTCATAGTTCTTTTAATTAAATAAATAATAAATTTATCTGGTTCATTAAACGAATCAATCTCGGTGACGTACTAACTGTAAAGTTTTACATTTTTAAAAGTGACGACTTAACAGCCCCTAAAAAATTAAATGAAAAAATGAAATCCCTACACCCAAAGAAAAACCTCAATCAATTTTGATAGAGAAATTTTATCAAGGGTTTATGATAATGTTTTATTAATACGAACAAAATAACTATTCTTATAAATAATTATTGTTCAAGACAAGAAAAAAAAATTATCATATTGATAAATATATCATAGGTTCAATAGTAATGATATATTTATCAAATTGAACAATGAATTTACTATATAGATCGAGGTTTTTCTCTGGGTGTAATATTAAAAACGACTCCATTAATTATACAAGAATCAGTCATAATTTATAGCAACGGACTGCTATATTATTTTATTCTTTGGTAATTATTTACTCTCAAAAAATAAATATTAAATCGGAGGTTAGTAAATAGAGTTAGTTCAAAATGTAATTATCACTAATTGAAAATCATTATTTTTGCATAAATTGTGATTTATTGACTTTTGAAAAAATAAGTGCGCCCTTTATCTTTTCAGATCCGTATCGAAACAGAAATTTCAAAAATAATAATTACGTGTCATTATTATGCAAAATTAGCTAAACAAAGTTGTAAGATATTATTTTTGGTTTGCTTTTGTTCGTTGTAAAGAAATATAGAAATTAATAATTATATTCAATGAGCATGGTTAATATTTTTGCAAATATAATGTAAAAGTTAATGAAGTGTGAACGATTGCTTTTAAACTTATCTAAGTTTATTGTACAAATTTAGTGACGAAATCGAAATAGTACGTAAAATGTAAATTGTGTCTAAAATTCACAAAGTACTGCTAGGCATCCGAGTTCATTGTACTTTTTATGTTAAATTCTCCTATAGACACATTTATTTTTACTCGTATCAGTAGTAAACAATGCTTACGTAATATGGAAGAGGAAATTATTCTGCAATACTAAAGTCTCTTTGTTCCATTAATTTATTGATATAAAATATATTTTCATACGTCCTAATGCCTACCTTAATAAATGCGTAACAGCTAATTTTGCATCGAATTTATATCATTATCAATATTCAGAATTCATATGCGTCTTATCAAGGTTCCCAAAATATATTCTATCGAGAATGCAGCGGCGTAATTATAGTTTTATTTTTGGGATATATACACAAGAAAACATCACACTACTCCCTCCAAACGAAATAAAAATTATATCATTGCCGTATTAAAATTTTGTAGCATCTAGTCCTCTCACTTCCTCTTAATTACGCCCCTGCAAGTATGACATTTTTTTAAAAACAAATGAGCTCATTATATTTATTACTTGTACATAATATTTTTTTATCATAACTATAATTTTGTAAAAATAAATCTTAAATTTGAATTTTTATAATGTACATTTTCAACTTTCCACAATCTTAAGTAAAAATGAGTATCGTGAGCCTACTTCACCACTTAATTGACGAAAATATTCGAGATATTTCGAACCATACAGAACATGATCCCATTTCATTTAATTTCCAAAATTAGATTATTTTTTAATAATCCCAAGAGAACCCCTCTTTTTCCTAAATATGTTTTGGATTAAAATGTTTCTCTTTAAACCCACCAACAAATTGAGTGGTCATTCAAATTTTTTCTAAACATTTCCGTAAAATAATTTTCCATCTGTTATGCGTTCATTTTGGTATTTTTAAATTAAACTTTAAATATGACGTTTTAACTTTTCTTGTATTTTAATTATAAAATTTAAGTAAATAAAAAAAATTTAAGTGTATTAAAACTTGTGGTCCTCTTAATACAAACAATAGCATAAAAATATAAATAAATCAAAAATTCCAATCGAAATTTATACAAGCTTAACTATTTCGTTAAAAAATTTGATCTTTGATCTGTGAACGATTAAAAACAATTAATCCAGACTAATGACTAATTATAATAGTATTTTACTATCAACTAAATTAATTAATGTGGCTTTATTATAAAGTCTAACTTTGTTATGCATAAAATAAAAGTTCATTGTATTGAGTTGAAAGAATGTCTATATTTTACAACATAATGCAATGAAATATGCTAAAATTTAAATAATAAATTTATTTCATTTCAAGATAAAGGAATTTTGTTGTTTGAATTTATTGTTTAAACGTATTACTTAATAATAATTTTGAACTAAGTAAAAAAACAATTAAATTAAACTTATATACTACAAAAATTTTATCTGTTGCACAAACAACGTTTTATATTTGTGTATGGACAAATGTACACTTTTAGCTGTAATTAAACTCATACTTATGTTATTTAATACATTAACATGTAATTAATTAGGCTACTGTAATTCATTATTATGGTAACTTGAGTATAATACATGAAAATTAAATTAAGGGAGTTAATAAAAAATGATTATTGTAAACACCTTATTACAATATTATGGTAAGAATGATTTATTTACAACAACAATTTTATTGTATAAGTAAAATTTGAAGTTCAATGGAGTTGTTTTTTACCAAAAACCATTTGGTACATTTTTTTTGTAACATTTTTCGATGCATAAAACTTTGAAAACAAAAGTTAGTAAAATCGTCATATCAACAATTTATTAATAGCTAGTGATCTTGACCTTGACAATCATCAGACTTATCGTTCAAGGTAACAGTATTTCTACGATTATGAACTTTTTGGAATGTAAACAAAACATAATATATGAAATCTTAATAAACACCAATCGAATAAAAATTTATAAATCGTCGATAACTAAGATTAGGTATTGCACTGTGTAGGTCTTCCGAGTTACATTGCCACACAATTTTGAAATAATGTAAATTTTGTTTTGTTGTATAAATAAAACGCAAAATAATACTCTTAATGATAATTTTGTTTTGGCTCCAAGCCCATACGCGTAGGACAATTTCAGTGTAATAGCGTTGCACGTGACACTCGATCATTGTGATTTATTATTATTCACAATAAAGGATATGATATTTAGTTGAGAATTGTAGACATTTAGATAACAGATTCGCGCCATTCATTTAGACAAGAGTTCGCGGTAGTTACAGGCTACTTCTTGTTTAGTTCTGACGCCAAGTGGGTGTTAGTTCTAATCTTAAATATCAAGTAAAAAACATACGTGAAATATATTTTATTAAGCTGATACTTAGAATGCAACTAATTTCTCTATCGCTGATTTCGCTACGTGTTTTATTGTTCTTTCTAGATTAAAAAATTGTTTGATGATTTATATATGTATATATTTTAATAAAACATATAAAAATGGTTAGCAGGGGTGTTTTGAACCAGTTTTGGGCCGCAATAACAGGTAAGGTATTTTTGATGATTTAATTCTTTATTATAAAATTGTATTTAAAATGTTTTTCTGTTCATTTTTAAAATAATTTTTCAATAATGTAAAATACGACAGAAAAATAACCAGATTCTCTAAATAAAGTAAAAAATAAAAAAAAAATTTTTACCAAAAAAAAAACTTTCAAATTTAGCATTAAAAAATTATCTAACGCTAATAAACAAGGTTTTTTTTAATTACCACGTATTTAAAAAAAAATGCGATTATTTTAATTTAAAACTATAGTTAATGACTGATATTTTTATGATTTCTGTGTATTAATTAATTAAAAATATTTTTTTTTTAATCTTTGGATAACGAATTTTTTAGATATTTTTAACTGGATTCTTGCATATTAAACACGAACATTTTCAAAATTTACTTTGGTCTTATGGGATGTTTTAAACATTTTTTTTATGGTTGTTTTTTACAATCCTGGTTTTTTGAGCGTGTATCATTTGAAATCCCACCTAAATGGGCTCCAAACGATCTAATAAAAAAATGCAATAACTGTAAATCATGTATAACAATTTAAGAAATGGTGATATGAAATCAATTAGATCCACATCATCAATTGTGTCAAACTTACAACGTACACCTAATTTTTTATTTAAAATATTGAAAATAATATTTTTCAGTTAAGTAATCTTATTATTGATTTTAGATTGTTTGGATTATATTTCTTAAATTATCAATTGTAATGAAATTATTGTTAATCATTTTTATTTATTTTTAAACTGCGATTAAGCTTTAATGGAAGAAAAAATCCCAATAAAGTTATAACAACATTTATCTTACCATAATTTTTTTCCTTTAGATTCTTTCATTTGTATTTATGAAGTGTCATAAATAAGACATTAAAATGATATTTTAAATTTAGATAATTTAATTTTGGTATGAAAATTCTATATTTGTCTCAATCTATCCATGAATCAGATAAAATTAAAAGCCTACTTATGAGCTAATCTATTTTACATTCTATGTAATAAATTTAGATAACAATTTGTTTTGATTGTTTATAAGAATTATATACATTAATAAATTTTGTTAAGTTAACCTGAACACACTATTAGCCAGTAAAATTTTTTCTTAAATGACTTAAAATACGAAATATTATTTAATTTAAAAAATAATTTTATTATACAAAGAATTTTGAGTTTAATGTCATACTACTGGTTTAATAATATGTAAACCGAATAAAAAAACTGTTGAGAAATCACAACATATCAGTAATTTATCATCGATTTTTGAATAAGCATTTTTAAGCGTATTTACATTAGTAAATTTCATATTAAAATTATTTTTTAATATTAATTTAATTTAAAAATTGCTGCATTCAACATTGAAGACATTTATGCCAAAAAAAACTATTATTATTATCAAATCGATGTAAAATGTTACGAGAAACGTGAGATAATTTTTGAAATAATTATTATAATTATAATTAAACTGCTGTCGATATAAGTTAAGATTTTTTACATCGAGTCTGATATATTTTATTGCTTTTATACTATTCTTAATAATTATTTTACCATCAAATCCATTTTTATAAAATTAAGATTGTTATTTTTTTTTATAATTTTCTGTCATAATATTCGGTGAAAAATTATCAGTTTTAACATTATAGCTAAAAACAAATTTGTTAAAACATTATTTTTCACTGTTTAACTACCTATTTAACAATATATATATATATACTAATATTAAACATAGAAATATATCATTGCGAATATTGAAAACTATTTTATAAAAAAAAATAATACGTTTCGAAAAAAGGGCATAAGTTTAATTTTGATTTAAATCAATTCAAAAGTGATAAGATTTTTGCTCTACATAAAAAGTCGCAAGAGTTCACTGGGTTCAAATTGTTTTTTAATAAATGGTTCAAGAAACCTATATCAACTTTGTTTCGAATTAAAAACTATACATATGTTTTTCGATGTTATTTTTATAACATTTTTAATTTTGCTATAAAATATTTCTTAATACAACTTAACAATATTACATTTTTCACGTATTTCATAAGGTATTTAATTATTACTATTGAGAAAACTAATCTAAATTATTTTATTATTAGCAAACAAATTTGTCTATGTCATATACACGGAAACAGTTAATTATTAGATGTTATAATTAAATTTTGGTTTAATTTCAGGGTCACTATCAATAATGAACGTTGGCATTATATTAGGTTGGACATCACCTATCATGAAAGAACTTCTCGGCCCTAACAGTCCAATCCCTATGTCTGTAGATGAGAGCTCTTGGTTCGTGTCGATTATCGACTGGGGTTTGATCGTCGGCTCTATACCTTTCGGAATATTATCGGACAGGTGGGGTCGAAAGCTAAGTCTGCTGCTGATAGGTCCTCTGGCGCTATTTACTTGGATTGGTGTTTTGTGGGTGGACAATTTCCGAGGCCTGCTGATAATAAGGTTTTTCCAAGGCCTATTATCAGCCGGAGCTTACACAATATTACCGGTGTACGCGGGCGAGATAGCCGGATCGAAAATTCGAGGTGCCCTTGGAACAATGTTCCAGATACTTATGTACGTCGGCATACTGTATGTGTACGTGATAGGAACGTATTTAGATTTTAAAAATCTGACGTACGCACTGATGGTTGGGCCCATTTTGTTTTTCGTTCTGTTCTTGTTTGTGCCAGAGTCTCCTCATTTCTACATAATGCAGAACAGACTGCCCGATGCCAAACGGTCATTAATATGGCTCAGAGGTGTTGCCGATCAAAGCATCGACGAAGAAATGGATTCTGCAGTGGACTGCATCTGTAAAGAAATGCGAAACGCATCATTTTCCGAACTGTTCACCGACCACTTCAGTCTAAAAGCGCTAGCCATCGTACAGGGACTGTCGGTGTTCAGGGTGATGGCCGGCATCACGGCTCTTATATCGTACGCGTCCATAACATTCTCGGAGATGCACGTGGACATCGATCCAAACAAGCTGTCCATAATTTTTGCGTGTTCCGTACTTTTCGCCGCTCTGCCCTCGACAATCCTGTCCGACTACGTGGGACGTCGACCACTTATGATGATTTCTTGTACATTTTGTTTCGTCTTCGATACGGCTATATTTGGATACTTCTACTTGGACCGAAAAACTAACTACGACGTCATCGATTACGGCTGGTTGTGCGTAGCAGCAGTCGGCGGACTTTCGGTGGCCCATACGATCGGACTTGGATCTCTGTTGTCCACCATCAACTGTGAGCTGTTTCCGTCCAACACCAGGTCGACGGCAAACGCCATCAACACCATAACGCTGACGATCGTTTCATTTTTAGCTCTTAAAATTTATCCTGTTCTAGCCGTCAACGAAGGTATGTACAGAAATTATTTGATCTCGTCACTGTTCAGTTTATTGTCCATAATTTGCTGTTATATATGGTTGCCCGAGACAAAAGGAAAAACTTTTGCAAGCATACAAGCTCAATTCAGGAAAATCAACAACGACTTGGGATGAACACATTAATCTTTGGTCTATATAAAATGGCGTTATAGTCATTATTTGGTGTCCATACAGAACATAAAATACAACAAATCAATGCGACGGCACCTTGATTAATTATTGTCACTAGTGATTACCGACTGTCATTTCCCAACTACAATTGTACCCCAACAGTTGGTTGAAATACACGTTAACCTCATAAATTTGTAATTCACGAGTGACTAAATGATTTGTTTTAGCATTTATTTTATTTTCATTTTTTTAAATTTCAGATAATTTTATACATAAATTTAAAAAATATAAAGCGCATACAATGATTGTACTCACTGTGATTATATATTGTCGATACAAACATATTTATGAGTTATTTTGGTATAAATCACTTTAAACCTCTAATTGTTATATTGATAAGTTTTTTTAACTATTGTTAAATGTTTTGTTAGTTAAATCTTGTTATTGATTATAAGCTACGAAATAATCAAAATGTAGTGATTGTTATTTGTACATAATTAATGTAAGACTTAAAAAACTAATAAATAATTAGTCATTTAGTTGAACTTATTTAACAGAATTGTTAAATTACTAAAATTAGTAACATGGATTATTCTACAAATAGTAATTATAATTTTAGTATTATCTTTTCGGAGGACTTTTGAAGATTTTTAATTTCTTTAATTGTAATCTGTCCAAAAATCAAAGAAAGTAATTGAATAAAATCTTAAAAACTATAATATCAACTTTATGGTAACTTCTAGTAGTTAAAATGATTAAATTTTTTATTTAAGAACATTATAGATAATACAATATAAAAAACTGAATTCATTAATAATATTCACATTTACACGAAAAAATATAGCGATAGCGTTGCGTTTAATTTATAAGAATTATTATTTTTAGAATATTTTTTAAGGTTGCAATGGCATTATAAAATGTGAAATATTCTAGCTTTTATTTTATTTTATGAAAATTTTATACTTTGATATTACTTATTTATCATGATTAAATATATATTGTTGTATAATATCATTTTTTTTTTTATGAAAACTAAATATTGTAAAGTCGTTTAAAATATAAATACCTTTTTTAAAAATAGTACAAAAAACTACCTTACTATTGACCAGAGTCGACCTGGCTGATGTTTGGGCTCCCGGCTTATGATTTCCAACAAGCCCCTTATACCAGTATTTAAAAATTTGTCACCTAGTTCTTGATAATTATAAGAATAAACGTTTCGCTTCTTCACCTGCCCGTATACAGATTGATCGGTTTTGGGTTAAACACTCATTTTCTCAATAACAAAACAATAAATATTATTTGATTCAAATAATTCCACAATAATATGTAGTTAAATAATTTTTTTCATCAAATAATTATTCTATTTACAAAAATGTTAAATGTTTAGTAGTTTTGAATAAATGAATGTCTTACATAATGACCATTCTGTATGTCCAAAGAAGTTGTTTTTCTGACATTACAACTTGGCTTAGGATTTTATAGTCTATTATGTGAAAATATCCAAGAGCGACTGCAATTGCTGGGCAACATGGAAACTCCAAGCCAAAATCTCTTAGCAATTGGTAACATAGACAGTCGTCTCGTTCATCTTACCCTCACATTATTTCCGATAAAATTTAATAAAGAAAAATAAAATCGAATATTGTTGTTCAACGAGACGCCAAAAGATCATAAATCTAATAGATTTTTCTCAAGGAAAAAATTATAAAAAGACTTATTTAAATTCTCTTTGTTTTTCAAGTGTTTCATTAACATTTCAAAGGTTAGCTTTTTTTTAAAACTTAATATTTACTAACTTTATTTAATAGAATATATATTTAAAAAAAATGTTCACCATATATCATTATATGCAATACGTTACAATACACAAGTGTATTAGTTTTGTATACATAGAATGCCGTATATTTGGCTATTTTTTAAAAATAAAATTATGCTCACCTGAATAATAAGTAAATATTTGTTGAATAGTTGAGTTTTCTTAAAAAACTCTGATCTATCAGCAGGATATACTTGTAAAAAATATGGTAATAATGAATCCTTTTTATAAGTATTCGGTGTTAAATCTTCTAATTTATTTACTAGACGCAAACCTACTTCATCTAATATTTTCAACGCATTCTCTTCACTGTAAAATTAAATAATATAATGTATACATTTTAAATGTTTTAAATTGAAGTAAATATTTGAAATCATTTTAGTGAAACTTATTTTTAAGTTGCTATAGTTGCTTTTGTTTTTCGTAGATTTTTTAATTTTATATAAGTATAACTTTTCTTGATCCCTTCAGTATCAATAATAAAAAACAATTTTTATACAAAACTAAATTAATACATTGAGCTCCCAAGGGTAAAGGGTTTCAAAAAGTTCCCAATAAGAAATTTTTTATTTAAATTATGAATTAATGTTCATTTATACTAGATAAGGATTATTCGGTTAGTCCTTCTCTCACTGGTTCCACTAATCTGAGACTGATCAATACAACCTTTTAATTATAATTTCTTAAAAGAACTTTTAGACATTTTTGGTAATAATTATATAATAAATGTACTCCAAAACAAATGTCAACGTTTCGTTAGAAAATCAAACGAAAAATTACCTAGTTAAAAATGTATTTATCCAACAAGTTATGATAGTTTCTGAGGATTTATTAAAGCGCTCGTTTCGTAAATGTTTAGGTAGCACATCGGCTAATGAGAGAGCGCAATGTTTTATTCTGAATTTTGATAAAGATGCGGCCAGCTGAATTTTGATTTCTTGTAAAATGTCAATAATTTCTAACAATTTCAGCTCCTTATAGTTCATTTTTTCTTTTTCACTAAGTTTCCTTGTCTTAAATTTATTTCTATAATAGTCGAATGTTATTAACCAGACCAACAGCTGCATTTGTGTATACTATTTAAAAAAATCATTCTAAGTATCATACAACATAAAAACATAAACATAAAATGATTTGTAAACTTAACTTTTTAAGCTAGACTTATAAAAACTTACTATCAGATAATTTTTATCAAAATCTATATTTTTTAGAATTTCATCAAGAATTGTTCCATCTGAAATTAAAATAATAAGCGTACAATGAAAAAAAAACTTTAGTTTTAGTTTGAAATAAGCATAATGAGATGTTACATCTAAAAACATCGAAAATAATATCGTATACTCTTCTCATTTGATTATCATTTGAAAAAAGTACTCCATGTTTTTTAGGATCACTAGCACTCAATACTTTGGCCGCAAGTGCTACTTCACAATTAGACCATTGTTCTGTACTTCTGTCAAGTTCTTCGATCATTGAATCGTTTTCGAAAAATGTTTGAACTTCAAGGTGTTTTTTTGTTGCAATCTTATGAGACTTAGTTTTAAAAGCAGTTTGAAGTAAATTGCCAATTTTTATAGATGACGCCATTAAAATCAAGTTGTTCTCTCTTATGTCATTTTGATGAAGATCGTTTTGTTGTACATAAAAAATTATGCATTATAATTAAATAGATAAACGTAAAATTTTTAATTTCTTACATGATTTGTCTACTCATATCTCTTTGTCTTTCAACCAGTTTTTTATAGGTGCTCAGCTGCCAGTCAGCATCACTAGGTAGAATTATTTTCAATTTATCTAATTGTGCATACTTCCTATCCTGTTTTGAAGCTTTATAAAAATCTACCATTTTTAAAATTTTTATTTATCTCAATAAAAATGTATTTATTTTATTTAAGATCAAAACTTATAAAAAGTAATAGACTTTAACTGGGTTAGTTGTTGATTTTATTCTGTTGCTCGAATTTCGTATTAGCCACGGATTGTAGAAAGTTTGCATGTCTAGCTCCATTTCTAATAAAATGCGCACGTATGGTAATAGATAGTCGTGTATTGTTTATAGAATAATTTGATTTGTGATATTCTACTAACAAAGGGTTCGTGTTCAATTTGAAGTAAACAGTAATAGATTATGTTGCGTTTTACTAAAATGTAATCGAAATACTTACAATGTTACACATTTCAAATGTACATGAGTACTAAACATAATTCCCCCTCCAAAAAAAAGCTATAAAATATATCAACACAGTGGCAGGACTACGTTTTTTAAATACTCTCTTTTTGGTATCCCTATGTCTTAAATGTTGGGTGAAAATATTTTTACGGGCTTTAAGGAACTGTGTGACTTTTAGATTAGAGAGTGTGAGTTTTAATTATGTTTAGGGTAAGGTGCAGTAAGAGTGTTATCGTAAAATAGGACAACATTAGATCTAAAGTATAATGTTTAAAAAAAGTAGAAACAGTAATATGCCAATGTATACTTACTACACACTATCTTTAAATATTTTATACTCCAATAATTTTCACTTATTTCACTACAAATACTATATTAGGAATTTTTATTTTGGCGTAAATTGGTACAAATTAGCCCTATTTTATGGTATCAAATAAAAAGTTTATCTTAGATTCATTATACAAAGTGTCCATTTCCATTTCCATTTCCAAAAGGAAACAGATCAATTGTTACAAGAATGAAAACAACAAAAATACGTTTCCTCACTTACTGAACACTGTATATGCTTACATTCTAAATATTTGCTATTGCTATACCTAAGTACTATTTTCTCCCTTAGGTCATAATCTATATATTATATCAAAAACAAAATTGATTGAAAGGTAAATTTGAAACAGAACTTTTAAAGAAAACACTACATAACGCACTTACCTCAAGTTACAGGGAAGAACGTTTTTTGGATATATTTCTGAGTGTAATTATACAAGTTAAACAACGAGATAGAAACTTTTTTTCAGATGTAATATATCTTTATAATGATGCAATCATGAAGGGTTTCCGATTATTTTAGTATTAGTTTTACTATATGTTTTTTTTTTTGTGTGTCTGTTACTACTTTTTCTCAGCTCTCACCGAACCGATTTCTTTCAACGATACGTCAAAAGATCACAAATAGTATCTAGTCGAAGACATTACCCTAAAAAATTGAAAAAATTTCTCTCGTTCCCCGTAAATAAATCATATACTACTTTCATTCGACGTACTGTTTTTTTAAATCTGACCATTTCAATTTATACAAGGGTGGTTCAAAACTTAAAAATAACTATTGTAGGTAAAACAAAAACCACAGTGGTGAGGATATGGCAATATTAGCACATGTATAGATGATTTCAGACGGTGATTAACAACACCATTATAAATAAGGCTTGGATTCAAATATGAGGGAATTTTAAAGTTATGTAAAGGGAAATAATGTAATTTTTTTAAATTATTATTAATAGTTATATATTATTAATATATAATAATATTAATATATTATTAATTCTTAATATCAAGTAAATATCAAGTCTTAATTTTGATATATTATAAAAGTAGGCAGAATTTCCGGAACATTTTCAAATTAAGTTGAAAAATATTTGTTTACATTCGTAGGCCACCTTTCAAACCATATCATTACTAAGATTTCTTATTGGACTTCCATTAAAAGCTTAAAAAAGAAAGTTCATTATTTCCAGTACATTTAATTATAATTTTATTAGGATTAAAAAAAAAGTCATAGTATATCTAAAATACAGAAAAAAAAAATTCAATATACAACTTCTTACGTTACAGTAATTTTGAGATATTTTTTTATTTTCTAAAATTCATAAATTTGGCGCTGGTAAGTTTGATTAGATTAAATTTGGGTTTTTTTAATGCGTAATGTGTTGTCATTACAAATTTATGACATCACTGTCTTGATCAAAAAATATTTCGATTTATTATTGAGGTTATAGCACAATTGCTACAACAGGCTTAGAACAGTAGTGCAATGAATTTTTTATAGTTTTTAATGACTAATTAAATTCTAAATACTTAAAATGAGAACATATTTATAATTTATTAAAGTTTAAAGTTTCCTCTTGTCTAGCATTTGAATTTACAGTCCTGCTTTTGTAATAAATAATCAACTATGGATCACATTTAATATTATATTTAAACATTAACAGAATATATATATTAATGAAAAAATACTTTCTTTAAAATCAATAAATATAAATTTCATAAATTTTAGGAATTTTTATGTATATGAATGTAAAATATTTTTTAGTTTTAGGTTTACGTTTAGTGTTTATTTAGTAGAGATAATACCTCTTTACATTCTTCACAATTACATTTAGAGTATTAATTTTACATACAAAAAGTAGGAAGAAATTAGTTTAAAAAAATGTTATGTTTTAATTGATTTTATAGCATAAATTAAAAGAAATAGTAATTGGCTTATAAAAAATAGAAATTATTATTTTCAATTACTATGATACAATAATAGTTTATTTTCTATGGAAATTTCAGTTTAAACATTCATTATTTAATTATTTTTACTTTAGTACAATTTAAAGAGTGATTAATAGTTTTTTATAAAATATAAGAAAAGTATGTCAAAGGAAGAAGAATAAAAAAATTGTGCTAATATCAAGAGAACAAATGCAAAAGTTGCTGCGAGTGGAGTCTCGTTACATCCGGTAGTGCCATCGAAGGACACTTCTGATGAAAGGAAAAATAGTTTGTAGTTATTTTGTATAATTGTAAGCACAGCTTGTAAATTAATGCCTTTACACATTATTTTTTTTACAATTTTCTGAAAACACTTAGTCCCATCAAATTTATCATAAGATATTCAAAAAATGCAAACAAATTTTCTGAAAAAAGAAAACATTAAACCTCTTAATATATAAATGCATTGCCAATAGTAAATTCGACTAAATATACATGAATTATGTTGATTATTAGTGCCTTGAAAATACTTTATATTCTATTATATTAAATTTATTATGATCTCTTGCACTTTCCTACTATACTATTACTTAGATGTTTTAATAAATCCATAGTTTATAACTATATCTCTTTTTATAGATAAGATTCAAGACTTTATCCATTCAGGAGAATCTAACCAGTGTCTTATAAAAATGGTAGCGTATCTGTAAAACGCAAAAGTGAACAAAAAACTATGGCTGACAAATAACCGGCTATAAGGAATCAATAAAACGTGAAATTTTAAATGACCCAAAATTGGAAATCATCATTCGGAGTAGTTATTCATATTTTAAATTATTATTCTATAAAGATATAATATGACTTAGTGTAAAAAATAAGCAAGTTAACCCCTACTACACGACTTATTAATTGTCTTTAAGTATCGATAATTTATACCAAAATTCTATTTAATAGATCAGAATCAAGATTTATTGTCCGAATTTATCCAGGGAATTGTTCAGAATTGTTTAAGGGAATCTACCGATTACTTGATAAAAAATAGTAGTAGTCCAGAAAAACGCAAGGAGGAGGAAATAAATATGAATAAAAAACTAACCGAATTAAAGGACTTATGGCAAATTAATGGTAAATCAATATTTTTTAATTTAATAGAAAAAAACAATAAAAAAATGATAGTATATAATTATAAATTTAAGTACTGTATTAATTTTATTATAATAAGTCACTATGTATGTTTTCTAAACATGAAAATTTTGCAGATTTTATTCCTCCAGCTCAGCCACTTTTCCAAACACTACCAACGCTTATAAAAGCGGATAATAATATTAAAAACAAATGTAAAGTTGATAAATCAGCTCTACCAACGAATCTTATGGATGAAATTAAACGTGGTGTGGAATTGAAGGTAAAATGTTTAACAAGCAATAATTGAGTTTGGTGCAAATTCTATATTATAGCTTAATGTAAGCAATATAATTTCCTAAAAGTCTATAATAAAAAGTCCCTATAAAGTGATTGTAGTTAAATTGTTTTAAGTTTTTAAATATTTTTTCGTACTTATGAAGTGGATCATATATTAATGAATCACATTTTTAACACTTCCTAAATTTAAACATTTTAAACTACAAATCAAGTTAGATGAGATGATTTCACCTATATTAATTATACATAAATCAAAGTATTTAAAAATATATAAAACATTAGTATTTGTGTTTGATTTTTTAATGTTATATAGCCGGTAATATCAGTGGCAAAAGTTATAGAAAAAGCAAAGATAGATGAAAATGATCTTGGAAGAATGAATCCATTAGATATTGCCATGTTCCGTCTGGCAAATATGATGTCGAGCCGTTCTAACTCCGACTCTTCATCAGAAAACTCGTCTCAAGATGAATGGAATTATCCAATAAAAATTAATCGAAAAGAAAAGCATTGATAAATAATGTTAATAAGTCAACCGCTCTGGATATTGTAGGAGAGTAATCAAAGGGCGACTTAGATGAGCTGAGGATACCGGTTTGTCTAATACGGACAGACAAACTTGACTTTGTACTTACTATGTTTTCAAAACCAAATGCTAACAGCGATGTTGAAGGTTTTTGAGAGAACTTTTTAATTACAAATTTAATATTATTATCCATACTAATTTTTTCGAATTTGTTCTTTTTGTATTCAATGTATTGTTAAGATTTTTTCTAGTAATAAAAATAGTTCAAAATGTAAGCTGTTGTTAAATACGATTTATTTTACTTGTACTTGAATTCTAATAAACTAATCAATTCAAGTAATAATATATTATTTAAGATTCATAAAAAAAAACTAACATTTATTGGCATTAATCCGAAAAAGATAATGATGAGTTAAAATAAAATTATAAGATGGAATATAGAAAGACAATTAGATGAATCCTTAAGTATCAATATAGCACTTTTTCAACTTAATTTTTGAAAGTATTCTGGAAATACTAACACTTTTATATATATATTTTTTAAATTAAAGTATATGTCTTCTTCTTCTTCCTCACCTTAACCCCAACTACTTGGAGTCAGTCACCCTTATCCTAAACTTCCACTTGACACGATATTACAATGACTTTTATTTTGTTTTCATGGTGAAAATGGACATCAAAGTTAATAAAAAAAATTATTTTTTTATTTTTAACTTTATAATGCTTTACATTTTTGAAAAATGTATGGATCATAAAATTTTTTTTCCGTAAAAATTACAATACTAAATTATTAATTAATCAACTAATTATTTATCAATAATTAATGATATATTATACTTTCAAATCATACAACTTGTAATCAGGATATAAATAAGGAAATAGAAGATCATGTTGCTTTTGGAATAATTCGTCAAATTTTTAAAATTAAACACTATCAGTGATTTTAATCACTATCAGATTAAATCTATACTGGACCCAACAATGGCACGTCTTCACTGTGCTAGGGTTTTTTTTTTCTTAAATGATCATCAAATTTTAAATCTATATACAGGTCTATAAATACAAGAATAAAATAAAAAATTGGAATTTGTTTTTTAATTTTTTTAGCGTCTAATAAAACTAAAAATGTTGACTTTTTTTTACTTTTAAATTAAAAAAATTTTAAATTTACTCAATTTTACCCATTAAAAAATACTCCTATCATCTAGAAAAAGTCATCAGTTACAATAATAGCTTTACGGGCGCTTACTAAAAACTCTTGAAAAATTATGTTAAATTTCTCAAAAACCTCAAAAATCTATTTAAAATTAAAAATATATTTCAATTTATATTTTATATTATTAATTTTAAGTAATATTAGCCACGAGGGAATTCCTATTTTTCTAAAAAATTATTTTTATTATAATTATACATAAATTCTTAGGCAACAATAATTTTCATATGACAATAGAGTTATCATATCAATATGATAACAAAAACTATCAGTACTGATAATATTAAATGAATTTGAATTATTAGCAAAACTGTATCTAATCCCTTACTCATTTTAACACAGACTATTTTCTTACAGTTTGTAATTTTAATTTATTATATATTTAATTGAAGAATTGAAAATCAATCTTCCATTATGCCTTCAGCAGTTGGTTCTAAATCTGTTACTAGGAGTGAAATATTGGAAATGATGAGTGAAAAAGAAAAACTTGAACAACAACTTAAAACCCATATTGATGTATTACAATCTGTAAGTTTATTTCAATACAATTATTAATATTTTAAACAGTTAATATACTATATTACATAGCATAGAGTTGGAATGGATGATCCCCTAGTTGATGAACAAGATTTTCCAAGAAATGATATTGATGTTTATCAAATACGATTGACACGCAATCAAATTATTTGTAAGTAATATCAATATTAAAAGTATATTCTTAATTTTTCATTATTTAAGGATTAAATTATAAAGTATTAAAAAAGTATTCATATTAATAATAAAATATTATATTTATATAAAGAATCATTTGTAATTGTATAAGGTGTTCGTTAAAGACTATTATTAGTTGCAAAGAAGTATCTAATAGATGTAAAAATAATTTATATTTATTAATTTCATTGCTTATATTTTTAAATAATGTATTATAAATAATATAAAAAATTAATAACAGCTGTGCTTTGAATATATAACAATTATAATTTATATTACAATTATTTAATAACTACTAGTTTTTGCTTATGTGATTTTTAGATAAAACATGTATAAAAATTTCGAAAATTTTAATTTAAATAAAATTTTATAGATCATATTAATAAGTTAACAAAATAATAGTGTTAAAGAAATAAAAATTATTTTAAATACATAGATATACATAATGAAAATGTATAAAACAATTTACCTAGAGTCTCTTCGATATTAAAATAGAATATTATTTTAAAAATTAATTTGAATTAGTAGTTATTGTACAATTACTATATATCCCAGGCATAGCTGTTATTCACTTTTTATTATTTATATTATTTGTAATATGTTATTTTAAATTAAAAAAAAAATAAAGTTTTATTTTACTTATTTTTTATTACAAATATTTTTAATTAAAGTGTATTGAATAATAATTCCCTAACCCTTCTTCTATCATTTGTTTAAGATTCTGTCTAGGATGCAATATGAAAATACCTAGGTTTATATTTTTTCAAAAAAATTTCTTGCATTTTATATTCACCTCTTAAGCTATTCACTTTGCAGAATAGCTGATGTGTCTTGTGTAATCTATAATATTGTTCTGCTTTGTTGTTCTGAATATACATCCTCTTTTCACTTCTTATAATGTTATGAGCTTTTTTTCTTTTTATACTAATGATTATTTCTTATTCACAATATGACATGGTTGTATTTTTATATTATTAGCAAATCTCTTATCTACCAATATATAATCAATTTAATTTGAATATCTACCAACAGGTAACATCCAGTAACATTATGCAGTAATATTGTACTTTTGGATTTAAGACCAACTCAACTACCTTTGTTTCATTGGCATTAGTTATGTCATGTAAACTATAGATACCAATAGTTAGTCTAAAAAGTCTCTCATTTCCTATTTTGACTCATATCTCCTAGTAGAAGTTTTATTTTGCTAATACTAATCTCTTCTAGTGATAATTCTATCTTTATATAAAAGTATTTTTCTTGTTTCGTTTTTCTCCATAAGTCCAAATATACTACGGAATACAATATAAAACCATTTGATCTCTATTTTTAGATATGCTAGTCTTGAATTGATTATTCTAAACTCTTTTTTCATTGGTACTGTATTATATTATACTATATTTATTCATACTTTAATATAGTTGTGACTTTTGAGTTTTGAGTGATGAATTAACTCATCGCCTATTAAAAATAAAAGGTGCAATGAATGTTGAAAATTGATTAAAACTTAATTATCTATGGTATTACCAATTGAAATAAATTGGTGACATATTTATTTTTAAATTTTTTAAGTCATTTTTTCCCCTAAAAACTTGAAAATCAAAACTTCAATAAGCAAAAAAAAAATAAATATTTTATTTAGTTTCCACTTATTAAAAATTCTACTGTTAAAACTATAATTAAACAAATTAGAATAAACCTAGTTCTTTTAAGTCTTCAACAGAATTAAGTTAGATGCTATCTTTACCTAAATAGAAAATTTAATTTGAGATATTTGAATATTTAAACAAACATTTTTTATATTTAATGAATCTGTATACCAATAATCAGTGATGATAATTATTTTAAAATTTATATGATCAATAATTTTTATTATTATATTTTTTAATATCTTAAATTATTTTATATAGGTATCCGTAATGATTTAAAAGCTATTATGGATCGTATTGAAAAGAGCTTAAATGCATATTTTACTCAAGGAAACGGTAATGAATCTGATATGGTAAACGGACACTGCAGCTTGAAACCTGATCATTAAAATTTTACAATTTTTTAATATTATTATAAACTTGGTATATTTTTGAATTGTAAATATAATTACCAAATTATTTGTTTTTTGTCTTTTGACATTAAAATTCTCTCTAAATACATTATTTGTATTCATAAATTGTTAAAAATAGATCCTAAATTAATATAAAAAAAATGAAGACTCATTTTTTGACTAGACTGTGATAATAGTAATTGGGTTTTGATGTCAATCTTTTTAATTTTTATTAGTTATGTTGCACTAATAGTTTTGCTAAAAAAATACTGTTATACTTCTAATTTCAACAGATTGAGGATAGAAAATAAATGTTGTATTTTGTATTAATATTAACTGATCATTATATATATTTAATCTGTAAGTAAATTCTAATCTGGAATAAATGCAATTAATTCTATAATAACTTTTTATAAAAAACAAGTTTTATACATAAACAGATCAGAAATCTAATAATAATGAAAATATAAATAAAATTTTCGTTTTATCTTCTAAAAAAAATTATTTATTTATTTAAAAAAGTTACCTTCAAATAACATTTAAAAACTTTTTTAAACTTTAAACTTGATTTTCCCGACAGTGTTGGCTATGCTGTTTGATCATTCGTCATTTCTAGCCACTATAACAGTATTTAGAAAACAGTGATATTTGAGATCTAAATTGAAGATATCTATGACTAATCATGTGTCAAATTTATAAAATAGAAAGGGAGTAAAAAATTTTTTTCTATTTAAAAGTTTATAAAGTTTGAGAACATATACACATGTACTTGAAATATTTATACAGAATATAATTAACAATCTTTATATAATTTTAATAATCGAATCTGGGAAAATTAATGAAAATAATTAACTCAACTTAAGTTAATTAAAATAGAATCAATACCGATAAGTTAAAAGTTAGTAAGTTGTAAATTTATTCAAATTGAAGGTTAAAATAAAAAAAATAACTGAAATTAAAAAGTAATTATTTTTTAAATTAGTTTGAGAATCACCTAAAGTATGATGCTATGCTTTCTGATTTTCAAATTTGCTAAAAATTCTGGAACAACTATAGAACTTATAAAGTAGAGGTGTTGTGAACCAATGTTATTTTTTACATGTTTGTAAGTTATAACATATATGTCAATGTTCTATATTTTAGAAAGTTATTAATCGATAACTTCCTAACAGTTATTGCCTATTACAGTTGATTACAATTTATTTGAATAAAAAGAGACTTGACCAATGACTTGTGTGTTAGCGACTATTTCATTATAATTATTTAAATTTTTTCCTGACTCTTATCTGCGTAGTCGGGCCTGGACTAAGAAACCTGAGTTCACCACAAGGGATTAAAGTTTCAATTACTCCTCTTCCCCCGTAATAATTCAAATAATTATTGATGTATAGATATATTATTTAGAGTAAACTAAATGTCAATTTAGTTCAGTGAATAATCTAGAAATTATTGTAATAAATTTTTGAAAAATAATCATGTAAACATTTATTGTATTTATGCCAATCTATCTTAAAAAATAAATTTTTATTTAAGAAACATGGATCATGGATTTAAGTATATATTTGATTTTTTTCATTTATAACCATGCATACAGCGTTAAAAGTCAACATTTTTTATAATATAATTAATTTTTGCTAATTAAATTAAAAAATTATTTGAGCGCTAAATTAAGTTAGTTAAGTTAAAAAGTTAAATAAAAATTACTTTTTAACTAGTAAATATCCCTAATTTTAAATCTGTTGTATATCCCTCAAAAGATTACCGGTTAAAATCTATTAATGTTATGTGCACATATTTTTGTAGTCTATGGAATCAATATTGAAAAATATCCAAAACCCCTCAAATATTGTTAGACCAAATGCAACGACACTGATTCGCGATAAAAATGAAAATACATGCAAATATAATATACTTGTGTCAAACTCTACAAAATAATAAAAGATACTAGAAATATATATATATTTTTTAAGTTGAAAATTGGGTTATCTAGAGGTATTTTTTGGATTTTGCCCAAATATTGACAGTGAATTTAATATTCATTGTCACCTAATTGTGTGAGAGTTCATAGGCATAAGGCAAACGGGCTTAGCCTCAAAAAATTTGAGCGCCCTACTCTTATGGTGTTCTTATTTATCAATATTTATGATTGTCAATTTAGATTTAAATCATAATAATAGTACAAAAATTATTTGCTTTTAAAACTCTCATAACTTTTGTAAAAATTAAAATTATGCTGTAATTAAAAAAAAAAATGTTTGTACTTTTAGGCTCCGTTAAAATCATTTTTTATTATTTGTTATTAATAATAAAAATTTTTTATTTTTTTAACATTTTAAAATAGTCATTTTTTAGAACTTTTCTTACAAAAATGATTAATAAATTGATAAAAATTTTAGGACAAACACTTATTGGAGATAAAATTGTTAGATAGTTATTTCCCATTATTTATTTACTTATTAAAAATCTACAATAATATATAGTTAAATAATTTTCTTTTATCTATTTAAGGATAAAAATCTATTTCTTTAATTTTGTTAAATGAGAACTTTTATTAAGTTTGATGTGATAAAAAAGTATTTTAAGGATTTTACCATGAGCATTTTTTATTTTTTTTTAAATCACTGATGAAAATAAAATTATAATAGAGTATACTAGATACAATTACTTTCAATTAGCATACATACTTTCTATGAAAATATAATGAAAAACCTTAGTACAAGAAGAGTTTGAAAGAAACCATCTAACTTAGTTTTTTAACTTAATATGATAGGAAAAAGAACTACAAACAATATTGTTCTTATAATTTTCTATCTAATTTTAAATAAAATAATAATTTCAATATGTTTATTTTGAAAATTTAAAAAAGCAATTCTATGCAATTTTAAATATAGACATTCATGATACAAAATACTTGACTGTTTATTTTTTAATTATTTACATAGTGACAACATTCGTAATCAATTTGTATATCCTCAATTGTATTTTCGAAAAGTCTATAGACTATTTGATAGTGTAAAAAATATTCTTAAGTGATAACAAAAATTCTAAAATCATATAAATGTGATTTTATATCAGAGGTATAAAATACCTCTGATATAATTAACAACACTAATTTTTTAATGGGAGCTAATGCTCATTCTGCTCCATGCAAATGACGCTAATGGTTTCCATTTAAGAAAAAAATCCTTATATTTAATTTTTTTCAGGTTTTTTTTAACCCTGAAGAAATGAAAAAAAAATTATTTAACTACATAGTGTAGTTTTTTGAACTAAATAAAATTTTACAAACACATTTTATGAAATTCGTCAATGACGTCTTGATCTCGTAGCCGTAAACTGCAAAAGTAATTGCCGTGTTAAGACCTTAAGATGTCTTAAATCAGGGGTGGAGTTGTACGAATTTCTTCCATTACAAAAAATTTTTTATATATTATCAAGTTATATTAAAAATAATTGTGTGGGAATTATGCATTCTGGTCTTAATGACTAACTATTGTTTTTTCTTTTCTTCTTCTTCCTCGCCTTAATCCCAACTACTTAGGGTCGGCCATCCTTATCTTAATATTCCACTTGACACGATATTACAATGACTAACTCTCATAATTTTTAAATTACAAAAGTCTTTTATAAATAATATAATTTTTTGTTTTTTATAATAATTACACTTTATTTATTTAACAACCAAGTATTGAAAGTATTTTTATTTATTTTTTAAAAAGTACACTTTAATATATAGTTTACGTGAATTTTTTTGTCGTTGAAAAATGAAATAAATTGCGTTTTCTTATTGAGTACAATACATTTATGTTATTTAAAAAGTTAGCATATAACTTGTATTCTTTAATTAGTAGTTTTACTATGTAACTTAAAAATGTTAAATGAACGTGAAGCAAAGCGAATATGAAGGTTCTCTGTAAAAAACAAAAGTTAAAGAATTTGTTTGTATTTTGAGAAAAACTAGGTACGTCAAGAGAATGTTTACTGTCACTAATAATTCATAATAGTGATGTCACAATATGGTTAAGTAGGCTTAGGTAATATATTTGTGGGCAGAATTGAGATAAAATATTAAAAAAAGAAACACTATTTTTCCCAAGGCGAGACATTAAAGTTCTTAATGAATATTCTTTTGTATTTTATTTTTTCGTTATGAGAAATCGTAATTCCAATACATTCCTTAAGACAAGCACTAAAAAGATTTATTTTAATTTAAAATTTTCAAATTTATTGAACTATATCAGATTAGTAGGTAAATAATTATTAATTTCAAGACAGAAATAATTATTTTTATCCGTGGTGTGTTTCCGTTTTGAGGAATTTAACCATTGTGGTTAAATTGTTTATGCGTTTTATTTTTAAAACAGTTATTTTTCAAAATTGGGTTAATAAGTAAATCAATTCTCCAAATTTGTCAAAGTATATAAATAAATACTCCTAAATTAATTAAAAATAATTCAAAGGAATGGAGAACAAATTTTTTTTTTTGGTAGGAGGGTATCACAATACTTATACTTTTAACAACATAATAATGAAACAGTACTTTAAAGAAAATAGAATTATTTATGAAATAATTTCCAGCTCCATTTGTAAATTAAAAACAGCCAAACGTTTGTCATACATTTTGTATTGACTAGTGGCGAAATAATGATTTTATCTTGGAGGGATACACATAAGAAAATTTATCAAATGAAAATAGATTATATATTAGAACTAAAATTATTTTTCTTATGAGGGGATGTTATAACCAAACCCCCTTAATTATGCAAGTTATTTTAACGGAGATCATATGTTATTTAACATTTTGTAAATATAAGATAATGTTTACAAAGTTCTTTTAGAATAAATAAATAATTTATTGTCTTAAACGTGAAGATAAGTGAATGCTAGTTAATTAGTTGGTAGTGTTTATACACGAGACGTGTAAAATCAATTAATTTTACTGTTTTTTTAACATAAAAAAGAAATAACTAAGGTATGTAAAAATTATGTTATCCAGCAACTGTTATTTCAGAGTATATTAATAACAATAATAAATTACATTGCGGTAATTAAAATTTAACTATTCAGTAGATTATGAACTTGTCAGTTTCAAATGCGACGACACACTATAAATGACGCTAACAGTTTTTATTTGATTAATATTTATTACTTAAAATGAATGGGCTTTGTATGGATGTGCTCGTGCGAATACGTTCACACGATTTGAATTTCAATTGCTAAGATGAAAGAAAGAAATCGTAGAGGTTACCCCACTCAGTTGGTCAAACTGTAAGTAGGTGTGGATTTTTCAGTGTCTTCTGCTGCTAAAATTTTTGTAAACATAGTAGTAGTGACTACTGTGTCAAATACTGATAAAAAATTTCACAAATCGATACTGAATTTTGCCAATTAGTTATTTTTAGTTTCTATTCAATCGATTTCTTTTGATAAGCTGTTCATTATCACTATTCGAGCTATTTGATTGTTTTTATTTATTGTTCATGAGACACTAGTTATTGAAATGTTGATATATATGTTTTTTTAATTGAAGTTAAGTAATAAAGGTAGGGTTGGGTTGATTTAATAACAAAACTAAGATATAATAATATATTTCCTACAGTTTAGAATAAATTTCATTAATTTAAATAACTTTTATAGAAGTGATATAATTCATTATGTCTATCGAGAAAGAAGATGGAGCAGTCGAAAAACTTATGGAAGATTGTCCAAAACAAGAGGAACCAGCAGAAGAAAAGTATGATAAGCTAAAAAATTTTGATATGTCTGATGATGTTGAAAAAGCATATGCTGGTATGGGAAAAGAAGAGTTGATGAAATATGCGAATAGTCCGTTTTGGGTACGGCTCAGATTATTATTATTTATTGCATTCTGGTTATCATGGTTTGCTATGATGTTTGGAGCATTATTTATTATATTCATGGCTCCTAAATGTTTTCCACAACAAAATATTGAATGGTACCAAAGAACCCCAGTGTATGTAATTAATGCAACTAATATTGGCTTGGAAGGTAATTATTCAATTTTATTAATTTGTTATCTTATTGATACTATTTTTTACCATTAGAACTGGATGAAAAAATTGATTATTTTAAGAAACTTGGTGTTGAAAATATTGTATTATCTTCAGAATTCAAATTTGCTCATGATCAAGTAGCAGATTTCCTAGTAGATTTCAGCAACTCTTCTTTTGTCAGCCATAATTCAACTAAAGATCTTATAACAAAGCTTAAGGCTAAAGGTATAGTAATTTTATATATTGATTCAGCTAAATCCAACAAGTGAAACTTTTGTTAGATGATATTTTATTTTTTTTTTTTTTATTAAACAACTTTTTTTTCTAATTATCATTACAAATCATTGTTATGTTGGACTGTTTTTTTTATCTGCTTTATTTATCAAAAAAAAAATTTTATTTTGAATTTTTTAGGCATTATGATATAGTCTTTTTAAAGATTACTTTTATAAAAAAAATTATATGATTCTAACTTTTAAACTTATAATACAAAGATTTAATACTTGGTATCATGTTGTTATATTTTTAAAACCATAATAGTATAATATTAAAAAATGCTAAAAGAAAGTTAAAATATAAATTAAGATATGTTTATAATTTCTTAGCTATAACAGTTAAAGATGTTTGAAAAAAAAAATATTAATCTAAACAAATTAATTTATTAGTAGTTATTTCTCATCAAGTAAAATTTTATGTATAATAAATATAACTTTTTAACAATTATAAATGGTTTTAAAGAGAGTAGTTCCATATTTTTTTTAAAAATAATGAATTTGTTTTCTTTTAAATATAATGTTTATAATTAAAATGAATACATTATTGTATTATACTTTTAACTATGAAAATATCTTGTGCTTTATTTTAATTTGAAACAAATTAAAAGATTAACTAAAGAAACAATTAAAAAACTATGTTTTTAAGTAGTATCTTAAACTTGTTTGAACTGTGTTTTATATATTGTATTTTTATCTAATATAAAATAATTATTTAGGTATGAAAGTGTTGATAAAAATAATTCCTAATCATTCTACTACAACAAATCCGCTGTTTTTGAGATCAATATTGAAAGAAACTCCTTACAAAGATTACTATATTTGGAAATCTGGTGTTATATCAAATATGGGTCATCACCCTCCTAATAATTGGGTTTGTAGTTTATAAATAATGATTAATTTGATCAAATTACGATAAAATGATTATTTTGAAATTTTTTTTTATAATTTTATCATTTATTTATGTATATTGTAAAAGTAAAAATGACAAATATTCCATATGCCAAATAAATATTTTAGTATATTTTCACAAGAAAAAAGTTATTTTTTATAAAAAATATTCGAGTCAATTAAATATTAGTAATTTAAACATATACAGAATTGTAGGAAGAAACGCATAAAACATTTATTAGGGGATAAAGTACTTTTAATTTTTTGATATATACAACATTTGAAATTTTTACACTTCATTTACACATAACAAAAGTATTATTTTAAAAGTTTAATATACCAATAAAAAAAATGTATTATTATAAAACCACATTTTCATAAAAAAAATTTTTTTTGTGTTACTAGAAAAAAATATTAAAGCTTATTTAATCTATGTAATTTTTTTTTAGTTGAGTATTACTGGAGGAAGTATGTGGACCTGGAATGATAGGCGAAAAGAATATTATTTACATCAATTTTCTGAAATGGAGCCCGATTTTAATTTCCACAACAAAGATGTTGTGAACTATTTTGAGGTAGAATAATATAATTAATAAAATATTACTAACAATTTAAAACAACATTAAAAATTATATTTTTTCAGAATTTGTTTAAATTTTGGTTGGATAACGGTGTAGATGGATTTTACTTAGATAAAGTTCAATATTTATTTGAGGATAAAGAATTTAAAAATGATACTAGAATTCCAGTAGAAAGTATATTAACTAACAACAATGCATTTACATCATATCTTCCTGAGTCTTACGATTTATTATCAAAATGGGGAAAATTCATTATAGAAAATTCAAATTCAGGGTATGTAAGTTTTATGGTTAAATAAAAACTAATCAAGATTTTTTATTATTTGACTTATATCATATTATTTTATAATATGATAATACTAAATCACTTGTCATCATGTGTTAAAGGCACCAGTTATTAAATAAGTCTTGTTTCTATTACAATTATAGTTGGAATATCTATGATTATGATATGATCTAATATTCAGTTTAGTATAGAACATAATTTATTTCTTTTGAAAAAATGACGTTAATTATTAATTGTTAATAAAATTAATTTTTTTAAACTAAGTAAAGATATATATTAGTTAAAGGGTAGATTAAGTATATGTATAAAAATTCTAAAAATGTTATGAAATTTTGCAAAATCTAAAACATATTATAGTTGATATCTTTACATAAATAAATAACATATTGTTTGTTTTGTTGAATAATGTATTAAGCTTGTTACTAAAAAAATAATTATAATAACAAGAAAACTTTTATTTATTATTAAAAATATTCTTTAATGTATATATTATTTTCAGAATATTAATCGTAGGTGATATTGATAATAAAAACATTACCGGAGTAAATATAGCACATAGTTCTATTGCTTTGCCTAAAGATTTTGCTGGTGAACAATTACTACAAGCAATCTTACTAAAAAGAACTTCATCGCAATGGCCATCTTGGGAGGTATGTGAAAATAATTATATGTATATATATATAATTTAGTTTTCTATGCTATTTTGTCTGATTATATTATAATATTTGTTATTTTAAGTGGATATGCAGTGACTGTAAAGATTCTTGGCCAAGAGAAATTAACGAAGCATTTAATATTCTTAGCTCTATATTACAAGGTGTACCCATCATCTATGCTGACAATAATATTTTTGAAAACAATATTATTCCTAATGTAACATTCATTGAAAGTACATTAAAAGATTTACGAGCTACACCAACAATTGAATTTGGCACATTTAATGCTAAATTAATAAGCGATAATGTGCTAGTTATTGATAGGTAATTATAATTAAATAATATAAAATTATGTTTTCCTTAAATATTATTTTTAAATAATTTTTATAATGAAAATGTTTTAGGGTTATTAGTAGTTCAGAAAGTTATATTTTTGTTTGGAATCTGAATAAAAATTCTACCAATATTAGTTTATTAAGCTTTAAAGATGTTCCAAAAGAAGCTAGTTTAATTCTTTGTACTGAGTCTGCTTGTCCAACCCTTCCGCCTCTAAAGTAAGTAATATATTATTAAATATGAGTCTAGTTTTTATCAATGAGCTAAAGATGAACAGAATAGAAAAGAAAGTATTTAAATGTTAGTAAATAAAAATACTGGTTTAGGTGACATTTTATTTAATTTAAACTACATTTATATGACTCCAGGACCAAAATTGTAATTAAATTGAGGAATGTTTCAAAAAATTTGTATAATGTATTATTTAAAATATTTACAAATATATCCATGTCTCCAGTTTCGAATATCTACAATGTGTTCGAAATATCAGTATAAAACTGAAGACATGGATATATCTGTAAATATTCTAAATAATATAAGGAAACTATTTTTAAGGAATGTATTTATGGTCTGATGGTTTGGTTACTAAGTTACTGAGAAAATTTTGGTAGGCTCTTCTAATAAGAATTTGACAAGGCACTAACATACACTGTGATTTATTAAGAATATTTATATATATTTTTATACTATCATGTAGAAAATATATTTAACAATTATAATTATTATTTAATTTTGACTTGTAGATAAATAATTTTGTAACATTACAATACTATAGGCGAGGATATCTAAATCTTTGATTGCTAATATCTCAAAATGTAATATTATAAATTAGTTACTTACCAGTCAAAATTATAATAAGTTTATTTTCCATTTAGTATAAAATATATAAGTTCCATTTAACTTTCAAAACTTAACCCTAAAAATTATACTTTTTTATGATTAACCTGATATTTATTATGGTTCAAAACAATGGATAAAATATTATTTTGAAGATTTTTATTTAAAAAAAAGTATATATACAGGGTGATTTTTTTATCATAGCCCACCTAATTACTTGCAGAATAATAAAAATTTAAACATTTTTTTTTTTTTTATTATCTTTAGTTATAATAAAATAAAATAAAATGATAAAAAAATCACCCTGTATATATATATAGAGAGTTCATTCCTAATAAATTACTCTGTTAAAAACTTATTATTTGCCTTAAATGAAATTAAACAAGTTATAATTTGGCATAAAACAAAAGGTCCTCTTAATAAAAAATTTCATTGAATCATCTTGTCTCAATTAAATGCTAATTTTATTCATAATTAATTAGAATACCTATGCTGTTAATACTTTTTATTTAGAATGTATTGTTTGTTAGCCTTTGTTTTCTAAAAAAAATGGCTTTATTAGGAAATAATAATAAAGACATGGGTATTCTCCGTGAAATTTTTTGATGATAGAATTTCCTACATGATGAAAATAATTATGGTATATTTATTTATTTTGGAAAAGTTGTAAACAACTTCTTATGCATATATCTTGATTACAAAACTGAAAAAAATTATTCTGTATTTAGATTACATAAAATTATTTTCTGTATATGAATTTGTAACCATCTCTAAAAATTTTTTAAGTATGTTAGTTTATTAAAAATGTAACGGTGCTCATTTTATTTCCACATATTATATTAATTACAATTATTTATATATTATTTTTATTTTAGATCAAAAGTAAATTGCTACAATATGAGTATTGCAGCACAGTCAGCTATTGTACTGAAGTTTTAAATAATTTATTACAGTTAGTGTAAAATGTATTTATTTTTAACTATTATTTTCAATTATTTGTAATCACAATTTGTTATAACTTTTTTCCTATGTATAATAGTTTAAAAAATTAAGTTAATTTTTACTTTTATTTATAAAAAATATTTTATTATTTTGTCACACAAAGAAATTTATTTACATTAAATTTAATATTCTATGTTGAAATTATTCTATTCAAAATAAATCTATAATTAATAAATTTTCCAAAAATATATTTCCTATTTAAAATGTTATTATTTAATAATTATAATTATATTATTACATTTTAAAAACCATAAATGTTTTGCCACTACATTTAATATTCATTATTTCTAACGAAAATCTTATTAAACTATTGTATTATCAAGTGTTAGAGCAAATAAAAAATTGTTGTGAAACATACAATTTTGTTTATTTTTATTTATTGTTTGAAATATTCATATTTGTTTTAATGTTTAATATAATACATAACTCAGTATAACTTCTACATAAAAAAAATCATATGTTTGTTATAAGTTATTTTACATTTTAAAATCTTCCATTTAAATGATTATTAAATAACGCAATAAAACAAAAATTAAAATAATTTTGATTATAATGGTCACATTTAGAAGGATGAATAATAAGTGCGATTACATTGGACAGCACTAAAATATAAAGTAATATAAATTATACTTTTTTTCAAAGTTCTATTGATGGTTTGTTGTAAACATAATATAACATGTATAATGGAGAAGGTATAAGAATATATCAATGGGAAATATAATACGGAAATTATTGGCAATCCTATTTTGTTCATTACTTGTTTAAATCTTGGGAAAAAATGGTGATCTAAAGATTTTATGCCAGCATTGCTTCTTAAATAGAGGCAAATATATCGTATCTATCCCTGTAAATATATCACTGGTTAATATGGATAAAATATTTGTTTTTAATGACGATATTCGTTAAACCGGAACTATGATTTAATAATTCTAAAATAAATTTGAATTGCCCTCAGTTAATTAATTATCACCAACAATATTTATAAGTTCAATTTCAACAAAACGTAATTGCTCTCTTAATTTTTTTTTGTATGTAATCATAAATATATTTTTTTTTAAATTTTTAAGGAGCACCGTTTATTATTGTTAATTTAAAACACGGTCAAAATCAAAAGAAAGTTTTATTAATAATAGATGCGTAAAATTGTTATTATCAATATATGGCATCATAAGCAATTTGGGGTGCTTTGCTTACTATCAACTTGCTTACTTTGCGTGATTTATTATTTAACGAGCATTTTCGTTTTATTATAGTGACCGATGTCAAAGCCACTGGCGTATCATGACAAAAATAATTATATAGCGAACAATTTTTTTTTGTTTCGAGATGGAAAAGAAAAGTTTTCTTATGTTTATCACTCTCAAGATAAAATTCTACTTACGCCACCATCTATGCGAAATGAATGACAAACGTTTTGCTCATTTTAATTTACAAATAGAGCTGGAAATCATATTATAAATAATTCTATTTTCTTAAAAGTACTGTTTCATTATCATATCATTACAAGTACAAATATTGCGATACTCACCTCTTCTTCATAAAAAAATGTCCTCCATTTTTTTAAATCATTTTAAATTAATTTAACAGTATTGTCTTAATATGTACAAATGCATTGCTTTACACATCTTACGTTTTTTAATGAAAAATAAACAGTCTAAATTTAATATAGACAGTATAGAAACAAATAATTTATCTGTCATAACATTTAAACTAGTTATTTTATATTTTATGTTAAATTGATCCATTGTTTATTATGCATCTTATTTTAAAATGCTAATCATGTAATATTCAAATTTAATACAATTTTATGAGGATTGATTTACCTATCAACCCTTCTTCGAAAAATAAAATGCATAATTTTTTGTTAAATTCTTGGGGACGTTTCTCATCTAATTTTAGCTGCCATGTAAATATGAGATGGTATTCGTTTTACCAATATGTGTTTATTTTTGATTGTTAAAAATATTCTTAGCACTCATTAGACCGATTTTGTCGATATAAACGTAAAAAAAAAAAATCGATTTTTATATTAGTTCAACATAAAAAATCGGATAAAACCACCTCATTTAAAATATTTAGAAAAATTTAAAACTAGACAACTGTCAAAATTTGCAACTTTACATATTTTCTATACATTTTTTAAATAAACATTCATGTTTGTATAAAATTTTAAAATTACATACTAGAGAAAATTGACTTTTTTTTATAATTTTTTAAAAGTTGTTAAACTTTGTTTAAATCCTATATTAAAGTATAGCTCCCAATACTTTAATATAGGGTTAAAACGAGCTACCCACGAAATCGAACATTTTTGCAACCTAATTTTTGAAAATGACTACTTTTAACTTGTATCAAATTAAGGCTTAGTGAACTACAATATTAAAAATAAAAACGTTTCAACAATTGGTCTATTATTAAAACAAAGTAATTTTATAAAATGTCTAACAATTTAAAATCTATACTAAATTAAAACTTTTTGAACATACTTTATGATTAAAAAAAGAGAAAAACTTCTGTAGATTTATCTTTTATTAGTATTTAGTTGCTAAAGTATAAAGTTTCGGTCAATATTTTTCATTTTTTTTTTTTTTTGGTCTTTCCACTGTCCAATATTCGATCACTGTGATGTTACAGAAATGTTCCGAAAATACACAGAAACGTTTCTAAACAACATTATTTTGAATTCAAAAACAGATTTCCCAAACATAATACTCCGTGTTTGTGTGAAATATTTTCAAAATGTTAACTAGTAATGTCTGTTACTAGTACTGTAACCACAGTAGTTACCATATCACTGTCAGATATCAAACTGTACTGAAATCCAACAAGGCAGTACCCCGTTACACCGAGTCTCAATTATACTGGATTGATTTTATTTATTAACAAAACTATAAGCATATTAATAATAATACTTCAGCTTTAAAATTATTTCAGATGATTATTTACCCTTCATAAACCACGAAAAAACTACATAAATTTCTAAATTTTAAAGGGATCTGTTTTCCAATCTTCTGGAAAATACTTATGTTAATTTATTGTGTTGCAATTGAGACCAAAACCTTTATATTTTTGTTAGGCGTAAATACTATTTCATACAGTATTTTATAGAAATAGGGCGAACAAGATTGCATAGATTAGTTCCTTTCAAGTGAGTCGAATCGCTTGTCATTTTGCATGTAAAGCTATTATTGAACAAAAAGTACAGAAGAAAAACTCACGACACAAAATGTAAAGCTTGATACTCTATAGAAGTTAAGCTTAATGTCTGTCAGAATAAAGTCCAAAGAATTTGAAAAGAAATATTCGTTTCTTTTGGTTTACCAAAAGAAAATGTTTGTATTTATCAAGCTTTAGAGGAGTACTTTAATAAAATTTAATTCGGGATTTTAAGTAATATTTTAATAATAAAATAAAAGGTAAAAACAATAGGCGATTTATTTTTATTATCACACGTTATACTGTTATATGCTTCAACGACACGACAGAATACACACACAGTCTTCAGTAAAACGTTGAAGGTGTAAAATAAAACAAATTTATTTTATTTTACATCTCTTTCTAAATCCTGTAAGGTTAAGTCTTAGATTAAATTCTTAAATACGAATAACAACTTTATGTAAAGTTTTAATATTTGATTTCAATATACTACAATACTTAAAATGGTCAACGAAAAGTTTCCTAATAAACAGCAATATATTATTTTGTTATAGCAACATTTTTACAAAAACTAACTTTTTCAACTTAATTTTTGAAAATGTTCCGGAAATACTGCGTCCTTTAAACATATATCAAATTAAAGCTTATTTTATGTACTATAAAATGAAAAAAAAAAATTTGTCCCGACACCTTATCTTCTATGTGCAAATGGCAGTCGNAAAAAAAAAATTTATCCCGACAACCTATCTTCTATGCGCAAATGGCTATCGTATTCAAAAATATGCTATTTTTCTATTAAAATTCTAGGTTTTGTATTTTATTTTATTTTAAAATATCTTATTAGGAGAATATATTGACTTTCATGAATATTATATAATTTAATTGACATAGAATAAAGGTATACGAAAATATACAATATAAATATACAATAAAATATAAAAGACATACGAAATTAAACTTATTAAATTTTTTTTACTTTTTTATTTTCATACTAAATTTAATAATTATAATTAGTATTTATTCATATATTATATTTTAAAATCAAAGAACTACTAATTAGGATATAATCAAAGAAATAAGAGTGGATGTTGCTTTTGGAATAATCCACCAATTTTTCTAAATGAAACACTATCTACAGATTTGCATCGAAGCGTTTCTTATGATAGTGATTTTAATCACTGTCAGATATCATCTATACTTGTCCCATCTATGCCTTGTCTACACTGTGCCTCGACCCCACTGTGCTACCGTTTTGAAGTTTTAAGTTCAATAAACATTCTTATAGAAGGTGATTTTTATCCCAAATATTACATTTTTTTTTAAACATCGACAGCAATTTGCACATAGTAGATAGGTCGTCGGGACAAATTTTTTTTTTTTAATTTTATAGTACATGACATAAGCTTTAATTTGATATATGTTCAAAGGACGCAGTAGTTTCGGAACATCTTCAAAAGTTAAGTTGAAAAAGTTCTATTTTTTATACAATATTTCAAGATTTGAACGCCCCCTATATATGGGGAAATTGTCCAATTTTAATAAAAAGTATGTAAAATGAAAGATGTACTTATGATGTATTTAGAAAAAAAAATATTTGTGCTGATAATTACATTTTTCGAAAAGTTATAGCACTTTTAAGTTGAAAATTTAAAATCGAAAATTTTAACACAAAAATAGCATTTTTTTAACTATGGCAGCCGTTTACATACAGAAGATAAAGTGTCGGGACAAATTTTTTTTTTTCATTTTATAGTACATAAAATAAGCTTTAATTTGATATATGTTTAAAGGACGCAGTATTTCCGGAACATTTTCAAAAATTAAGTTGAAAAAGTTAATTTTTGTAAAAAGTTGCTATTTTAAATCCCCCCCAATGAGCAGGTTAAGTGATAGATTTTCAAAAAAAATTTATCAAATGAAAGGAAAATATCTAAGGTTTTAGTTTAAAAAAAAATTATGTTGATTTGTNTTTTTATGGTAGTATTAAATGGTTTTAGTATGAAAAAAATTTATGTTGATTTGTTGATTTTTCAAAAAGTTATGGAAGTTTTAAGATAACAAAGTGAAAAAATTTCTAAAATAAGCGATTTTTAAATTTATAATTTTTTTGGTTATTTCACACATTTGTGGGGAACGAGGGAATTTTTTTCAATTTTCAAGGGTAATGTCTCCAACTAGATACGATTTGTGATCTTTTGACGTATTTTTGAAAGAAATCGGTCCAGTGAGATCTGAGAAAAAGTGGCAACAGATTAAAAAAAAAAAATAAAACACATCATAGTAAAATTAATACCTTCTCAGCTTCGCATCGAAGCTAAAAATGATATTAACTGTTAATTGTTACATTTTATTCGTAGAAATATTTCTATAATAATATCGATTATAATATTTCCTATTTACGTCATTATGAGTACAAAATTACCACAAATTGATATTTGACATTTTGATATAATTCAATATGATTTATCGTTTTCTAACTTAATATGCAAACGACTTGCATAAAATTTAATATAAATGCTAAAAACATGAAAATATGCATGAAATATGCAAAAATATTGTTAAAGGCTTGTAATACATTTTACATTGCAATATTAGAATAATCTTTTCCGTTGTGTCATTCATTTTCTCCGATCTTAGTAAAAAAACACTTAAAAAATTAATCAATAAGTTATTAATATGATTTATTTTCGGCGGATTAGCTTAAAGGTACAATGCCTATTTTTGCATTTTTAAGAATATTCGATTTTATAGCTAACAAATAATATACTTTATATGATGTCACTCTGTTCTGAAACATATTTTTGGGTTTAGGAAAACATACCGAGAGATTTATTTGACAGAAAAGTAAAAAATATATTTTATTTTGCATGAAATGTTAATTATTTATTTTTAATTTTATCTATAATAAGAATCAAGTATTTACAATTTAAAAATAATTATGGTGCTCATAAATTATTGCGATATTTTAATTCAGAAATATACAACCAATATTTGTTCAGTTTTAATAAATTTTTATTTTTTTTAAATAATAATACATTTGGAAATATTGACAATAGCGACAACGATAAGCTTTATATGCAGTATTTTAATGGATATAATTAATTTTTATAATGAAGTATTATACATGACATATATTTAATGAAAATATTAAATTTCCGAGAATAGAAATTCCGTAATTTTAGATATTTTGTTAACAATAGTTGTATAAAAAACAATCATTTTATTGAAAAAGTAGTTTTTAAAATTAATTGTGACGAAGTTTTTTCCATTAAAATTTATCAAACATGTATTTCAATTGTATTTTGTTAAAATGTATGTTTATTTTTTTTATTAATCGTTCTATAGCTATAAGCGTTTTAGAGCTGAGATGTAATTTCGCTAAATACATGCTAAATTTTTTTAATTTTAATGGAAAATATCTAATAGAGCTTAGGAATGATAAAGAAAAATTAACTGAAATCAATTTAGAGAACTATGCCAAAATCATCCAGTCGCATGGGGAAATAGTTATGATAATGTTAAAAGCAATGAATATGACGAACGATGCTTTGTACGCCTATGAAATTATGGTAATTAATTTGTACTTAAATAACGTGTCGGGGTCTATTAATGATTTTGTCGCTATTGATAAAAATGGTAAATTAAAATATCAAGATGTTTTGGTTAGTAAACTCGAAACATTTATTTTCTTTCATCGAGAAATTTGCCATCAATTAAAATATGCATTACAGGGATGCTATCAAATAAAATATGAAAAAAAGTTTGTTCATTATTTCGATGTCTATACTAAGAATACTTATGATATGAAATCTGTACGGGAAACAGTTGAATGTTTTAAAAATCAAATATTCAATAACAATATTAATTTAAACAACGAATATCTTGTTAATGCTTTGGAAAAACTAGAAGAAACTAAAACATTTACTACGTTAAAACTGGCAACAAGTAATCTTTCTCATTTCGAGTTTCATCCAAGAAATTTTTTATATTATTATTTAATGACAGACCAGTTCAAAATAAAGGAGTTAGATGTTATGAATGGATCCCAAGCAAGACAATACCCAAAATTTATAAACAGAAGACCTGAACGTTTCATAGATTTCATTCGATATGCAGGAATTACTATGCCTTGTCCGGATGGTAGCAAATTGACAATTTCAGATATTTTTCGATACATGAAGTACAGTTTTAATCCTAAAAATTTAATTGCATTTCAAGAACTAATTATAGCCGCATCATTCCGCCCATTGGCAATACTTGTACGATATTATTTATTGTTTATACGAATGTTAACCTACGTGTATAATTTGAATGATAATGTTAAAGTTGTCATTAGTTTCAAAAGAAAAATGATTAAAGTCCATAAAGGAATTATACTACATTTAAAATTGTATGAAACATTGAATATATTTCCGAGTGTACAAAATTTTTTTTTTATGAAATTGCTTAGTAATATGTCATTAATAGTCACAAAACTAAAAACTAAACTTGATGATAAATTTTATTCGAACATTAATTTTATCTTGAGTTTGTTACATGATTTTATGGAAATGAATCTTCTTGACATCTCTTTTGATTTTTTGATAAAAATAGAATCATTAAATTTTGATGTAAACAACGTCCAAATTGTTGAAAAACATTTGTATAAACTTTTCAATCAAGTGACAATGTATTTGGAAGAGCTAAAAAATTATAAGAATTTATTTATAACTGTAAATAAAATGCGTTTAGTAGATTTTGTTGGATTTTCTAAGCATGATATTCGTTTACAAGATGTGATTGGTAAGCCTGTTTCATAAATATTAAAAATAATGTAATTATCATCAATTTACAGTAAAATTACAACTAAGTCAATTTTAATGTTGATCAAATTAAGTTTATTAGTAGTTAAATTAACCTAATGAGTTTTTATTTAGTTTGTGGTTACCGAAAATTTTTTCCGTTTTGCTTTGTTGTTCCTACAAAGTGATCCTTTGTTGTTGTTAGCTTCGATGCGAAGCTAAGAAGGTATTAATTTTACTATGATGTGTTTTTTTTTTTTTTTATATCTGTTGCCACTTTTTCTCAGATCTCACTGGACCGATTTCTTTCAAAAATATGTCAAAAGATCACAAATCGTATCTAGTTGGAGACATTACTCTTAATAATTGAAAAAAATTCCCTCGTTCCCCGCAAATGTGGGAAATAACCAAAAACATTACAAATTTAAAAATCGCTAATTTTAGAAATTTTTTCACTTTGTTTTCTTAAAACTTCCATAACTTTTTGAAAAATCAACAAATCAACATAAATTTTTTTTATACTAAAAGCTTAGATATTTACCTTTCATTTGATATAATTTTTTTTGAAAATCTATCACTTAACCTGCTCATTGGGGGGGATTTAAAATAGCAACTTTTTACAAAAATTAACTTTTTTCAACTTAATTTTTGAAAATGTTTTGGAAATACTGCATCCTTTAAACATATATCAAATTAAAGCTTATTTTATGTACTATAATATGGAAAAGAAAAATTTGTCCCGACGACCTATCTTCTATTCGCAAAAGGCTACCATATTCAAAAATATGCTATTGTAACAAATTTTTTTTTTAATTACACTATCTACAGATTTGCATCGAAGCGTTCTTTATGATAGTGATTTTAATCACTGTAGATATCATCTATACTGGACCCAACTATGCCACGACCCCACTGTGCCGCCACCTCACTGTGCTGGGTTTTTTTTTTAATTTGTTGTTATTAACTTGACGTAACGATTCCAGACTAATAAATTATACAGATTTACATGTCACCAATTATCTGACCTTAATTTAGTTTACTTAATTTTAACCTCTCAGCTATAATTCAGTAAATAATTAATTTGCTCTTGCGTAAAATTATTTAATAACTACTTAATTTTTATTATTTGATTTAGATCGTATTTGTAACAATGATATTTATGCCGAAAAAAATAATTTGAATAAAGAAAATTATGTTAAAGTTGACAAAGAAACTATAAATGATAATATCAATAATTTGAACATAAATATTGATAATATTAAGAAAAGTGCAAATGATGAAGATAAGACAATTCTTTTTCCAAAATATATGTTCGATTATGTAATTTGCAAATGATATATTTGAAACAGTATGTTATACAAAATTTGTTTTACACGATGAAATAGTTGTGAGAATTATATTATAAACATAAATCTATTTCATAAATTTTATATTGGAATTTATTAGTAGAGAACTACAAATTTTAATTGTATATTATCATTAACTATTTTAATTAATATAACAAGGTTGTAATTGTTGAAGCATACACGTATTTTTTTTTACAATACAAAATAAATCTACAATGTACATTTAATATAACACATTTTAAAATTCAATATTCAATGTTTTCACTAAATCTTGTTTAGAAATTTAAAATTAGAAATCAAATTTGATTTCATATTTTTTGTGTTTTAAATAAATAGTTAATTTTTATAACATTTATAAGTATTTAATTTATTATTGTTCAATTACATGTTCTGGTATACTATTTTTAGTGTAGTTACTACCAAAAACAGTTTAAAGCATATAATTTCATTACTTGATCCAAAAGATAATCAAATGTGTGGCACTACTTCATACTAATTACCCAAAGAGGGTGTAACAAATGAAATTGATAATTTTAATACACTATCTTATTTATTGTTAAGCAGTATATAAGATAGTAATTTATTATTGCTTCAATTACTTCAATATAAAACAATACTGAAAATTATATAAAAAAAAATAGTATTTGTGGTGAATTTTCGAAAATTTCCAATTGTTGTGCTATAATTTAATATTTTATTTTATCTTTTAATATTTACTCAAAATTCTCGAAATTTTAACTGACAAATATATAATTTGATAAGTTTTTTTGAGTAGGTATAAAACGAAAAAAAAAGCCTATTTATTGGTTGAGTTTTATAATTGTATGTTAAACCAAAAAAAAGTTTAGTTTTTGTTTAATTAATTTATTTTATTTTATGAGACATTATGAAATTATTTTAGAAATGTTAAAAAATATACATATTTATTTATGATAAATTTACTTCGTAATTATTGTTTAATTACGAATTAGTAAATATTTCAAAAATCAGAAGTAACTATATGAAGCTAGATTTGGAATAAACGTTGAAATTCCATCAGAAGTCCATATAAAAATTGTAAACAAGAAAATGGTTGTTGATCATGCATTATTAGAGGCATTCAAAAATGAACTCTGGTAAAATTTAATCATGTCAAAATTGTTAACACGTAGTACTCGTATATCATTAATATTTTATTTATTATAATGCGGGTTAACTTTTTCGATAATTGTATTCAATAAAATCGAATTGTTCACTGGTTGAATCATAAAACATCGAACGGCTTACGTTAATTGTTTTATGTCCGATAGATTTTTATAACTTCGATTTTAATACATAATTATTAAAAAATAAACATTGATCGTTTACCTTTGGCAAAGTTTAACCCTTAAGTGAGAAAAACTAGTTGATTGCGTAGATAATATACGTTTAGTTATTTAATTAAAATATTTAATCTGTTGAAAATTTTACGTGGTCCGAAATCAGTTTTAGTTTCATATTGTATGAGATTAGAGATTTACGAGTGTTTACTAGCGGAACTTGACCCGAATTCGCAAGATTGTAATATTCCAAGAAAAAGTTTTGGGTATCTAAAACAACTTTTGTAACCATAATAAGAGAATATCTATTACAAGTGGAACATCTTGAAAACTTTTTACTCGAGTATAATCATTATAGGGATGAATTCAATTAAAGTAATATACCGGAAATATTGTATACGGAGTGGTACAGATCTAACTGACAAGTCTTATACTTTTAATACGAACAAATATACAAACGAATTTTAACATTTCGTTGTAATTGGTTAATAATTTAGGCATTCTTAGACTGTTTTTAATAATAAACATTCAATATGTGCCTATGATTAGGTTTTAACAAGTTAAATTTATTTCGGAAACTTATAATTCATTTTTTAGTTACATTGTAGTCTAAATTAAATTTTCGAACCTTTAAAAAGTTGAATGACTTCATTAAATAAGAAACATTTTATGTTTTCCTTATTATTTACAATATATTGATTATATCTAAGAGTATACTACTGATTATTGAAAAAATTAAGTTTTAATTATTCTCGTATCAGATTTAAAATGTCAAATTTCGATCGACAGATTTGTTTCAAACTTACTTTTTTTAAATTTGAAAAAACTTAAATAACACTATCCCTGATGAATTCGGTAAAAGTTATACTCGTTTTGTTACGATATTTTTTACCAAGCAAGGGCAAGTCGTAAACATAATTGTTTACCTCAATTTATTTAACTCAATAAAAATATTTTATGAATGGAATATTTTAAAGGAGATTGTAGTTATCCGTTTAACTCTGTTAACATCAGTATTTTAAAAACTATGGTCTTGTCTAATATGACTATTTCAATATTTGTTAGATAATTTTGAATTTTTATCGTTCTATCTTAATGGTAAAATATTTTATCTTATCCATAAATTATTATTTTTGACATTTTAACATAAAATACAAATTATAAATGTTACACTAATTAATAAACATAAAATAGCTACATTAGATATTTGAAACAATACTTATTTTGTGCGGTCAAACCGTCTAAAACCGAGTTTTTCGGTGTGTAAAACGTTTTATTGTTATTGATAAAAATATAAATATGAAAACTCGGTTTGCAAATAAATTACTATGTGTTTGCAATGCGTAAAATAATTATCGTTATGCACCACGTTTTTTGCCTTTCTCATTGTGGTGGCACTCTTTTAACCCTTTTTACCACTCACTCAGCTCATTCGGAATGACCTTTTTTTTCAGAGTGATATTATGCTATCCAGTCAACTAACTTGCTTCTCTGGGATAGTCTCATGGTGAAAGGCTTATCTGGAAAAAACATTTGTATTCTCTCGACCGACTTCTCTTTCAAACGACGCGTCTCGTCAAAACTAAACGGCTCTTTTTTGAATGATAATAGTAACACGCTATTTTCTCATTATTTGCTCCGTTAAAGAAATTCACAAAAAAAACATGAATCGATGAATGCAACAAATACTACGACAAGAATAGAACAGAATATACATATATGGAAATGTGTTTTTCTCTGTAAGTCATAATTTTTCAGAATATTGTTAGCGTAAAAAATGAATTGATCTTTAAAGTACAAGAAATAGTCATTTTAGTTTTCTGATTCAATCGCAGTATATAATATCGCACTATCAGTGGCGTAAGTATGTAAATTTGGCCTCAATATCAAAAACAAACGGTCACTTTACAGTTGGGTCAAAATGAAAACAAATAAATAATGTGGTTAATTTTCTTTATTTACACATTCATTTATAACCATTGGTTTAAAATAGCTTATATTATAGTATAACAAAATGATATTAACAGTTGATTGTTACATTTTCTTCGTAGAATTATTTCTATACTAGTATCGAATATAATATTTCCTATTTATGACATTGTGAGTGCAAAATGACCATAAATTGATATTTGTGATATTTGACATTTTGATATAATTCAATATAATTTATCGTTTACTATCTTAAAATGCAAACGACTTGCATGAAAGTTGACTTGAATTTAATATAAATGCTAAAAACAAAGTAATACATAATTTGACCTTAAGATCAAAACTTTGAAGCATCGAAACACTTTTTAAGATACAGCCCTTTTGTACTCGCAATGCAATATTTATGTATAAATACGAATTCAAAATCATATATTTTAAAATGTATACTTTAAAAAAGAGAATTTTCTTATCAGACCGGTAAATTAACATTAGCGTATATTGTTAAAGGCAAGTAATACATTTTACATTGCATTATTAGAATAATCTTTTCCGTTGGGTCATTCATTTTCTCCGATCTTAGTTAAAAATCACTTAAAAAATTAATCAACAAGTCATTAATATGATTTATTTTCGGTGGATTAGCTTAAAGGTACAATGCCTATTTTTGCTAACAAATAATATACTTTATATGATGTCACTCTGTTCTGAAATATATTTTTGGGTTTAGGAAAACGTACCGAGAGATTTATTTGACAGAAAAGTAAAAAATATATATTATTTTGCATGAAATGTTAATTATTTATTTTTAATTTTATCTATAATAAGAATCAAGTATTTAAAGTTAAAAATAATTATGATGCTCGAAAATTATTGCGAAAGATCATCATATTTTAATTCAGAAATATACAACCAATATTTGTTCAGTTTTAATAAATTTTTATTTTTTTTAAATAATAATACATTTGGAAATATTGACAACAGCGACAACGATAAGTTTTATATGCAGTATTTTAATGGATATAATTAATTTTTATAATGAAATATTATACATGACATATATTTAATAAAAATATTAAATTTCCGAGAATAGAAATTCCGTAATTTTAGATATTTTGTTAACAATAGTTGTATAAAATACAATCATTTTCTTGAAAAAGTAGTTTTTAAAATTAATTGCGACGAAGTTTTTTTCATTTAAATTTATCAAACATGTATTTCAATTGTATTTTATTAAAATGTATGTTTATTTTTTTTATTAATCGTTCTATAGCTATAAGCGTTTTAGAGCTGAGATGTAATTTCGCTAAATACTTGCTAAATTTTTTTAATTTTAATGGAAAATATCTAATGGAGCTTAGGAATGATAAAGAAAAATTAACTGAAATCAATTTAGAGAACTATGCCAAAATCATCCAGTCGCATGGGGAAATAGTTATGATAATGTTAAAAGCAATGAATATGACGAACGATGCTGTGTACGCGTATGAAATTATGGTAATTAATTTGTACTTGAATAACGTGTCGGGGTCTATTAATGATTTTGTCGCTATTGATAAAAATGGTAAATTACAATATCAAGATGTTTTGGTTAGTAAACTCGAAACATTTAATTTTTTTCATCGAGAAATTTGCCATCAATTAAAATATGCATTACATGGATGCTATCAAATAAAATATGAAAAAAATTTTGTTTATTATTTCGATGTGTATACTGAGAATACTTATGATATGAAATCTGTACGGGAAACAGTTGAATGTTTTAAAAATGAAATATTCAATAACAATATTAATTTAAATAACGAATATCTTGTTAATGCTTTGGAAAAACTAGAAGAAACTAAAACATTTACTACGTTAAAACTGGCAACAAGTAATCTTTCTTATTTCGAGTTTCATCCAAGAAATTTTTTATTTTATTATTTAATGAGAGACCAGTTCAAAATAAAGGAGTTAGATGTTATGAATGGATCCCAAGCAAGACAATATCCAAAATTTATAAACAGAAGTCCTGAACGTTTCATAGATTTCATTCGATATGCAGGAATTACTATGCCTTGTCCGGATGGCAGCAAATTGACAATTTCAGATATTTTTCGATACATGAAGTACAGTTTTAATCCTAAAAATTTAATTGCATTTCAAGAACTAATTATAGCCGCATCATTCCGTCCATTGGCAATACTTGTACGATATTATTTATTGTTTATCAGAATGTTAACCTACGTGTATAATTTGAATGATAATGTTAAAGTTGTCATTAGTTTCAAAAGAAAAATGATTAAAATTCTTGAAGAAATTATACTAAAATTAAAATTGTATGAAACATTGAATATATTTCCAAATGTACAAAATTTTTTTTTTGTGAAATTATATAATAATATGTCATCAATAGTCACGACACTAAAATCTAAACTTGATGATAAATTTTATTCGAACATAAATTTTATCTTGAATTTGTTACACGATTTTATGGATATGAATCTACTTGACAGTTCTTTTGATTTTTTGATAAAAATCGAATCATTAAATTTTGATGTAGACAACGTCCAAATTGTTGAAAAACATTTGTATAAACTTTTTAATCTAGTGACAATGTATTTGGAAGAGCTAAAAAATTATAAGAATTTATTTATAACTGTAAATAAAATGCGTTTAGTAAATTTTGTTGGATTTTCTAAGCATGATATTCGTTTACAAGATGTGATTGGTAAGCCTGTTTTATAAATATTATAAATAATGTAATTATCAACAATTTACAGTAAAATTACAACTAAGTCAATTTTAATGTTGATCGAATTAAGTTTATTAGTAGTTAAATTAACCTAATGAGTTTTTATTTAGTTTATGGTTACCGAAAATTTTTTCCGTTTTGCTTTGTTGTTCCTACAAAGTGATCCTTTGTTGTTGTTTTTAATTTGTTGTTATTAACTTGACGTAACGATTCCAGACTAATAAATTATACAGATTTACATGTCACCAATTATCTGACTTTAATTTAGTTTACTTAATTTTAACCTCTCAGCTATAATTTAGTAAATAATTAATTTGCTCTTGCGTAAAATTATTTAATAACTACTTAATTTTTATTATTTGATTTAGATCGTATTTGTAACAATGATATTTATGCCGAAACAAATAATTTGAATAAAGAAAATTATGGTAAAGTTGACAAAGAAACTATAAATGATAATATCAATAATTTGAACATAAATAATGATAATATTAAGAAAAGTGCAAATGATGAAGTTAAGTTAAGTTTTCCAAAATATATGTTCGATTATGTAATTTGCAAATGATATATTTGAAACAGTATGTTATACAAAATTTGTTTTACACGATGAAATAGTTGTGAGAATTATATTATAAACATAAATCTATTTCATAAATTTTATATTGGAATTTATTAGTAGAGAACTACTAATTTTAATTTTATATTGAAATACTTATTTTCAGTTTTTTTTTTCTATAGCATTATTATATTTATTCAAAATAAGATAACTGAAACCCATAGTCACTTATATTTATCATTAACTATTTTAATTAAAATAACAAGGTTGTAATTGTTGAAGCATATACGTATTTTTTTTACAATACAATATATATCTGTACATTTAATATAACACTCTTTAAAATTCAACATTGAATATTTTTACTAAATCTTGTTTAGAAATTTAAAATTAGAAATCAAATTTGATTTGAAATTTTTTGTGTTTTAAATAAATAGTTAATATTTGATCCAAAAGATAATTAAATGTTTGGTACTACTTCATAATAATTACCCAAAGAGGCTGTAACAAATGAAATTGATAATTTTAATACACTATCTTATTTATTGTTAAACAGTATATAAGATAGTAATTTATTATTGCTTCAATTACTTCAATATAAAACAATACTGAAAATTATATAAAAAAAACAGTATTTGTGGTGAATTTTCGAAAATGTCCAATTGTTGTGCTATAATTTAATAATTTATTTTATCTTTTAATATTTACTCAAAATTCTCGAAATTTTAACTGACAAATAGATAATTTGATAAGACCTTATATAATATTATTTTTTTGAGTAGATATAAAACGAAAAAAAATTCTATTTATTGGTTGAGTTTCATAATTGTAAGTTACACTAAAAAAAAAAAAATTATATCTAATAATTTCTTAATTTTTATTGTTTGCTTTTGATTGTATTTGTAACAATGATATTTATGTCGAAACAAATAATTTGAAACGATATAATTCAAGTTTTAAGAAAATCTATGTAATATAGTTCGTAATAAAGGTATGAAAAAATAAGTTGCAACTAGTGAAAGAGATATGAAAAGTATAGTAACAATTAGTATTAATTAGTTATAAAGGTGTTAATAAATTAGTAATAAAGGTGTGGTAAATAAGTAGAAAATTAGTATTAAAGGTGTGAATAAATTAGTTGCAATTAGCAATAATGGTGTGAATAAATTAGTTGCAATATGTGATAAAGGTGTGACAAATTAGAAGACAATTAGTATTATAAGTGTGAAAAAATTAGTAACAACTAGTAGTAATTAGTAATAAAGATATGGAATAATTACTTACAATTAGTGATTAAGATCTAAATAAATTAGAAGTAATTAATAATAGTTAATTAAAAAATTAATTCTAAATGGTAATAAAGGAGGTGTGAATATAATCGAATAGTTACTTCCATGTGATCTTCTATAACAATAATTGGAATGGCATAAACATTTCATCACCCCTGAAGAATCTTGGAAATATAACGAAAAATACTTTTATCGATTATAATATAATTAAAAATTAAGTCAGGGTTATTTGTATTTATATTTATCTATACGTTAATATTTTAAACTAAAATAAAAAACAAGACGAGAATAAATCATTTTATGGTTGGTAATATTTTATCGGTAATAATTTCAAGATTCATTAAGTTGAACAATACATAAAATATCAAATGTATTATGATACACGAATAAACATCTAAGATGCGACATTCATCGAATAAAACAGTTAGAATTTTTGTAAAAAAAAATTTTCTACTTTTTTTTATTACTATCGTTCAACAATCTAAACACTTTTTCAATAGATCATTGTAAAATTTCAATATTCTTAGGCGTATTTTATAGGGTTTCTATTTTACAATATATTTAATTGCGATTATATTCGTTAGTTTGTAAATGGTATATGTTATTTCTAACAGTAAGATTTTTCCGTCGAGGGTATGAACTATCGACTTAAAGGAATTCTGTCGCAATCCTAGTGTGCTATAGATGTGTACGAAACGAAAAATCTTTTCTAAAATGTTTGTTCGAGATCTTATTTGTCAGATTTAACCTTAAGTCCAAATATAGCTTGGTAATTTGTTTTCAATGTTTGTATCTTGGTTTACTTTTAAGCATCTTATTTCCTCTGCCAATTTATTACACAGGGTATGGTTAATTGTCGACGAATAAGTCAATTTAATTATGGAAATTTATAAAAATTTACGCATACATAATAAAAATAATTGTGACTCCTAATTATTTCCATAAAAGTCAAATTAAATTTTATACTTACACTTGAAAATGATATTATTCTATTATTTTATCCATATAATAAATAGTATATAAAGAAATCTTGAACTAATCTATTGCCTTATATATATTTTATTAATTTTTTTTTTAGCTTCGATGCGAAGCTGAAAAGGTATTAATTTTACCATGATGTGTTTATTTTTTTATTTTTTTTTTTGTGTCTGTTACTACTTTTTCTCTGCTCTCATTGGACCAATTTCTTTTAACAATACGACAAAAGATCACAAATTGTATCTAGTTGAAGACATTACCCTTAAAAATTTAAAAATTTTCCTTCGTTCCCCGCAAATGGGGGAAATATCCAAAAAAATTACAAATTTAAAAATCGATAAATTTTATCATTTTTTTCACTTTTTTTTCTTAAAACTTCCATTACTTTTTCAAAAATCAACAAATCAACATAATTTTTTTTTAAACTAAAACCATAGATATTTCCCTTTCATTTGATATCATTTTTTTAAAAATCTAACACTTATTCTGCTCACAGGGGGGATTAAAAATTGCAAATTTTTTACAAAAACTAACTTTTTCAACTTAATTTTTGAAAATGTTCCGGAAATACTGCGTCCTTTAAACATATATCAAATTAAAGCTTATTTTATGTACTATAAAATGAAAAAAAAAAAATTTGTCCCGACACTTTATCTTCTGCATGTAAACGGTTACCGTAGTTAAAAACCCAACACAGGGGGGTCGTGGCAAAGTGGAGACGTGGCATAGTTGGATCAAGTATAATGATATCTGACAGTAATTAAAATCACTATCAAATATAAACGCTTCGATGCAAATCTTTAAATAGTGTTTAATTTAAAAAAAATTGGTGTTTTATTCCAAAAGCTGCTTGATCTGCTAGATCCTTATTAATATGTCGATTAAGATAAAGTATGTCGAATGAAAAAGGGTTTATTAAAAAATATTATTTCTCATAAAAAAATTGTGTGGATCCATAAACTTTTCAATAAGTTATAGCATTATAAAGTTAAATATAATATAAATAATAAAATCGAGAATTTTCACACGAAAATAGCATTCGGTAGCCATTTTCGCCGTGAAGACAAGTCCAGAGGTAAAATTTTTTTTTTCAAATTAAAGTATATTACATTAGCTTTAATTTAAGATATATATAAAAAGTGTCAGACCTTCCGGAACATTTTCAAAAGTTAAGTTGAAAAAGTTAATTTTTTGTGAAAAAATTGTGCTTTTAATTCCCCCCCTGTGGACAGAAAAAAGGTCAAATTTACAAAAAAAATATACCAAATGTAAGGTAAGGACATCAAGCATCTATATAAAAAAAAATTATATTCATATGTTCATTTTTGAAAAAGTTATGACACTTTTAAGTAAAAAAAATTTTGAAAATTAGTGATTTTTAAATTTGTAATTTTTTTGGAGGTTTCCCCCATTTACGGGGAACGAGGGAAATTTTTTCAATTTTGAAGGGTAATGTCTTCGACTAGATACGATTTGTGATCTTTTGACGTATCGTTGAAAGAAATCCGTTCGGTGAGAGCTGAGAAAAAGTGGTAACAGACACAAAAAAAA